CATCGAACATGAGGAACCCTCTTGAATTCCATCCCCCACGCAGTATTAAGGGGGACCGCGAGGTACGGCGTAGTTCGGTGACCGACCCTGGTTCCTGCACGTTATCATGACATGTTGGATGAGAGCACTTAGCACAGGTTACCCCCAATAATTCTTCTCTAACCTCCTCCACCTCTCCGTCTTCCTGTATTCCGACTATCAAATCCATAGGATCAATAAGGTCGTTCTCTCGCACTTCCTTTGTTCCTTGTAAGGCCCGAAGCAGGTGTTGTAACCCAGAGCTAGTGTCGTCAAGTTCGTCGAACTTCGGCAGACCTTGGATAAGGTTGCTCTCCTGTACCATAGTACTTCCTTTTCCTGAGTGGTAGTCTGCTCTTCTCGACAGTCCGTCCGGCAGTGTAGCTTGTTTTCCCGGTCAATACACCATTTTAAACCTGAAGTTAGAGAGCTCTTCGACCCACCTACCCTGCCTGGGGCTAAGCTGTTTAGGTTCCATCCAGTAAGTTAAATTTAAATGATCTGTGAGAACTGTAGTCTCTACCTGTAGTAGTAAGTGTCTCCTTCTCCTGAAAGCTTCAACAATAGCGAGTAGCTCCTTTTCCCCTACCGTATAGTTTAACTGCGCCGCCTGGAACGCTCCGGATTCGATGGCCACCGGATGCTCTTGTCCTAACTCGTTCACTTGCGAAATTATGAAACCCCAGCCGAAGAACGACGCATCTGTTTGTAGTAGTGTCTTCAACGAAGGGTCAAAGTGAGCCAATACTGGCGCCCTACACATCCTATCCTTCAATTCTTTAAAGGCTCTTTCCTGCTCTACTCCCCAAACAAACGGCACATCTTTCCTGGTGAGGTCATTGATCGGTTTAGCAATCTTGGAGAAGTTGGGGACAAAACGCCGATAATAACTGACAACTCCCATAAATCCCCTACTCTCTCGCAAGTTCTTAGGACGGGGAAAAGATACGACAGCATCGATGTAATCCGGGTTACTGGAAATTCCCCTCTGTGAAACCACGAACCCCAGGAAGACTACCGAATCTCTCTCAAACTCGCACTTACTGGCTTTAACGAACAAATTCGACCTCCGAAGCACTTCAAACACCTTCGCCGTAGTTCCCCTCAGTTCTTCCAACGTTTGACCGTAGATGAGTATATCATCTATGTAGACTACTACTCCCTTTCCCAGCAGCTCTCGAAAACTTTCATTCAAGAAGTGCTGAAACACAGCGGGAGCATTCCGTAGGCCATCTCGGACAACAAGAGACTCGAACATACCGTACTGCGTCCTGAACGCTGTCAGGTGTTCATGACCTTCCTTTACTCGTAGGAGTTGATAAGCCCCAATTAGGTCTAACTTGCTGAAGTACCTCGCTCTTCCCAGCTCTTTGGTTATCTGGCCGATCAGAGGCAGGGGATAGGCGTCGGGTATCGTTGCCTCGTTTAACTTTCGGTAGTCAATGACCATTCGCCATTGACCTTTTGCCTTCTTCGGTACCAAGAACATCGGTGATCCGTAGGGCGAATTACTGGGTCGAATTCTTCCGGCCGACATTTCGCGATCTAGGATGTCTCTCAGCGCACTTCTCTGATCTTCTCCAAGCGAGTAGAGTGGAGCAACCTTCAGGTTCGCCCCCTCCTTAAGATCAAACTCCAAATCATAGCTCCTCGAGGGAGGTAATTCCTCACCTCCCTTCCTTGGGTTAAAGACATCAATGAACGAGTGGTATTGTTCGGGAACCACCTGATACAATTCCTCCTGTTCCTCCGGACTCAGTTCATCCTGATCATCTTTGTCTCGGAGATCTATCGCGTCCGTCGGAGTTGGCAGACCTATGGCCGCTAACTTCGCCGCACTTGGTGGGGTTGGGATGGGAAATTTCACCGAGTTGTCTCTTCCATCAAGGACAACCCCTTCCTTCCTCATCCAATCCCACCCTATCACAACATCTGCGTCGCAGAGCGTTGTTACATCGAGACGAACAGATCGCACTTCGGCGTCCTTCGTCAAACTAAATCCGACTTCGACAAACTCGGTGATAGGTCCCGCGACACTCACCGAGCCGTCGAACATGTGAACGGGTACGCTCACCTGATATTGTCTCCTTTCTGCGCCTATCTTCGTCGCCGCTCTAGGACTTATATATGAACAAGTAGCCCCGGTGTCCCAGAGCGTAGTTAGCTTCATTCCATTAATTAAAATGTCCGATTTAGGTTGATCTCTGGAAACGGAAGGGATGAGGAGATGATTATCGACATTGCATGAACAAGGGGTACTGAGTGGTGTATTTTTGTATTCACAATCCTCTGGCTCCATCAGTTGCGTCTCTTTTATAGGTTTGGGAATGGTGGCCGAGAGAATATGGCGGACCCGCCGAGCCTCGCCTACTGCGACAGGTCCTCTTCTTTTCCCTGGTTCTCTTCCAAATCTACTTCTCCTCCAACCGCATTCAAGTTCCTCCTCTGTCCGAGAAGTACTGCGTTCCCTCCCGATCCTCCACCACGTTCTCCAAACTTCTCCCCCCATGGAGGCAACAGTCCAACCTTAACCTTAGCCTCCCTTACAGGACATTCCTTCAGCCAATGTCCTGTTTCACCACACTCCGTACACTTTCCCTCTTTCCTCCTTGTCTCCCTCAGATCGGCGTTCGGCCTAGGCCATTTTCGGCGAACTTCGTCGATGTTCGGCGGCGCACTCCTTACCACCGTCGACGTCATGGTCGCTTGGACACCAACCTGCGCCGAAGGTTGTCCCTTTTCCCATTTCTTCTCTTCTTTCTTCTCCGTCCTCTGACCTTCCACCACTGTTGTTGTCTTTGTCCCTCCTTCCCTCCTCCTCTCTGCCTCCTTCTCCACTTGTCTCCTCCACAGGCGGTTGTCCAAGGGAATCACAAACTCCAATAGCTCCTTCACAGTCCCAAACGATCTGCCATGTCTTGCAATTTCATCCAGGAGGTGTGATTTTAAACCTTTCTTAGCCCGATCGACTAAGTTTCCGTCATCAGACCACTTGAGTATCGCCACATGTCGCTGAAAGGCAGAGAAGTAATCCGAAGCAGAGCCGGTTTGTTTGAGATCATTGAGTTGTCGGGCTGCAGTTCCTTCTTCATCTGGGTCGCCGAAGTTAGTCTTGAGATACTTGACGAACTGGTTGTGCGCCGTGAGGTATTCTGGGAGAGGCCGTTTAGATAGATCGGGTTGAACGGCGAGGAGGGGAGTTTCGCATAAGTGAGAGATCATGAAAAAGACTTTCTTAGTGTCGTCGGGGAAAAGATGAGAGTTTAATTCGAAGTGTACGTCGCACTCGGACAGAAAGGCCGTCAACTTATTCCGCTCTCCTCTCCAGAAGTCTGGATTAGGCAACTTGATACCCTTCCGTTGTTCCCCAACTACGCTTGGAGTCGCCGAAGTTTGCCGTCCCATGGCGTACCTCACCCCTTCAGATATCCCTTCTGCAATTCCCCCTACTGTCTCCCTTTCCCTCCTCTGCTCCCACTCCTCCCTGCGCCTACGCTCTTCCATCATATCCTTGTTCATGTTTGCCACCATCTGCATCAAGGCTAGCATCACCCCCTGTGTCCCTCCTTCTCCGAAGTTCGTCCCACTTCCAGCGTTTTCTGGCCGCGGAGTTTGATCCGATCCAACTGGGGATCCGATAGGCGGGGGAGCATCGCCCGCAGGGGTAGGAGGATTAGAAGGTATTGGTGGAATGGACTCATCTCCTTGAACTGACCCCCCTACACTATCTTCCATCCCAAGGTCCTGTCCCATTGCTCTTCTAAGCTCCTCCAACGCTCTCCTCTCATTTTCCTCCATCCTGTCGTCACTCCTACTCATGCCTCGTGTGACTCTCCTTTCTGGTTCCATATTATCTTCGTACTTCTCCGAGGTTCGCACGGGTCGTCGGTAAGAGCGATCCTTGATACTGTCACGGCCGTCGAACAACTAATTCTTAATAGACCGACGGTCGACGAACCTCGGCTAACTTCACGCTCTGAGTCGATGTCTCACCCAACCAGGAGGGCGCAGACGTCGAAAGGGGTGTAACTACGGCGTACTTCGGCGTAGTTACTCTAACTAGGGTTTTGTTCTACTGATGGCGATGTATCTTGATTTATAGCTATCTCTATCTGTCTTTCACTACTGACAACAATCAAGGATCGCTGAAGAACTTCAGCGATCTTCTCAGCTAATATGACCTATCCCTCCTAGACGTTCATCCAACCCTCCCGCGCTTTGACGTACTTCAACGCACTTCGTCCAACTTCCCCGAACCCCGGCCATCCTCCTCCTCTTTCGACTAACTCCGCCTAATATCGCCGCAGTTCTGCTCCCATTGTCCCTACCTAGCCTAACTCCGCCTAACTTCGCCGCACTTCTGCTCCCATTGTCCCTATTTACCCTAACTTCATCTAACTTCGCCGTACTTGGTCTCAGAGGTCCTGAGTTACGTGTAGAGTAAAGAGGTTTGAGTCGTGATGGGGTTTTGATGGTCAAAGGAGGGTCGTTGTTGGTGGAATAATCGAGGTGTCACGACGTAGTTCGTGACAGTGTGTAAACGAGATTCATGGTGTGCGCGTAGTCCGGATCTCATGGCAGCCAAAAAGCGCCACAACAAAGTTGGGACGTCGGAGATCACGTGACTCTTCCAACTCTGGGGCTCCACTCAACTTCCCTCCCCCTCTCCTCCCCTCCTCCCCTCTTCCCCTCCTGCCCCAACCCCCATACTACCTCGGTCCATCTTCATTCATATGACAGGGCATGACTCCGCCCATCGTACCCATCCTAGGGCTCTTCTATGACTATGTGTCGCCCCCCCCTGGCCTCTCACCACACTCAAAATGACCCCCTCACTCACCATCACCGAACCTCCACCCCGAGGTCTCTCGTGATACATATAAAGCCGCCTTCACGGCATAGCGGTCTCATTTCTCATCTCTACTCACTCTCTCACTCTTCTACCAAGCTTACCAGAATCCAGAACAAGATTATCTACAGACATGTCCATGGACAAGACAACTATCCCAGGTATCGACAAACCTGTCGGAAGGGTAGGTTTCGGTCTGATGCTCCTCACCATGTGTCCGGAGGACGAACGCGAATCCGATGAGGAGGCTTTCGAAGCGATGAAGTGAGTCATCTTCACACAGATATCTCTATAACTTACCGTCTCGCCATCCTTCTCCTCAATCAATCTTCGACCAGCTTAACTGGAAGGAGAACCGTTATTCTGTAGTACCCCTCTGTCGGTGTGAGCTGACAATCCAGAACAGCCATCGATTCTGGTTCAAACCTCTGGGTCACTGGATCCTTTTATGGCCCACCAGACGACCTCCGTGCTAATCTCAAGCTCATCAGACGCTTCTTCGACAAGTATCCTCAGTACTTGGATGAAGTGGTTTTGGGTATGAAGGGGGGTATGGGACCGGGTCATGCTTTGATCACCGAGTGAGTCTTCTTTCGTCTATTGTCAACCTGTATCCGGCGTTCCGCCAATAAGCCTCTCTTGACATGTGGATAAGTCCTTGATCAAGATGTCAGCGCTGACGTTACTCAGTTTGGACGAACTCAGAGCCGATGTGAAGGATTGTCAATCTGCTCTTGGAGCGAAGAAGATAGATGTATTCGAATATGGGCGTGTACCGCGGGATGCGTAGGTGTACTTTTTCTTCACTCCGCTCTTTTCATGGCTGCGCTCTCGACCACCCCCCCCCCCCCCCCCCCCCCCTCTGGGGAACCTCTCGTTACCTTTACCGGCTGATGCCGATCGTCCTTTCCCTCCTCATCTCCATTCATGTCCCTTCCCTAGATTGAGTAACTCAAGCGAGGAGTACGCTCACACCCAGTCCCATCGAAAAAGTCATCTCTAACTTCCTGACCCTCCGCTCTGAAGGTCTCTTCACCGCTATATCAATCAGCGAAGCCACCGCCTCTACCTTCACTCGAGCCCACTCCGTCACTCCAGTTTCATTCAATGAGCTAGAATTATCTCTATGGTCTCTCGAGCCGGAAATATTGGAGGCGGTAGAAGCAGCTGCTAAAGCTGGTGTTCCCGTCTTAGCTTATTCGCCACTAGGTAGGGGATTCTTGACTGGTCGCTGGAAAACTCCTGAGGATATTCCTGAAGGTCATCCGAGGAAGATGTTCCCTAGGTTCCAAGGGGAGAACTTTTATAAGAATATGGAGTTGGTCAAACAGTTGGAAAAGATTAGTCAGAAGACAGGAAGGACCACGGCTCAATTGGCGTTGGCTTATATCATGACTAGGTTTGATAATGTGAGTGTTGACTATTCGTCCTCTCAATATCTCCCTTCCGTCTCCTACTTATCTCATCTCCATCACGAATCGTATCTTCTCCTCGATTTGCATGTAAGTGTCGTGACATTGAACTGATCTCAGGTCATTCCTATCCCCGGGTCCGGTAATCCAACACGTGTCAGAGAGAACGTAGCCGCAGCTTCCATGCGTCTCACCAAGGAAGAGATGGAAGAGATCGATGCTATTCTGGCAAGTTTCAAACCGGAAGGTGATCGATACCCAGAGTTCGCAAAGGGAATGTTGGTGAGTATCTTTTCTTCTCATACATCCATAATATCCGCTGATGATGACAGATGGGTTGATCACATCCAAACCAACTTGTCACCTTGAGCAAAAAGTGAACGAGCTCTGTAGGTCTTTACAGGGAAAGATGTATAGACAATACGTGGGCAGTTTTTAGGTAACTCCACTGGTCTTCCTCCGTTTGACGTCTTCTCACTAATATACTCTTATACGGAAGGTACACCTTTCCTTATCTTGAAAACCCATACTGACCTCCTTTGACACATTTCGGAATGTCGGTGGAGGTTAGCCGGGTCGGTATGATGTCAATGGGCTTCCATTCTCTCTTTTTTTGACCATCATATAAGATAAGAATCTTCTTTCTGGTTGCTCGACCCTCGCCGAGTACTGATATCACATTGTATAATTTGGAGACCCATCAATTGTACCAACAAAGATTCAGATAGGTGGGGTCCTCACATCCTCACTTCAACTCTCCGGGTAACGGAAGGAAAAGAGGAAGAATATGAGTACCGATAATCATAGCATCAGGAATTACTCGTACATGGGTGATTGGGAATATTCCACTGGAGAAGACATCTCATATGATCGGCAAGCAGCTTCAACAAGGGATGACTACGGTAAGTCAACTCTACTACACTTTGATACACCTCAAACATCTTTCAAATCCTTCCCTAACATTCCACTTTTAAATCACATTCACACCCCTCGACCACCACTCTTCATCCCACAACATTATCTATTGCGTCCAGATGTTAGGTTACGCCATCCCATGTATCTCTCACTTCTTCTGGCCCAACACCTTGGACTGCGTTCAACTCACTGCTTTCTCCACTGTCCAAAGACCGGCAGATAAGAACTAAGCTTGCAGTCAATCCTTCAGTCGATCACATCCCTCGTCAGATGTCGGTCATATCGTATCATCAAGTTCCGAGCTCAGCCTCTTGCTCGTACCAGCCCCAATCGATACCAAGCCCGTCATTCTCTTTCTCCGAAGTGTTTCCTCCCTGGTCTTCGGAGGTTGATTGTCCCTCCAGCTTTCCTGCTCTTCATGACGTCTCTCCTTCTTTACCCGCCTATTCTACTTGCAATACGGTAGGGAATACCGAATCGCATTACACATTCTCAAACCAAGCCCCACTTCAATACGAACACTCTTGGTCACAAATCCACCCGAGCAATTCGCACTCTTTCCAACAAACCCATTCCCAGCCGATGACATCCTGGTCACACGAATCGTGCACATTTGACGGAAGTAGAAACCAGGAGTCTGGTTTGGATCCTCCACAATGGCAGGAGAGATTAAGAGGTATGGGAATAACTAAAGAAACTCGTTATTCCCAATTACTTTTACTCATCCATCAACTTCAACCTGTTTCGCTAGTACGTAGCCTTCTGTACGGTTTGGAAAATCTCGGTTATGCAAGGAAAGAATGGGTCGAGAGTGTTGATGACGAAAGAAGTGTGGAAGGGGTCTGTGTTGCTCTTTTGGAGAGTTTGAGTGTACACGGTGGAACAGGCTCTTTATGGTTGAACAACGAAGCTCAGGGGGATGATATGTTTCCTGGAGTATACCACTCTGGATGATTTCCGATTGGCATGGAAAGAGGAATGAAGGGATGTCTAAGATGACAGGGAGGGAGAAATTGGGGAGTTACTGTGAGTTAGACCCTTTTTGTAAGAGGTTGTCGTCATATGGATAGGACGAAGGCAACATCTATCCACAAGGACTGAGTAAGAGTTTGAAATTGAAGGAGAGGATCATTGAGGGGAGGCCCTCGGGACAAATCCTGAAATGTGTGACCGTACTCGAAACAGGAATAATCGCTATGGGACTCGTCGTGAAGGGGAAGAAATGGAGCAGGTGTACGGAGTACTTGTTTCATAAGGTGGAGGGAAGGTGATGTGTTCCATAGTTACCTCATGAAGATTCCACATTGTGAAAAACGCCACCAAACGTCGTCAGGGATACCAGGTATCATGTTCAACCCGTATCATCCGTCTCGCCCAAACTACGCGCTACGCGTCGACAGTTCGCACGGTTTACACCGCTTTGATCGGGATTTCAGTAATGACGTCGTCTATCCTGATCTGGCAATCCGGTTTTCGGATGGGGGGAGCCGCCTCAGCAGAAAGAAGGCCGCAAAGTTCGGTTACCTCCACCAAACACAAACTCGATGACGGATGTCCTTTCACCGTCTAGATGATGACATCACCTTTTCAGAAAAGAGAGAAGCCATAGGCCGAGACCCCGTTGAATTGAGGAATGGTTGGTGCCCGACGAGATGGAAGACTCTCCTACTTTCTTAGACTATTTATACCCACTCATAACCCCATTCCGCGTCGATCCAACATATTCATCCACTCACATTATCTTGATTCAAACATATTTACTGATAGAAAGAGAAAGGAACAAAGCATACAAAATCATGTCAATGGATCCTGATTGTACTGAAATGATCCCGGAGCATAAGGTGGCAAAATCCCAGACTTTGACCCGAGGGGCAGAAAAGCTGATGGAAGGGATCAATACAAGTGTCTCGTCTGGACACAACATCAGCAGAGTGGAGACCATGGTGGGGCCAGCCAAGAGTTATGTTGAGCAAAAATTACCTTCTCCACAACAGGTGCATTCATGGGACAACATGCGTATAGCAGGCACAGGGAAAGGCGCCTGCTATTCCAGAACAGTGGAAAGGGAAAGGGATATACTAGAGGCAGATTTTCGACGTAGGAATCCACTTTCTAGCCCCTGCACTGGACCTACACGTTCTTGTAGCTATAGTCTCCTCAAATCCCACTGTCAGACTTGTGGACACCCAAATCCTAAACCTGATAAAACCAGAAGTCCATCTAGCCTCACCAAACTTGACCTCCAAGGAATCAGTCGCTATGCCCAGAGGTCATCAGGATTTATGAGTACATCTGAACGCAAATCAGGACGTCAAAACAGTTATAATCAAAGGGGTAGGAGAGGTCCAGTACAGCTTCGCCGCACAGTTAGTGAAGGATATACTTCAGGTGGCCCTGAACCCAGGGCATCAGCAGATGGGTATACTGAATACTTGCACTTCTTGCCCTCATCGGCAAAATCCGGGCCAGCCGCCAATTGGGAGGAGCCTTTGTCCTACTCACAGTCACCAGTGGGTGAATCGTGAGCATCTCCCAAAGACTGTCTCAAATACAATGATGACTTGACAGCTCTTGAAAGAAGGCTCATGTATTGTCACAAAGGATGTGACAAGCAAGACCAGGTTGTGAAGTAAACCGGACCGGAGCGACGGATATTCAAATACATGTCACCTGTTACTTGCTCAGCACTGCCTTGAGAGTGATGCAAACCACTAACCTGTTACTCCCTCAGCACTACTTGAGAGTGAGGAGGAGCAACAGGTTCCTCATGAGACTATATCATAGTTGTCGGCGTTAGCCTCGGTCATACCTTATGTCACAGATGTCGATTCTTCTTCTCTACTGACTGACGGTCAACAAACCTCAGCTAATTACGTCGTCTTGGGGCGTCGATGTCTCACTGAGACAGGGTACTCATCATGGAGCTACAGCTAACTACGCCGTAGTGATACGTCGAGTGGTAAACAATAAGGTGAGCGTCGATGAACTGCGGCCAACTCTGCTGTGGTACATCAAACTGCTGAGTGGCAGCTCTCCCTGACTCGAAGGTTGTAGCTACTAAATATATCTCTTGCTACTGACAACAATCAAGGATTGCTAAAGAAGTTCAGTGATCTGTAAACTATCTATACTTCTCCTCTCTTCATATAGGACGTCCCTCAACTCCTGCACATCCTCGCGCTCAGTCCTCTTCGCTCAACTTCGCCGTACCTCGCCATATCCCCAATATCCTACTCTTCTCACTTTGACTAACTTCGCCTAAGTTCCTCTACACTGCTCTGCGTCTCTCGGTTTCCTTCACCGTAGTTCTCCGCCAGGCTGGGTTGTCGTGACAAATGCTCCCTAGGTTCCTGTAACTTTGTTGTAGTTGGTCTCACTGGTTGGGTGGTGGTGATTGGTGATGGATAGTGGTTTGGTGATGGTGAAAGGAGGGTCAGTGATGGTAGTTGTCAGGTGTCACGTCCGTTGAGTAACTTCTCTCTAACAGACCGACGTTCGACGAACCTCGGCTAACTTCACGCTTCAAAGTCAATGTCTCACCCAACCAGGAGGGTGCAGGCGTTGAAAGGAGTGTAACCACGGCATACTTCAACATAGTTACTCTAACTAGGGTTTTGTTTTACTGATGGTGATGTATCTTGATTTGAATGTAGCTATCTCTATCAATCTTTCACTACTGACAACAATCAAGGATCACTGAAGAACTTCAGCCATCTTCTCAGCTACTATTATCTACTCCTCCTAGATGTTCACCCAACCCTCTCGTGCCTAGACATATTTCAACACACTTCATCCAACTTCCCTGAGTCCCTGGCCGTCCTTCTCCTCTCTTTGACTAACTCCGCCTAACATCGCCGCACTTCTGCTTCCATTGACCCTACTCAGCCTATGTCATGAATCACAAGTATCAGTTTCCTCATGTTTTGGTTCTGCTCTGATGCCGTTGAGGCAAGAGACCTGGACCTTTAGTTAGTTATGTTATTCTCAGTTACGATGCCTGGTATGGCTAGAGATCCAAGACTTCAGTACAGTTGGATTTAAGGCGAGTGTATGGTTCACGACATGATGCGTGCTTTCTCATGCGGTCCACAGCGTATCACACACAGCGTGCCGAGAATAGTGTGCATTTTGTCTTTGCTAGTTAGAAAATGATAGGTACGCCGAGGTTTACGGTGTTTTCCTACGCAGGACGGTTCAACCTGGTAGAAAGCCTGATTTGTCTATATAAACCCTACTTAGTACTTTGAAGTCTTCTTTAGTTCTTGATCAAAAGTCATTTCCATTGCCACTCTTTCTTTGATTCCAGTCCAGTCCAGTTACAGTTAGAGTACAAGTCCTTCCTAGTCTTGTTGGACAAGCCAGAGACACTCCTTGGGTCACAGTCCCATTCCTTGTTGGACTCAGTCTTGTTATTTTGAGTATATTCCTTGTCACTCCTAGTCCTGGTCCCCTTGTGCTTTGTCCTCTGTCCCAGAGTGGCTGTCACAAACCATGTCGTGACACCCCTGACAACTACCATCACCGACGCTCCTTTCACCATCACCAAACCACTGTCCACCATCACTCCGAACCACTGAGACCAACTACGACGAAGTTACGAGAACCTAGGGATTATTTGTCAAGACAACCCCGCCTAACGGAGAACTACAGCAAAGTTAGGGGAAGGAAACCGAGGGAGAGTGGAGTAGGGGAAGTTAGGCAAAGTTAGTCGGAGTAGGATATCGGAGGTACGGCGAAGTTGAACGAAGAGGACTGAGTGCAAGGCTGTACAGGGGTTGAGGGACTTTCTATGAGAAGAGAGGGGAAGTATAGACAGTTTGCAGATCGGTGAACTTCTTCAGCAAACCTTGATTGTTGTCAGTAGTGAAAGACAGATAGAGATAGCTATATACAATCGAGATACATCGCCATCAGTAGAACAAAACCCCAGTTAGAGTAATTACGCCGAAGTACGCCGTAGTTACACTCCTTTTGACGTCTGCGCTCTCCTGGTTGGGTGAGAAAGCGACTTAGAAGCGTCAAGTTAGCCGAGTGTCACGAGACCAACTAACCAGCATTGGGACGATATAACAGTGCCCTTCAGAGACAGTGGTCTAAACCACTGCGCTAAAAGGCCTTTAAACCGGCGGTTACTGCATACCGCCGGTCGCTGGTTAAATACCCAACCCATCCTATCACTATCACTATCAAACTGTCTTGTCACTTCGTGACATTATGCCTTCCCTTTCAGCCCCATCTGGGGCCCCAACAGGGATGGGCACGATAGGCCGAAAACTTTCTCAGAGAGGGAGGTTTTCCAAGTAGGGACTGAGCACGACCCAGCCCACCCTGGGAGTCGAACCCAGGATGTCATGAATCCAGAGTGGCTCTGCCACACTGCCACAGTTGAACACATGCAAGATGCATGATGTGGGTTTTGTTATCACTCAGGCACAGCCTCCACATGCCTCCACCTTCCTGAAGTAGTAATTATAGTGCATGCTTAATCAGCATTGCAAATCACCATAGCAGTATTGCCAATCCCCAACCAAGGATTGCAAATAAGGACTCAAGGATTGCCAATAGGACTTAGGGATTGCAAATACTAGTTTATCAGTTTAGTCAGATTGCAAATTATAGTTTAGCAGTTTAGTCAGTTTGAAGGGTATAAAAGGAGCACATCTCCCCCCTCTTTCTTCAGCAATGTATCTTCATCTTGAAGTTGAACTTCATCTTTGAAAGTCACCTAGTTGGTTCTAACCCAACACCTCAGTACCCTCAGTACCTAAGGCAGTCATCAAGCTCTACGAGCCAGAGACTAAAACCCTTCAGTACCCAAGGCAGTACTTTGCAACCGCAGTCTACCCGCAGGCGTGACACAGGATCCTACCCGCAACCGCCGGTTAATCTGTCACGAGACCAACTAACCAGCATTGGGACGATATAACAGTGCCCTTCAGAGACAGTGGTCTAAACCACTGCGCTAAAAGGCCTATTAACCGGCGGTTACTGCATACCGCCGGTCGCTGGTTAAATACCCAACCCATCCTATCACTATCACTATCAAACTGTCTTGTCACTTCGTGACATTAGCCGAGGTTCGTCGACCGTCGGTCTGCTAGAAGATAGTTGTTTGACAGCCGTGACAGTATCAAGGATTGCTCTTACCAATGACCCGTGCGAACCTCGGAGAGGAAGATATTATGGAACCAGAAAGGAGAGTTACCCGAGGCATGAGTAGGGACGGAGACAGGATGGAGGAGAACGAGAGGAGAGCCTTGGAGGAACTTCGCAGAGCAATGGGGCAGGACCTTGGAGTGGAAGATAGTGGGGGGGGGTCAGTGCAAGGAGATGAGTTCGTTCCACCGGTACCGTCTAACCCTCCATCCCCTCCATCTAATGCTCTTCCACCTGTGGGATCCCCACTTGGATCAGACCAAACCCCACGCCCAAGAGAAAACACCAGAAGTACAGTGAACTGGGGAGAGGAAGGAACACAAGGGGTGGTGTTGGCCTTGATGCAGATGGTGGCGAATATGAACAAAGACATGATGGAAGAGAGAAGGCGTAGGGAAGAGTGGGAGCAGAGAAGAGAAAGGGAGACAGTGGGCGGAATTGCAGCAGGGATATCAGAAGGGGTGAGGTACGCCATGGGACGGCAAACTTCGGCGACCCCAAGCGTAGCTGGGGAACAACGGAAGGGAATAAAGTTGCCTAACCCAGACCTCTGGAGAGGAGACCGGAATAAATTAACCGCCTTCTTGTCTGAATGCGACGTACACTTTGAATTAAACTCTCACCTTTTCCCCGACGACACTAAGAAAGTCTTTTTCATGATCTCTCATTTGCGCGAAACACCTCTTCTTGCTGTTCAACCCGACCTATCAAGAAGGCCTCTCCCGGAATACCTCACGACACACAACCAATTTGTTAAGTATCTCAAGACAAACTTTGGTGACCCCGATGAGGAAGGGACTGCAGCGCGACAGCTCAATGATCTTACGCAAACCGGTTCTGCTTCGGACTACTTCTCCGCCTTCCAGCGACACGTCGCCATTCTCAAGTGGTCTGACGATGGGAACCTAGTTGATCGAGCCAAGAAAGGTTACAATCACATCTCCTAGATGAGATTGCAAGACACGGTAGATCGTTTGGGACTGTGAAAGAGCTATTGGAGTTTGTTATTCCCTTGGACAATCACCTGTGGATGAGGCCAGTAGAGAAGGAGGCAGAGAGGAAGAGGGAAGGAGGGATAAGGACAACGACAGTGGTGGAGAGCCAGAGGACGGAGAAGAAAGAAGAGAAGAACAGGGAAAAGGGGCAACCTTCGGCGCAGGGTGGTGTCCAGGCGACTATGATGTCAACGGTGGTAAGGAGTGCGCCGCCAAACATCGACGAGGTTCGCCGAAGATGGCCCAGGCCGAGTTCCGATCTGAGGGAGACAAGGAGAAAAGAGGGGAAGTGTACGGAGTGTGGTGAAACAAGACATTGGCTAAAGGAATGTCCTGTAAGGGAGGCTAAGGTTAAGGTTGGACTGTTGCCTCCATGGGGGGAGAAGTTCGGAGAACGTGGTGGAGGATTGGTGTCACGCATCATCCTTTTCCCATCAAACGAAGTTCCTTTGGACATCAGTTCGCCATCAACGACCCAGTTCTCATGAACTTCATCACCCACGAGGGTATTCGGAGGCTAACTTCGTCGAGGGCGAAGTTAGTCATGTAGGAAGTTAGGAAGTTATGAAGTTAGGAAGATACGAAGTTAGGGAGATACGAAGTTAGGAAGATACGAAGTTAGGGAGGCACGAACTTCGTCGGGGACGAAGTTTGTGAGGTACGAAGCTTGGGACTTCGGGTTGAACGAAGTTCTGCGTTGACGAAGTTAGGGAAGGACGAAGTACTTAAGGGCCGAAGTTCCCAGAGATCTTTGACAATCTCTGGTTGTTGTCTTAGTAATAGAAGTTAGTCAAGTACAAAGTTATTACACCCAGAAGTTATTGTCACTTATTTCATATCTCGAACAACGAAGTTGGTAAAGGTCAAAGCCCACAAGGTTATTGGCCGTCAGTCGTAGGAAATTAACGAAGAAGCAACCCTTTGACAATTGGGAGGGAACGCAGTACCTCTTGGACAGAGGAGGAACTTAAATGCGGTTGAAGGAGAAGTAGATTTGGGAGAGGACCAGGGAAAAGAAGAGGACCTGTCGCAGTAGGCGAGGCTCGGCGGGTCCGCCATATTCTCTCGGCCACCATTCCCAAACCTATAAAAGAGACACAGCTGATGGAGCCAGAGGATTGTGAATACAAAAATACACCACTCAGTACCCCTTGTTCATGCAATGTCGATAATCATCTCCTCATCCCTTCCACTTCTAGAGATCAACCTAAATCAGACATTTTCATCAATGGAATGAAGCTAACTACGCTCTGGGACACTGGGGCTACTTGTTCATATATAAGTCCTAGGGCAGCGGCAAAGATAGGCGCAGAAAGGAGACAATACCAGGTGAGCGTACCCGTTCACATATTTGATGGCTCGGTTAGTGTTGCTGGACCTATCACCAAGTTTATCAAAGTCGGTTTCAGTTTGACGAAGGATGCCGAAGTGTGATCTGTTCGTCTCGATGTAACAACGCTCTGCGATGCAGATGTTGTGATAGGGTGGGACTGGATGAGGAAGGAAGGGGTTGTTCTTGATGGAAGAGACAACTCGGTGAAATTCCCCATCCTGAGCCCACCAAGTGCGGCGAAGTTAGCGGCCATAGGGCTGCCAACTCCGACGGACGCGATAGATCTCCGAGACAAAGATGACCAGGATGAACTGAGTCCGGGGGAACAGGAGGAATTGTATCAGGTGGTTCCTGAACAATATCACCCGTTTATTGATGTTTTTAACCCGAGGAAGGGAGGTGAAGAATTACCTCCCTCGAGGGGATATGATCTGGAGTTTGATCTTAAGGAGGGGGCGAACCTGAAGGTTGCTCCACTCTACTCCCTCGGAGAAGATCAGAGAAGTGCGCTGAGAGACATCCTAGATTGCGAAATATCGGCCGGAAGAATTCGACCCAGTAATTCACCCTACGGATCACCGATGTTCTTGGTACCGAAGAAAGCAAAAGGTCAATGGCGGATGGTCATTGACTACCGAAAGTTCAACGAGGCAACGGTACCCAACGCCTATCCACTGCCTCTGATCGGCCAGATAACCGAAGAGCTGGGAAAGGCGAGGTATTTCAGCAAGTTAGATCTGATTGGGGCTTATCAACTTCTACGAGTAAAGGAAGGACACAAACACTTGACGGCGTTTAGGACTCAGTACGGTATGTTCGAGTCTCTTGTTGTCCGAGATGGTCTGCGAAATGCTCCTGCTGTATTCCAGCACTTCTTAAATGAGAGTTTTTGAGAGCTGTTAGGAAAGGGAGTAGTTGTCTACATAGATGATATACTCATCTACGGTCAGACGTTGGAAGAACTGAGGGGAACTACGGCGAAGGTGTTCGAAGTGCTTCAAAGGTCGAACTTGTTCGTAAAAGTTAGTAAGTGCAAGTTTGAGAGAGATTTGGTAGTCTTTCTGGGGTTTGTGGTTTCGCGCGGAGGGGTTTCCAGTAATCCGGAATACATCGATGTTGTCGTCTCTTTTCCCCGTCCGAAGAACCTGCGAGAGAGCAGAGGGTTCATGGGAGTGGTCAGTTATTATCGGCGTTTTGTCCCCAACTTCTCCAGGATTGCTAAACCAATCAATGATCTCATCAGGAAGGATGTACCGGTTTGTTTGGGGGAGTAGAACAGGAAAGAGCTGTTAAAGAATTGAAGAATAGAATGTGTAGGGCTCCAGTATTGGCTCGCGTTGAGCCTTTGTTGAAGACACTACTACAAACAGATGTGTCTTTTTTCGGCTGGGGTTTCATAATCTTGCAGGTGAACGAGTTAGGGCAAGAACACCCGGTAGCTATCGAGTCCGGTGCGTTTCAGGCGGCACAGTTAAACTACACGGTAGGCGAGAAGGAGCTACTAGCTATCGTTGAAGCTTTCAGAAGGAGGAGACACTTACTGCTACAGGTAGAGACTACAGTCCTCACGGATCATTTGAATTTGACGTATTGGATGGAACCTAAACAACTGAGCCCTAGGCAGGGTAGGTGGGTCGAAGAGCTCTCTAATTTTAGGTTTAAAATGGTGTACCGACCAGGAAAACAAGCTACACTGCCGGACAGACTGTCGAGAAGAGCAGACTACCACTCTGGAAAAGGGAGTACTTTGGTCCAAGAGAGCAATCTTATTCAAGGTCTGCCGAAGTTCGACGAACTTGACAACACTAGCTCTGGGTTACAACACCTGCTACGGGCTCTACAAGGGACAAAGGAAGTGCGAGAGAACGACCTTATTGACCCTATGGACTTGATCTACTATAATAAGAGAAGATGTTGAGCTAACTTTGGAGACAAACCACGTGGCTAGCGGCGACACCCGCACTCAGAAGCAAGACGATAAGACAGCGAGAGAGAGAACAGAGAGAGAGAGAGAACAGAGAGAGAGAGACAGACAGCTAGAGAGAGAGAGAGACAGAGAGACAGAGAGAGGAAAGAGAGAGAAGAGAGAGTAGCTACGCGTCCACGGGTCTGAGAGAAAGAGAGAGACCACGGGCTCACGGATTACAAACCAAAAAGGAAGGATACGGGCCTGTCAATTTGACAGGTTGGCACGCTAGTAGTTGGAATACAGGACAACGAAGAGGTGGAGGAGGTTAGAGAAGAGTTATTGGGAGTAATCTGTGCTGAGTGCTCCCATCCGACATGTCACGATAACCTACAGGAACCAGAGTCGGTCGCCAAATTACGCCGTAGTTCGCCGTCCCGTTAATACTTCGTGGGGGATGGAACCCAAGGGGGTTCCTCACGTTCAATGATCGTACTTATGTGCCGAACTACGCCAATGCCCGGCTGAAGATCATGAAGATGTGACATGACTCGGCCTTAGCTGGTCACCCAGGTTCAGCAAAGACCCTCGAGCTAGTCCTAAGGGATTATGTTTGGGTTGGAGTAAGGAAGGATGTCAAAGACTATATCGCTAGATGTGCGGTATGTCAGAGAGCAAAGACTAACAGGCAGAAACCCCATGGAGAGCTTAAAACACTGGAAGTGGCTATGAGACCTTGGTCCAGCATCTCGATGGATTTTATTGAGGAACTCCCGAATTCCCATGGGTTTAACTCCATCCTGGTAGTGGTGGACCGATTGACCAAATGGGCCATTTTTATCCCGACTACGACGAAGTTAACCGCAGCTGGCCTATCAGAGTTGATAATGGACTACGTGGTGGCTCAGCATGGGCTACCAGAGAACATAGTATCGGACAGGGGATCGAAGTTCACCTCGAAGTTTTGGAAGAACCTAACCGATAGTCTGGGGATAAGACTACATCTCTCTACTGCGTATCATCCACAGACTGATGGACAAACCGAACGAACCAACCAATCTCTCGAACTATACCTTAGAATCTTCACCTCTTACCAGCAGAACAACTGGTCGAAGCTGCTTGCTCGAGCTAGCTTTGCTGACAACAACACCCATCATTTTGCGATAAACAAGACCCCATTTTATGCGAACTATGGGTACCTGTCACAAGACCAACTAACCAGCATTGGGAGGATATAACAGTGCCCTTCAGAGACAGTGGTCTACACCACTGTGCTAAAAGGCCTATCAACTGGTGGTTACTGCAAAACGCCGGTCGCTGGTTAAATACCCAACCCATCCAACTCTTACCAAACTGTCTTGTCACTTCGTGACAGTACCACCCTCGGTGGGCTGAAAAGATTAAGGCCAGTGAAGTCGAGGTACCTGCTGCTACAATAGTAGTGAAAGACCTAACCGAAATACATAAAGAATGTATTGAGGGGATTGAGAGAGCTAACGAGAAGTACGCCGAAGGATACAATAGGAAACACCGAACTACGCCAAACTTCGAGGAAGGTGACCTACTTATGCTGTCGTTAGAGAATATCAAGACTAAGAGGCCAATGAAGAAGCTGGATGTTAAGCAAAGTGGGCCGTACAAGGTAGTACGGCAGGTAGGTTCTCATGCTTGTAAATTGGAATTACCAGGAACAATGGCAGGTATCCATGATTGTTACGGAGTAACAACGAATCGAGAGAACTCCATCGAGTTCGACGGATTAGGAAAGAGAACGGCAAGAGTTGGAGGCAGTGCTGCAGTAGGTAGGGACGGGTTTTCCCTTTTCGAGATTTCCCCACTGAGTTTGCTCAAAAGCGGTTTTTCACCTGTCCGAGTATGTACATAGACGCTTGCAGTAGGAACTGAGAGGAGGACACGGATACCTGTAGACAGTATATAGTACAATCAGCAAAGTACCAACTTTGCTGATTCTTCAATATCATTCTTTGGCTACATCGATTGCAGAGGAGACACGATCCACCACATTGCACCAGAGACACACAGATTTCCACGAGAGTTCCATCGAGTTCGACCCAACCTGCGACCTAGTCATCGTGTTTCCAGTACCGTTACAATGATGTATTCCATGTCTCCCTGCTCCATCCCTACCATCCTCCAGTGTTCCCTGGTCAGCTCGCTGAACCACCTGGTCCAGTAGAAGTAGATAACGTAGGAGAGTCGTGGGAGGTAAAGGATATTGTGGACGCTAGAATTAACAAGAGGTCAGGGAAATTAGAGTATCTGGTAGAATGGTTAGGTTACGAAGGCTCGGATGACGCAGTATCGTGGGAACCAGTAGAAAATGTGGACGGAACTGATGATATATTGGCAAAGTTCCACGAACTTCACCCTGATAAGCCGAAGGAAGGACAAGTGGTGAGACCACGAACGAGGAAGTAATTCATACAACAGGTATAACATCAGCTACATACAACTCACTACTGCGAACTTCCTCCCTGTTCCCTGTTCCCCGGTACAGGGCCACCTCCAGAACTACTCTCTGTAACCTTTGGTGGTGCCACCCGTCGAAGGGACCGAGCCTCTCTCCACGCTGTATTGAAGGCCAGAATGTGGGAGGTATGAAGAGCAGAGTTACGAGCGATGTTCAGACTAGGCAGCTTCCATGACTGTCAAAGTGTTCTAAGACAGTCCGGGGGAAGAGCCAGGATATCAAGAAAGGCAGCATCCTGAGAACTGAGTCGAGCCGGGTTGGGTGGCCTTAACCAGTCGAGTGTGGGGGGAAGGGCGTACCCGATGGGATTCAGGAGGAAGGGAGAATCGAAGAGATTGCAGTAGAAATCGTTCATGTCCGTCATGAGCTCTTGGGAGACTCTAGCTAACTCAGTCCGCGCTAATGGGCCTATATCGGAGGAGTTTACAAGAGTTGCCATTGTCTGGGACAGAGTATTCATACCAGAGACCAGCTTCATGCAATATTCGAGAAGCTTCGCCGTATCTTGTCTATTGGCGTGTAACTGCGTGGTCAATCCAATGATGAGAGAACAGAAGGTAGCCAATTGTTTCTCCTCCTCTGGGATTTGAGGGTCGTTGGAAATGTATGGGTGGTCGAGGGGAGGAGGGATTTCCCCTGGTAGCTGAGTACTTTCATTCTCCACCACTGCAGGTTCAAATTGGACGGTCTTCTTCTTTCCCTTTCCTTTTGAAGATCTCGAAGGAGGAGTTTGTACAGGAGGAGCAGGAGTTGAGAGCCCAGTGACAGGAGGGACAGATGGTTGACGGCTTTGGGTCCCCAGGGCAGGAGGAAGAGTTAGAGGAGAGTCCTCTTGTGCTGAGACAGGAGTAGGACGGCTCCTGGTAGGACTAGACAAAGCGGCCGAAGGGGTAGCTGGGAGACGAGATGGGCCAGCCACAGGAGTAGAAGGCCGGAGGACGGCGGAAGGAGCACGACAAAGAGTGCGAGGAGACGGACCTGCCAAAGGAGTAGCGGGAAGACGAAACGGTCCGGCCACAGGAGAGGTAGGCGGGCGACAGGCGGCGGGTGACAGCGAGGTAGGGCCGGGAGAGGAGAAGTTCGCCGAAGGAGAGCGCAAAGGATAGCCCCTGTCTAGCCCTGTGGGGAGATGACGGCGGACAGCGGTGGACGGAGTGTACGGAGATCTAGGAGGAATGTCCCGAGCGACGTTGGGGTGACAGAACGAGCATGGCCCAGAAGTGCAGGAAGCACAACGGGATCCACAATTACGAGGTTTGACCAGTCGTAAACACGGCCACTTCTTCCTCCCGTACGTGATAATTTTGCGACTATTGATCAGCAGATGTATAAACCTCTGCGGAAGAAACCTACCGACACCTATCACACGACTCCTCTATACTGGCGACCTCCCAACGTTCCCTTTCGTCCTCGAACAACTTCCATAATCTTTCCTGCTCCCGCAATAACGCCTTACAAGCACTTCCTGGCTCCTTAGCAGAACGGGAGACACTTCTCTCAGCACAGGCGAAGGCCGACTATGAGTACCTTTGGTCCGCTTCGCCGAAGGAAGGGGAGGGTCGTCGTGGACCGAAGGGGAGCGGCGACGTTTCTCGGACTTCACCTCAGCCAGCTTAGCCATGTAGGCTACTCGTTTCCTCCTGTTGGAGCTCTGTAACGTCACGCAAAGCTTGGGAGATCCTTCGATGACGCGGATAGCTGGCCATGTTAGCACTCACGAACAGGTAACGCGACAGGGAACGTACGACTCAATCCTCCTAACTCGGCCAACCAACCATCCCTATCCTTGAACAACTCCTGGTCACCGAGATCAATATCATACATCTCCTCATCCACCTTGCCCATTCTCTCTCCATCATCTGCACCACCCGTTTCCTCATCATCAACAACATCAGTCATCTCTTCATCACTATCAACAACATCCATCTCCTCGCCGTCATCATCAATCTCCACCACAGTAGCAGACTGACCCGAAGCTTGCAAAGGGCCAACAGGAGCAGGTCTGGCCTCCTGTTGGCCAGAGGAGAGAGAGGTCGGAGCCATAGCGGGGGACACGGTGGCAGAAGGAACCGCAGCAGAGGCTCTGGCAGCAGGAGGGGCCGCGACAGACGGCAAACCATCAGTGATGGCGAGGGCTCCAATGCCCATGGACGACACTTGGCGGGGGGAATTCCCCTGCTGAGAGACTGAGATAATCAGCGAAGATCTAACTTATGACTAGCACGAGTGGACTTACGGACAGCGGTGAAGCGATCTAAAAAGACGCGGTAGGCGTCGAATTCTGGTCGAGAGGTCATATTGTTAGAAATATATCAAATGGATATGTTTGGTAAGGTAAAGGCTGAGAATCAATAGACGATGATAGTACGATTTAGGAATAGTACTGGGAAAGAAGAAGAAGTGGGCCGAAGTACTGAGTATTTAGTATAACTTACACGACGACTCGTCGTCAGGGTGCTGGTAACTTCGCATAACTAGGTGTCTCAGCAACAACAAACACCATGGCGATGATCAAAATTTCCACGCTACGTGTCTCACATTCATATAAGTTAGGGATACGCTGACGAACTTCGAAGAGGTTTCATATACCCCAAATCCTCTGTCTCACATACAACGTCATTACCACGGATAACAATAACAACCACGATGAACTTCGACGAAGTAGTCCGTCTCATCACCAACAACCTACGGGCCACCTACCAACAACTGGTGCTTTGATGATTGTTTTCCTACAACCCGCTGAGTGTCCTTTTCTTCATTACATGCATACGAAGCTCACGAGGATGTTTGCACCTAAGGAAGGGGCAACTGTCACGAACCATGTCGTGACACCCCTGACAACTACCATCACCGACCCTCCTTTCACCATCACCGAACCACTGTCCACCACCATCCCGAACCACTGAGACCAACTACGACGAAGTTACGAGAACCTAGGGATTATTTGTCACGACAACCCCGCCTAACGGAGAACTACGGCAAAGTTAGGGGAAGGAAACCGAGGGAGAGTGGAGTAGGGGAAGTTAGGCAAATTTAGTCGGAGTAGGATATCGGAGGTACGGCGAAGTTGAACGAAGAGGACTGAGTGCGAGGCTGTACAGGGGTTGAGGGACTTTCTATGAGAAGAGAGGGGAAGTATAGATAGTTTGCAGATTGCTGAACTTCTTCAGCGATCCTTGATTGTTGTCAGTAGTGAAAGACAGATAGAGATAGCTATATACAATCGAGATACATCGCCATCAGTAGAACAAAACCCCAGTTAGAGTAATTACGCCAAAGTACGCCGTAGTTACACTCCTTTCAATGTCTGCGCCCTCCTGGTTGGGTGAGACATCGACTTAGAAGTGTCAAGTTAGCCGAGGTTCGTTGACCGTCGGTCTGCTTGAAAGCTCTAGGAGGAGTAATTAATATTAGCTGAGAAGATCGTTGAAGTTATTCAGCGATCCTTGATTGTTGTCAGTAGTGAAAGACAGATAGAGATAGCTATATTCAAATTTGAGATACATCGCCATCAGTAGAACAAAACCCCAGTTAGAGTAACTACATCAAAGTACGCCGTAGTTACACTCCTTTTGACGTCTGCGCCCTCCTGGTTGGGTGAGCCATCGACTAAGAAGCGTCAAGTTAGCCAAGGTTCGTCGACCGTCGGTCTGTTAGAAGGTAGTTGTTCGACAGCCGTGACAGTAGCTCTCCTTAACTCAAAGGTTGTAGCTACTGGATATCTCTCTCGCCACTGACAACAATCAAGGATCGCTGAAGAAGTTCACTGATCTGTAAACTATCTATACTTCTTCTCTCTTCTTATAGGACGTCCCTCAACTCCTGCACAGCCTCGCGCTCAGTCCTCTTTGCTCAACTTTGCCATACCTCGCCATATCCCCAATATCCTACTCTTCTCACTTCAACTAACTTCGCCTAACTTCCTCTACTCTGCTCTGCCTCCCTCGGTTTCCTTCTCCTAACTTTGCCGTAGTTCTCCGCCAGGCGGGATTGTTGTGACAAACGCTCCCTAGGTTCCTGTAACTTTGTTGTAGTCGGTCTCAGTGGTCTGGGCTTGTTGTTACGACCTGTCCCCGGCAAATGGTTGTCAGGATGCAGAGACAGGGTGGACAGCAGAAGTTTACAGCAAGCTTGGTCTACAACTGGCGGGAGTAGACCGTAGTGCTGGTACAAAGGTTGACAGAAGATGTTTTGAGTAAGAAGGAGGTAATAAATATAGATCAAGTATAAGAGTGTCTAGTAGTTGGATCTATATACAACAGGTGGTGGGACTTTGGAGCAAAGACTCAAAGTCAGACTTGATAATAGATGGAGTGCCACCGGTAGGATGATCTTGCACTGTCTATGGTCAAAGATGACTTTGGGGCGAGAGGAGTGGTCATGAGGAAAAGTGAGGTGTTTTGAGATAGTTTTCATTGTTACAGTAGATACCCATTCCGCCGCCTTTATTTACCTTTCAGAATTACATGTTTTCACACTGATTCCCACAATCCACAATGTGGCATGTGGAGTCACATGACTAGCACAATTCCACGATGAGGGGTGTGGGGTCACATGACTTGTTGTGATGAGGTGTTATGACCTGGTCATAACAGTTGTGGTGGTCGGCGATGGATAGGGGTTTGGTGATGGTGAAAGGAGGGTTGATGATGGTGGCTGTCAGGGATGTTATGACATGGTTTGTGACAATAATGAAGGACTTGTTACAATTTTTGAATCCATCTGGGCTGTAAGCTCTGACACCCAGCTTATAAGTAATCAGAAGTGAGACGGTTGGAGGAGAGCCAAGGTTAGGGAGAGATATTGACTTCACAAACATTGCGGATGGTAAGGAGAGAATATCTCAAGAGCACACTATGAGGCAAAAGTGTGTGGGCAATGTTCTGTCAGTTGGTCCGTCATGCAAGTTTGTGCTGTGGTGGGAGATATTTCTCCACAGGGGATCCCAACCACCACAGAAGTTGTTAGAGCTGGTTCGATGAACATCTTTGGAAGAATAGACCTTGTAAACATCATTTCGTTCCAATTTGAAGTGCTCACTTACAAGTTTATGACTTTTAGTAGTCTAGTAATGGTATGGGGTGAGAATAGCTCCTCAAGCCCTTCTGCACGGAATTGTGGCAGGACTTGAACTCCGTAAACGGTGAGATTGCATTCTGCGTGATTTGGGGGCAAATTATCTTACACTGCCCATGGTTCTACCTTTGTTGCAGATTTCAAAGAAAATCACTTTCTTTCTCACCCTCTCATCTAATTGATACCCCACTCACCTCAATACTGGCTAAACCGCTCATACGTACCCCGCTTCCCCAGCATCGAAGCATCATCAGCCGTGTTATCATGTGGGGACATGTATCCCTGCAAACCGGTTTTCTCGTATCTGAGGAGCGAACTTCGGTGAAATTGTCTGACAAAAGCTCTGACTCGAACACAGATAAGATGGGCACTGATGAGACCTTCACATACCCAGTACGCCCACATCACATCAATGAAGCTACATTGGCTATGACAGCTCCTGACAGTTGGTGTGTGAAGGACCTCTGCAATCACTATACACAGCTACCAAGCACCTCTCAAGACTTACAAGGTTACGTTAGAATCACGGATTCACCCACCAGACTGGATGGACACAAAATCCCTTCTTCCACCTTCTCGCCCATTCTCTCTTCAACTTTCAACCTACCGAAACTCTTCCGGGACGATCCTATGGCTGACACCCTCAATCAGGATGTGCAAAGCGCAATATCACATGATCTAGGCTGGAGTCTCAAGAGGACAGAAGACCCTACATTGCACGCACTGCCAAGTCAAGCTTGTGACAAATGCACCAAGATGAAACGAGGATGCCAGAAAGTCGTGATTGAGGATAAATGTACTTGTCTCCGCTGTCATAGGTTGAAAGCTTCCTGTACATACTTCCTTCCCAAACGGCAAGGGAACCGGACTGATAGGATCTCAGCAGCCTCAGCGACAATCAACATCAGGGCTCAGAGTGATAGTCCTCATATGTCTACGACCTATAAATCGGGAGGGATATCAGACTCTCCAGCCCTCTCCAGGGGTCTTAGTCTTGGTGACACATCAAGAACGTCTCTCTTGCAATTTCCCAAGTACCCTGAAGCTGTTATAGGGGACAGTGATGAACACAATGCTACTATGCTCTGAGTAAGGCACATGGAGTGAAAATGTGAAAACATTAGACGGCAAGGGTAAGCATTCATTCAGCACTTTTTGTAGTGTGTGGTCTATATCATAAATACAACCTCACTTCATGACCAGTCCTTTATGTCCAGCTATCTCGATTCTGAGCTGAAAGTCATAAAGAGTATGTCTGTACATTACTGCTTGTCCTAGAATATGAGTTGAGACAAATGACAGAGAATGTATGCAGTTTTGACCCAGGACGTGGGGGAGTTAGTAGACTGGATCACCACACAATACCTGGTATCTACAATACGTACTGAGTACGCTTCATATGTCTGATCGTGCTACCAGCTGAGACTGATTGGGGTCTGAGAGGCCCTGATCCAATGCAAGCTTGATCCGGACCAGAATGCGGAGTGGGGATGAATCATCAAACGGCAGAGTGGTTCACATGCTACCATAAGAGGATTGTGGGGACATTCGGGTCTGGTGTTAACTAGAGTAGACAGTATGAGGTAAGACCATTCCACAAACATCAGCTAGTGATTGAGAACTGATAAGAATTCAATATGTTAGGTGACGGACGGAAGACGTGATGCTTCGAAGCAGCACGGGGGTACCTGTGACAGAGGGAAGACATGACACATGTAAGAAACTTCCCTCCTCCAACACATTTTTTCTGACACCACGAGTACCCATTCTATCAGATTATACCGCTCAAATACTGCCCCTCTTGACCTTCAAACTGGGTCAGATCCTGACATTACTCCCAGTGTGAGATGGACAAAAGTGAAGCTTTATGGGGCTATAGAGGAATGCATGCATGCTTATTTTTGAGCCCAAGTGGATGAAGCTCGTCTAGCAGCTCTCCTCATATCCTGGACACAGTTTGGTATCATAGAAGTTGATGGGGATCAATGGAGATGATTTCTCCTCACGGTCATGGAGGAAAGTGTGACGCTTTGAAGTGTCATGATCTATACCCATGACACTTCGAAGTTGCACGGATCTTCGATCCGTCACGCTAAGCCCCGTGACACTTCGAAGCGTCATGGCTTCCGTCCGTCACCTAACAAATACCTTTTCCTGCCATTTGGTGTGGTCGCTAACTTGACATCAAATCTTGAATCTGTCTGAATGTAAGAAGCCCAGTAAAAAGGAAAGAGCATCTTGTGAGCAATATAAATCATAGCGCACAGCTATCATGAACAGGTATCGAGTCATACAATTTCACATTGTCATGCTTGACAGTTGGAAATATCATGAGTATCCTGAGGTATACGACAGGTCGTATCCAAAGGGAGAACTCGTCATGACAGGTTCTTGCTATTTCCATACAATCTTATGTCTACGATGCGTCAACATGCAAGTCAGACAAGGGTCCTGTACGGCGGAGGGGTTTTTAAGCTGAGAGAGTAGCGTGAGAAGGCAGTGGATAGTTCATCGATTTCTCACGGATTGACAATGCTGTGTAGTCCCGGGTTGACTAAGCTTTCACCTCTCCTTTCATTTCTCCATCCCACAACTTTCCTCCTTCCCTCCTCGCTCGGATCTCTCTTCCGCCTTCAAACATCACCAATCCCCTTCAATATAGCTCGGATAGGGATTTTGCCATTTCCCTCAACTTTCATTCCATAGACAAGAGATTTCCGACCAGATGAATCTCTCTGAAATTCTCATACCAGGTATGCCAGGTTCCCCAGAGACCATTGGAGATAAAGGGAATATCAACTCAATAGACAATCCCTCTTGCAATAGTCATGTAACTGAAGATCCCACCCTGACAGCGGATGCTGACCGGCCCAGCTTGTGTATATCCGATACTTCTACATCCCTTATACAGCCGGATGGGTCAACTGACCAGATGGAAGACAGTTTGCCACTAGATGCCCCAATGCTCATCTTGGGTACAGAGCCATCCCCAAAGACTGGGCAATCTAAGTCCCGGTTAAAAGCCTGCCCCTCCTGTCATAAAAGCCAGAGAAAATGTAACTTGCAAGACAGTCTTAAGGCAGGGGGTGATCATTGTTCATGGTGTTCAAATCAGACTGAATGTGCATCAGGAGTTATCTCAGGTATCTCAACTGACACTGTCAGGCCCAATAGACCTGTGTGCAAGGGGTGTAAAAAGGATAAAGTACGGTGTTTTACAACAGGGTCACTTGGCCAGTGCACTCCATATACCTTGAAGCAAAGACCATGTACGTTCAATTCTGTATCTAAAAGAAGGACAAAACCTCGCACAAGACAGAACCAACAACGGAGTGTCGGGGATCGCCTGTTAGAGCGGCAGGGAAATACTACGGGAGAACCACAAGTAATGCCAGACCTGAGGAGTTCATCAGACTTGCAAGGCTCACAAGGTTCACATCAGGAACAGTCTGAAGAACAACAGCCACGAGTACCGTCTAGCTCACGATCAATCAGCATGTATCCATGGTTATGATTATACTTCGAGACATTACATTAAGCAATCAACCTCCAAAGTTTTTTTCCGATTACAGTCTGAGTCACTTATACAGATATGGAGGTCAACTTCAGCGGCATTTAGTAATACCAAGTCAGTGATGCACAAGACCATCATGGTGTCAGCGGCCCGCAGGAGGTGTGTGATCCGACTTTACTTACTGTTCATCCACACAACTATTCTCACCGTGTCATATTTGCCCTGAAATTTTCGCCATCTCTGCCGTAATCATGTTCATAACCCCCCAGCAGGCGATGTTATGAGAATCTCCAACCTCTCATCCCTCTTGGTTCTTACCAATAAGATCTCCATCAGACATCTTCATTCACCGGCCCTTTGTGTACCCTTCTCCCATTCCTTTCCTTCTCCTTAATTGTGGCCCCAGCTTCATCCTTTCACATCTTCTGGTGGTCCTCTCCCATACAGTGGGGTGCGGGAAAGGATCGAACAAGCGTCAAATCCGTGCGTTTGCATGTCTTTCTCTTCGATTGTCAATAACTCATGCATGTGTCCATCTAATGACTTGAGAATTGGTAGAACTGTCGATCAGGGTTGGTTCTATGCATAGGCAAAAGGAGAGACTCACCTAATCAGTATTTTGTCACACCACCCTTCGCTTTGATCACCCCTTCCAACCTCCTTATCATGCTATCAATAGTCCTGTCTATCACTTCCTGAGGCATCTCCTTCCACACTTCTTGTGCAACTTTGAACAGCTCCTTCTTATTTGTGGGACGCTTAGGAAGCTGCCAGATCTTCTGGCGGAGAAAATACCAGCAGTTTTCGATGGGATTGAGGTCTGGAGAGGAGGGGGGATGATCAACATAGTGAAATCGCTGTTTCTTCGCTTGATCTCGATTTTGGTCGCAAGTATGAAGCGGTACATTGTCCTCCACTATCCTAGCACCACCGTAGGCTCGCCATTTATTGTTAACACAAGTCCAAGCCGCTTTAAGGGGTCCCTTCGTTATCTGGTCTCGATAAATCTTAGCAGTGATCCCCTTCCTCTCTCCTTCACTATCCTTTGTGTCAAACATGACCAATTCCGACCGTCCCCCATACCATATAGCTCCCCATATCAAGCAAGAACTCCATCCACCCATAAACTTAGGCCGAAGACACTCATCCAGATACTCCTCTCCCTCTTTACGCGTCACATACGACTTTGACGACCAATTCAGTTTGAGACACATTTCATCCACAAAAATGGTCCTCCTCCAGTCGTTTACACTGTCTTGTTGATGTTTCTTTGCATATTCAAGTCGGATACGCTTGTGACGTTTGGTGAGAAATGGTTTCTTTCGAGCGACACATCGTTTGAAGCCGAGACGTTTCATTATGACGCGTAAGGTTGTGAGAGAGATGCTGATCCCTTCCCCTTTGACGATACCAACTAGTTCCTTCCATCCCTTGCCACGATTCTGCTTGATAACAACTTCAATACGTCTAAGGGTGCGAGGAGTGAAGCGTGAGGGTCGACCGGTAGGCTTAGAACGGGAAGTATCACCAGTCTGTTGCAACTGGGTGACCAGACGCGAGATAGTATCGAGAGAACATCCATGTTCAGCTGCTACCTCCCGATGGGTGTAAGTCAACGCTTTTTGAGCAATTCTTGCACGTGTCACGGGTGAAAAACATTTGCCAGGCATGATTGAATACTCAGGAAGAAGACTAGATTGAGTAGAGAACATGAGATGATCCCTGCATGCGACAAAACAGGTAAACATATGTACGCAACATGAAACTGATGGACACGATCAAGGTACGATTTTGTTCGATCCTTTCCCGCACCCCACTGTAGGTCGTGGATAGGGTACATCTCTTCTCCCTCCCATTCCCACAAGCCAACAACTCTGCCCCGCCGCAAAGTCTTTCCAAGGCTTCAATGTCCAGAGGTCAGTCAACTGCCTTTGAGAAGTCCTTGGTTCTGATGGTCTTGATTGGTAATGAGGGTCTTCTGCCATATATACACCATACGAGCTTGAGGCTCAGACGGTTTAGTGGCCTACTGAAGATGTGTCCGTCATGGCGATTACTTCCTTCACCTGCCTCTTTTCACCTTCCCGCAGAATCTCCAGACAGTAAGGGTGCATGTTGTTAGCCAGATTGAGCAAGGGGAACCAATAGCTGCACATGGCTTACAAAACATCCACTATTGTGTCCTCTTGTCCCACCGTCATACACTCACAATCTCCTCAGCAGATAGAGTGAGACAAGCAGGAATAAGATTTGTGAGATAGCAAGTGTGTATTATAGTATAAGTATAGCTGCTCCACATCTTTCTCCCTTTGGTTCTGGCCATTTTAGTCTCCTGTCACGACCCGTGACTAATCAGCGTCCGGCCGGATAGATCATAGTACCCTCAGTTCCTACTGAACAGAAAGGTCTATCAACCGCTGATGTCTTCATTCACCAATCACAGGTTATATACCCGTCATCGTCCGTAACTTTGCTTCCTTAGCTTAGCTCAACCTTCATGTCACAACAACTCGTGATATCTCCCTCCACAAAGCTCAACCAGGTAACTTTTGTATTAGCTAATTAATCACCGGTGAGGAGTGTACTTGTTTCACTCCTTGGCATCAAAATATGATTACATATTGCAAATGCCTGGGAAGCATGCCCTACCCACCTGTCCCAATCAAAGTCAGACCCAGAGTGCTACAGAGAGCTGAGTTACCACAGGTATTCAAGAGTGCAGCTTGTAGTAAACAGACCTTAGCTTGATGTATCCGTGTACCCGGACACTGGGTGGTATGAATTCAGTAATTGGTCAAGTGGGGCCGTGCTGCTTCGAAGTTGCACCTCTTCCGTGTGGCACCTACGAGCATGAGTGCCATACATTGATACGTGATTTCGCGTGCGCGGCACGCCAGCTGCCATCTCGCCACACTGCCACATTGCCACACCACCAAACTGCCACGGGAAGGATGGATGACGTCAGTGTGTGATGACGAGTCACCCCTTCTCTCTTCTTGTCTCTCTCCCCCCCCCCCCTCCCCTCCGACAACCTTGTATATATCTCAGGCCTCTCCTTCTTCTTCTGTGACCATCACTGCGGAACATCTTGCTCAACAGAACCATCATGGACCTAGGCAGACCCATTGACGTTCATCCCGATACCGACACGATGTCGTCTCACAGCGAAACCCACGTCTCTCAGGGAGGTAGCAAACCTCTCCCGACCCTCCCACTTGTTCATCCTTCCACCGACCTCAATCCCAACGCGGTGCCCTCGGCCACGATCGATCCCGACAAGCCTTCTTCTGAATCCAGCCCTACCGCTCTGCCCACCAATCCAAACACCAACCCCACAGAACAGGCAAAGGCCATGAAGGAAGAACATCCCGCAGTGGTGAATCGTGAGATTGAAAAGACCAAAGCTGCGGAGAGGGAGGTTAAGGGTGAGAGACCACTGGGGACAATGGTGCGTGGTTTGGAGGATGATCGACTTTGGGCCATGTTGAGGGCATTTGACAGAGTACGTATCTCTCATGCGGAGTGTCATCAGATCCGCGTTCCCGCTCCCTACCCTCCTTCCTTCTCATCGTATCCTAGGCTCTTCCTATTTTCCTGATCCACACCGGGAGCATGGAACTCACCACCCCATAAGTGGAATGTACAGAAGATCAGTTGGTCGGTCCTAGCGGCAGGCAAAGGAGTTCAATGCCACTGCGAACCGAATAACGCAGAAACTGATTTATAGGACATCACCCATGTTCTCCACCCAGCAACACATCTGCCGCCTAGCGAACCTGATCTACGAGTGTCCACCCTGCCCAACTTACCCTCGCATTCCGAAACGATCAAACGTAATGCGGAAAGGGTATTTGCAGCCATTGGCCCTTCGTCTGTCCGTGGGGCCAGGGAGGTACAGCGACTCATGTCCTGGTCTCCTGAGGAGAGATGGAGGACTGGATCTTACTGCGCTGCGTATTTCACTTGCTGGATCTTTGGGTATACCATGGCTGGTGTATTGAGCTTCTTCGTTGCTATCGTCTGTTTTCCAAGCTGCAGGAGATGGTTCTTCCCTCCGGTACGTCTTTTTCGCGTTTTTGCGGTGATGCATCTGCCGTTACCACATATATTGTCCATTTGAATGAACGGCCGCTGATACGTAGGTCCCACCCGCTCCGTTCACTCCGATTTCGGCAACGGACCCTACAAACAAGAAAGGTGACGAGAGTCTGCTTGGAAATGTAGATAAGAAGACTGTGCATCGGAGTAAGGCCGAACAGGCAGAGGAACAAGCGTTTGAGGCTACTTCGATCTTACAAGCTTACACCACTCGTTTAATCTTTGTGAGTGAACTGTAGCTTGTAGGCCCATCTCTAAGTCACCACACCTTGTTTCTTGACCTGCGCGTACCAGAGCTACATATTTTTTTCGGGTCTTTCATCCAATCCCATGGTAGCCTCGTCACCAACCGTTGTGATTTTGGGCCAACGTCGCTTACGATCAGGACGGTAGCAAGAAGGGCAAGAACGCCGGAAACTCTAACGTTGGCGAGAAGGTGCATCATTCAGATCTCGAATCCACGTCCGAAGAGGATGATTCGGTTGTTGTAAATCAAGGTGAAGTAGGACAAGACAAGCCTCAAGGCGAAGAAAGTGCCGATCTTGTCGTCGCTGGTCAAAAAATTGATATCGACTCTAAAGCTGCCGGAAAGAATTTGAGCGAGAAAGAAAAGAAAAAGCTCGCTGCGAAGGAAGCTAAAAAGAAGAGGGATGAATTGGTGGGCAAGATGACCAAGAGTACTGAGGTCGGTTTGGGTGCATTAGCCGACTATATAGAGAGGCTAACCAAGTGCGTGTACTAGTTATATCAGTCGACTGTAGTCTCTCGCTGATGATCAGCGCTCTTTCCCCACCCGCCCCATACCCCGACTCGTACGCGAGGTTTAAAATTGCCGGAGCATTCCTTGTCCCGCCCATGTTTTTACTCACATATGTCCCGCCGTGGATCTTCGCAAGATCAGCGACGTTCATGTTTGGTGTGGGGATGTGGGGCCAGCCTGTCCTCATCTGGGCGGCAAAGAAGGGTATGGAGCTTATCCCGGATTGGGACAAGTTTATGGAGATGATGGATATACGAAAGTGCGTCTTTTCTTCTATCGGTGTCCCCTTCCCTACTCCTGTCTCGACGGGATCTGGCCACATACGGTTGTGACCTGTATTCCACGGTTGGTCAGAACTACCGAGATCATCAGACTGAGTAGCAAGTCAGCGCCTTGTGGAGCACAGGGACACTGTCCAGCGCAAGTAATACAAACAGTGCTGATGACTAGCTCGATCTTATCTGGTGTACCTACGGACGCACAATTGACTCTTCATCTTCTTCGAGTAGGAGAAGCTCTTGGAACCCCGTTGCCTAGACCACCGTGAGTCCGAGTCTCCTCTGCGTTCCGTCCACCTCAATGCCCTATGATCGATCTTTTCCTCGCCGGTCGACTCTGAATAATTCCTCTTCACCTGCACGTGATCAATCAGCTGATTCTCAGTCCTCCGCCTCTCAAAGGTTCACCCAAAGTAAGTCTCGTTCCTCCACGTTGACTCGCCGGTGTGGTCGCCGCTTGGCCATTCTCGTCGCCTACTCGCCATCATAATCTGGCTACGTAATCTCACCTGAATGCTAGCACCTTGCCCATATCACCTCGCCTGTGCCTTCATGATGTAGTGAGGAATCTCCAGAAGTACTAATCTCTTAGGAAGCTATCAAAGATACCGCCCCGACCGACATTACCGCAGATGACGAAGCCGAGGTTGAAGCTGCTGAGGAAGAGGGTGGTGCCAAAGAAGTGGCTGTCAAAGCCAAGACCAAGACCAAAAGTCACTTTTTGTCTTTATTCCGTGGAGCCGGTCGAAAGGCTGCTGGGTTTAGAGGTGATGTGGCAGTGAATGGAAAGAGGAAGACGGTGGGTCCGATTTTTCTTCTGACATACACCGTCCCTGTCCTACTCACTCTCCCCTGTCCTCTCTCTTGTTTTTTGCGTCGGTAGTGGAGTTGTCGGTTTGGGAATTTTGTTGATCAATGACCAGATTGGTAGTACCATTGATAAATTATTCTTCAGCGGGTTTGCCAAAGACAACGAGCACATGCACTGTGAGTATCCCCTTCCGTTCCAGCAGTTTAATCAAGCTCACCATCCGCAGCATTCCCGGCCAAACTCGATGGGACTTCTGGACATATCATCATTGAGAATAAGAACGATATCCTTCAAGTGCCTCAGATCAGTTTTGTCCCACTGTCAGGAAAAGGTCCTTCTTTCGTTTGGTCCATTGATGATATTGTGGAGATTAAGAAGGTATGTTTATTACATCTTCTTTACTCCAAGTTCTATTCACCCCCCATCCTTATCTTCCCCACGGGTTTCGTATTGTCAAAGTTGGGTGAATGGACTGCCAAGGACGACCTAAGTTGGAGGAGTGTGTGAACGTTATCGCTCCCTTTCCCAGAGCTAACCCCCCAGGCACACGTCACAATGTCCCGTATGGCTCTCGGCTGGGCGTCCGGAGCAGAAGTCGAAGGTTTAGGATTGACCATTCGATTCAAATCCGCCCCTGATCAATTGGCCGAGCATGCGGGGATGGATCAGGTGGAAGGTGAGACGAAACATTTCACAAGGGTAGGAAGGAGGGAACAGTTGTTTGTCAGGTTGGTCAGTATGGGTAGACAGAGATGGGAGGTGTTGTAGTATCTTCCCATCCTCCACCCGCTGTGGCCACTCTGATAGCCCGGTCTCGGGTTCCCGTACAAGTGAGTCTTGGAGACTCGAATATTTCAATTATCTGTAAAAAGTTGTGAATTGTGAACAATGATATCTTGAGGTGTAGCCATAGAACACGATGTATCGAGTCGTTTCGCTTTCAGCTGCTTGGTATTGTTACGAGATACCCCTGCATATGATACAATCCTCTAAGTGTCATCGGAATCCGAGCACCATCCACAACTTATCACTCAGGCATGTCGGTCGCTCCGTTGGTGAAATTTGACCCTGCGTCTCATCCCAATTCACCGCTCCATGACTTCCCCGTCCTACCCGAGTGCTCCACATCTGAGATCTTCCTAGACTTTCAATCACGTCATCCCGTCTAGCTGCATAAAATCTAAACACTCCCATCATCCACTCGAACTTGCTCAAAAATTAAAATCCGCTCGCACTCTCAAAGTATCGACTTCACTCGCTGCGCTCGCCTCCTCACTTGACTTCAGGATGTTTCCTCCGATAATCCCAGATCCTACCCAGTTGCATAAGCCCCGAAGCGCCGACGAAGAAGTTTACAGCGGCGAGGGAATAATTGACTGGGGTGATGACGAATGAATAACGGACCTGTTGGTGTTAGCATGAGTTATTATAGCTTGTCTTCTTTTTTGTCCGAATCTTTTTCTTCGACCCTTTGTGTCTTTCACTCTTCTTACGTCAATTCATTCTTGATGACCTGCTCTGCACTCTTCGAACATTCGAACGCCCCAATATCCCTTAGGAAGGTGACCACGTTATTTGCCAAGAGGGATGAATCTTAGAGTATGTTTGACACCCCGAATAAAGGTTTGGTCCATTACCCCCACTTTGTCGAATTTCATCAAAATGGAAAAACAGTGAAGTCGAAACGGTGCGATGATAAAAGATAAGAGGTTCAAGTAGGATAGGAGGGATGTTTGAAAGGAGATGACCGAAAAGAGACAAACGAATAGAGCAGAGATGAAAGAGAGATGATCAGAATAAAAGGGAGAAAGGGAAGAGATAGTTGAAGGAGAAAGCGACTAACCCAGATAAATCCAGTAGCTGTCAAAGCGACATTTTGACTGACACTTAATTTCTCCGCTGGTCTACTGAGATCTTTCAAACCGGCAGCTACTAAAGCCCATTTTGCCAGTGGAGCCCAAAAAAAGATTGTTCTGGGTCTCAGCCAATTTAAACCGACTATTTTCTATTGATCACTCTGTCATCACATGTTGCACAGATTTATCCCATCTCCTTCGTCAATCTGTCATAGACTGATAACCCAGCATACACCAATTGTTGAGTTTTATTTAAGACCTGCCGATATGAAAACACATGACACAACCACAGAAGATGTACTCTCAACATTCGGCGTCATGCTCCACCACACGTTGACGTTTCCATTCCCATCCGCCACCTTCGGCCCCACACCCTGATAGGTCTATGAGTGAGAAATAGAAGATAACTCACCTAGGACCAGCTGGATGGTTCAAGAACTGTTGAAACTTTGTTGATCCCGCTGCAGCAGCTGCGTTGGCTACTGGTGCTGACATGTTATAGGGAGGTTGAGATTATTGCGAGGTTGTATATCGAGTGGAAGACCGAAGCGAGACGGAATTACGGCTCGGCGTTATCGGTGTTTTGAGGCTTTGACCGAGGTTGGTGGCAATGTGGCATCGTCCTCACCTCCACTTCGGTCTCCCCGCTTCCCCCCACTCTGCTCCTTTCGCAAACCAAGACACTCTACTCGTGCATATCTTCACTTACAGTACTCTACTCGCTCTACTACGGTAAAAGGTTTCATTGGACAAATATGATCACCAGATATATACCTTTTTCTTTTCTTCTATTCAGCCCAATATGGAGCTTGAGCGTTCCACAACAACTCCCACTCCAACCTCCAAACCCCCCTCTTCCCCGTCCTTTGGTCATATGGTCAGCTAGAGTACTCCCACCAATCGACTGCAGAGCTGACGACAAGGCATGGTCTAGGCGATACGGCTTTCTCAGAAGGTATATCAGAGTTTATACAAGGTATAAAAGAAACATATCCTGGGATATACGTATATTCCGTTCAAATACCTCAAGGGGGTAGTGAAGATGACGAACGTAAAGCTGGGTTTGTAAGTGAATTACATTCATAAACAATTGGGTGGGGGTTAACGATCAGTATGGGAATGCGGAAAATCAAGCTGCTGATGGTTGTATTCAATTATCTTCTATACCGGAATTACAAAATGGTTTTGACGCCATGGGTTTTTCTCAAGGTGGTTTGTTTTTAAGATGGTATGTTCAGTATTGTAATGTCCCACCTGTGAGAAATCTCATCACTGTGAGTTCATCCTCTCTACTCTTCCTACATCTCTCATCATCGCTTTCTTCTCCTGCTGGCTGATCCTTTCCTCTCACATGCTTGTATATCTCTAGACTTGAGACAGTGTACTACCCAATGTCCACCTCGATTTCATATCACAGCGTCTTTCATTTGGGAAGTTTGAGAGGTAGGGCCTGCCACTCACTTGGTGTTGAACTCCGTTCAAATGGTAAAAGAGATGCATGATGAAGATAAGACACTGATATCAGTTCGGAACACCTCATTATGGCATATCAGCCCTCATCCCATGTCCTACACCTCCAACACTTACTTGTTTATTAGCCGCCCGAGCAGCACGTGCGGGGATATACCGACCTTGGGCACAAACTCATCTTGTTCAAGCTGCTTATTTCAGAGATACGGAAAGGTTAGAAGAGTTCTACGAAGTGAACACCTTCTTGAGGGATTTGAATGGAGAAGGGGTCAACAGGTCCTCCACCCTCTCCCCTTCACCTGAGACGTTTAGATTTCTTGAGAACCACATCGGAGAGCAGGTAGAAAGTGAAGTTGGTAGTTTAGAGACGGAGGTAAAGGGTTCTGAAGGGGAGTTCAGGGAAGGGAAATGGAAAGAAAGTGGAGGGAAGGGATTAAGAGAGTTGGAACATTTCATAGCTATCATGTTTGATGCTGATCGTGAGTTTCCCTTTCCTTCACCTCATACGTTTCATCCTTGTCTCAGCTTACACCTCTTCCCCACATCTCTATTTCTCTCTTCAGCCGACTCCGACCTTGATTCTCCCACTCGAAAAACTCGTTGTGAAAAATAACTCACCTGATGAACCGAGGTAAGGTGAACAACGTCATGGGAGCATATAACGTGAACCACGTGATAGAGACAAATAGCTGACAAAGAGGAACCGTCTCACCAGCTCAATCAGCCCACTTCGCAACCTACTCACCGGAAAACAAAACTCTAGTGGTACCGATGGAACAACAAAACTTATATCAACAAGATTGGATCGGTCTTCGAGAATTGGATGAAACGGGGAGGTTGGTATTGGATCATTGTCCTGGTGAACATATGGATCTCGGAGGAGGTTGTGGACATAGGATGATTAGAGATTGGGTAGGTGGGCGTGTGTGATCAATGTCAAATGACCTGTACTTCTTACCTACCTTCTTGTCAAAGATCACTACTATCTGGTGTGATTGTATTCGATCCGATTTGGTTAGAGCCATCAACACGAAACCCCATTACTGTCGATAACATCTGTATTTTACCCTTCTACTGATACACATCGCGGGTATTTGGGGAATTCCCACCGTCGCTCAATGGGAATCATCTAAAGTTTGATCTCCTTTCCCGAATCAGCACTCAATGTGTACATCGAATACATATCATTATGGCATCCCTGACACTAACAAAAGAGAACTACAAACAATCGTCATCATAAACCGAAGCATTTGCAAAATTGGAAGGAACTATACAGATTTATCGTATATACTGAACCAACATCAATACTAACACCCCATACTTCTTCAATTTACAACTAAACCTTCGTACAACCTCCTACCTTGCATAAACTTACTTAGACAGCTCAAACGGCTGTAGGGATCCAAGCTGATCATCAGCTTTCTTGAAACTTTCGACAAGAAGAGACATTGAAAAACTCCGAATATTTCCTGGACAATCTTGAGAAAAGGTTCTGACACTCTCTACACCGAGAAGAAGAGATTGAAATCCAAGTACCTCTCAAAGTAATTTAAGAAAAAGTTTTGACATTCTTCGTCCCGGGAAAGAAGATCTTTCGTTCTTAAAACTCATCTGTACAGACTAAGACGGATGAGTGAGAATGTGAAATACGGCATCAAAAGGACCAATAGGATTATAGGAGGATGAGATCAAGCTGAAACAGGTGGTGAAAGCTCATCTCACTTACTTTCAATACCATCTGAAGAATCACAATCACCTAAAACCGGATAATTATCTCTGAACAGACAGAGGTTCGTGCCTTGTAAAGAAATACGACCTTCAGATATGAACCCCCAATTTTGGAGTGATGTTGATTCTTGGGGGTAGATCTATTTGTCAGGTATCAAACCAACAGAATTGTTTTAACTCATATCCAAGATGTACTGTATAAAGTCCAACAAGTCTAGAAATCAATGATCAACGATTAACTCACATGAACATAATCCCCATCCAATATTCCACCAGCTTGTAAACCCCAAGATTGTCCTTGAAAATCCATCGTAATACCTTCACCAACATTCCAAACCACTGAATAACCTTCGATCTCACAAGAAACCACCTCTACTCTATTTCCTAGCACAGGTGGAGACTTGACCCCTAGACAAACATCGTCAACAGGTGGACCGGAGAATAACTTGACATTCGTATAACTCGTCTCTCCCGATCGTCCTACTGGAGCAGGTAAGAGAACAAGTTTATCCTCTCGTCGACCTCCTGGAGTTCGTTTAGGAGGTGGTATGGTGGTAGTACATTGAGGACAAGGAAGTGTCGTTTTGATACATGTTGAACAAGGAGGAGGATTAGTCGTTTTGATGCAAAGTGGACAATCTTGTGGGGCTGTGGTTTGAGCTAAGGAGGAAGAAAAGATTAAGAAGATCGTGATGAAGACAAGGATGAAAATCGAGTTTGACATAATTGGAATGTGAGTTTATTGGAGAGAAGTAAAAAGTGATTAGAAGGGATGGGGAATATTCGAAAGAGAGGATTATAAATGGTTCTAGGGTCAATGTTCAAACGGTGTGGGAAAAGGGGAACGGATGAAGGTTGACTTCTTAAAATGATGATCATCGGTCATACGGTCATATGTACGTGGTAATGGATCTTGATTCTTGAGATTAGTAGTCAGTCCGGATCTTCCCCTTGACTCCTTCCTTCCTTCCAAGCTGCCACTTCCATAGGGTTCCCAATCGGGCAGACTTCAGCTATCTGTATTTAGAAGATCTCAGTAGAATAGGCCTCGGTGAGGGAAACTGCCGATGAAGAGTGGGGTGAGTGATGACATGTTTAGTGTAAGTGGTATCGTACATCATCGTTGCATCGTTAAGGGGGTTGGGGCGGTTGAGGGTTGAGGGGGATCAAACTCAACATACAGGCAAAATCAATACATCGATACACACACATGGAGATGAGATGGAATGTACACATTGGAGTACCCTGAACCTGGAGAACAGATCAATCGGGCAACCTTCATTGTACAGCATACACGACGTCAAAACAGGGTAAATTACGGAGTTGTAGGTATCCAAGCTGAACGTCAACATTGATCTTTCTCAAAATCCAAAATCCAAAATCCAGGTCATTCATTCAAAGGAATCAGTGAGAAAAGGATTAAGAAGTCACTCGGAAGGTATTGGATTCCATAGTTTGACGAATATCAAAAAGATGACATGAGGATATAAGTAGAAGATATCAAAAAGAAAGACTCACTTTCCACTCCGTCCGTAGCTGTACAATCCTGTAAGATAGGGGTTGTATCTCCAAGTATACAGAGATTCTGACCTTCCAATTGAATACGATTGTCAGAAGTGAGGATCCATGATTGTGATGCTGATGAGCTAAGAGGGGATATCTGGATTTGTCAGATGGGATTCTTTTTAATCTTTTATTTTCCATACAAGTCTCTCTTGTCCTTTGATTTGACATGATGTCTGGATTGCCGGTTTTTCTAGTCACGGAGGAAGCCCGCTCGGGTATCTGATCCCTTCTTGATCTCGTATTGGCCCTGTACGAGTACTATCGGAATCCTGGAGGCAGAAGATGAGACAGATGCGGGTGAAGAGAATTAGTGTAGATTGAAAAGGACGAGTAGTAGTTACTGTAGAATAAGAGATACTCACCTCAATCAAACAATTAGGGTCAAAACTCGCAGCTTGTAAAGCCCAAGTCACTCCTTCATATTCAAAAGATATTGTACTCGCTCCACTGGTCAGATTCCAAGTCAACCAATCATTCCCAGATGTCTCTTCGCATGAAGTGGTTATAACCGCTGTTCCGGCGATTGGGGGGAGAGGAGCGGCTAAACAAACTTGGTGTGTAGGTCGACCATGAACGAGTAAAACGTCGGTATAAGTCGTACGGCGGAAAGGTGACAGTCCGGTAGGGATAGACCTAGGTGGGTATACTTGGGTGGTCTGACAGTCTAGAACACAAATCGATCGAGGGATAGGTTCTCCGAAAGAGAACGGGAGACTTAAGAGGGACAAGAGGGCGAGGGAAAGCATTGTTGGATTATGGAGTTTGACAAAGTTTGAAAATATGAGGAAAGTTGTTCCGATACAAAGAGAAATGTAGGACAGTGGAGGGAGGATGAAGGAGAGAACTCATATATCTTTCAGACGTCGATTGAAAGTGACGGTTCAGATCGGGTTGCCGGTCTTACGGTCTTTTTAGATAAATATTGGAAAGGAGTTTGCACATGGTGTAACCTTCCTCGCTTGAGTCATTCGGGGTGGAGTAGTTGATGATTCCTTGGGATCCATATTAGACCGAGTTGTGTGATGTCTTGGATGATCAGTACACTAAAGATGAATATGTGAAAAGTGGGTGATGTACACCGGGGTAGAAAGGAGGGTGAGGCGACTTTATATGATAAGCACTTGGGGCACCCCCCTAGTCCTCTCCGGGCACGACCTGCCACAAACCCTGAGCTCAAGTTCATAGGCCCGGCGTTACTGAAATCCCGCGAGCTCTGATTGCTCACTCTTCTCTTTCATCGCCAATGTCAGTATTAGCTATACCATGTCATTTCCGGTCATTGTCCATGCATTCTTGTCATGAATCACAAGTATCAGTTTCCGCATGTTTTAGTTCTGCTCTGATGCCTTTGAGGCAAGAGACCTGAACCTTTAGTTAGTTATGTTATTCTCAGTTATGATGCCTGGTATGGCATTAGACCCAAGACTTTAGTTTAGTTAGATTTGAGGCGAACATATGGTTTACGTCGTCATGCGTACTTCTGCGTGCGGTCAACAGCGTATTATACGCAGCACGGCGAGAACAGAGCGCAGTTTGTTATTGTTGGTTAGAAAACGATAGGTACGCCGAGGATTGCGGTGTTTTCCTACGCAGGACGGTTCAGCCTGGTAGAAAGCCTGATTTGTCTATATAACCCTACTTAGTACTTTGTAGTCTTCTTTAGTTCTTGATCAAAAGTCATTTCCATTGCCATCCTTTTGGAGTCCAGTCCAGTCCAGTCCAGTTCCTTATAACCTTGTAAGACAAGCCAGAGACATTCCTTGGGTCACAGTCCCATTCCTTGTTGGACTCAGTCTTGTTAACTTAAGTATAGTCCTTGTCCCCTTGTCCTTTGTCCTCTGTCCCAGGGTGGGCAGTATCCTTGACAATTCTCCTATCTATCAATGTCCAGGAGGATAATATGAGCCATAGGGATGTCTAGAAGAGCCCTGGGAGGGATAGGGAGGCCAATATTGAGAGGATAGAGGAGGGAGAGTAGGTGGAAGAGGGGGGGGTGGTAGGTACCTCTCCTCAGGAGGATAAAAGTCGAAAATGGGGGGTACCTGTTCATTAGAGACCCCCCATCGGATACAGCCAAAAATGCAGTATTAGAGACTCACATTCGGTTGATATTGGCCATTTCCTGGTGTCTCCTGGACCAATCAGCTTGCAGGAAACTTTTAGAAGTAAGAGACTAAGAGAAGAGTGAAAATTTTCGAGATCGTGAGGCCAATATAGACAGAGACAGAGCAATATATAGCCAGGAATGACTGCAGGACACAGAGGGGGAGAAGGAGGGAAGGAGAAATGTCATTATCATATGAGAAACCCACCAAATAACCTGTCCCGGCCATCACATCCTGTCTCCTCACCATCCTGTCCTCTGTCCTCACTACTACAGGCCGATTTTCCTTCTGCAGGCCGATCCTGGCCGTCTCTCTCTCATCTCTCTCTTTAATACTCCTGGCCAGGTCAAGAACCGTCTTCCTGAGCTCAGAGATCTCTTCCTGAACTGCAGTGTTAGTTCCTAACCTGATCCCTCTGTCCAGGTCGTTTCTCCAGCATCATACGCCTTTACCTCGCGATCATAGGCCTCAGGATCCCTCTCTCGATGTTCATTAGCCCTTTTACACTTCTTAGGACCATGACTTCTTGAACCACACAGGGGACAGGGACGATTTGCCTTTTTCTTGACACCAAGGAATTTCTCAGACTGAGTGTGGAGACGGCCAGTGTGAGAGACATCATCTGCGAGCTGTGTAGAATTCGATTTTACCCCTCTTTTAGGAGAAGGAGGAAGAGTAGGAGAAGGAGGTAAAAAGTAGGGATTATCAGCAGGTAGATCGTCGTCTTCGATGGTGGTCAGATCGATCTGAGTGGTGGTGAGGTTCTTGAGGTTCTTCTTGGCTAATACCAACCGGTTTCTTCGAAGGTGGGGGTCACGAATTCGGTTGGTATCATTATCGATGTCCCACTCTGGCCCTAAGAGTTGATGAACCCCAGTAATATCTCCACTAACTTTCGCAGTGGCCTGTTCAATGGTGTGAGGCCAGGTGTCACGAAGTGACAAGACAGTTTGATAGTGATAGTGATAGGATGGGTTGGGTATTTAACCAGCGACCGGCGGTATGCAGTAACCGCCGGTTAATAGGCCTTTTAGCACAGTGGTTTAGACCGCTGCCTCTGAAGGGCACTGTTATATCGTCCCAATGCTGGTTAGTTGGTCTCGTGACAGATTAACCGGCGGTTACGGGTAGGATCCTGGGTTCGACTCCCAGGGTGGGCTGGGTCAAATTCAGTCCCTACTTGGAAAACCTCCCTCTCGGAGAAAGTTTTCGGCCTATCGTACCCTTCCCTGTTGGGGCCCCAGATGGGGCTGAAAGGGAAGGCATAATGTCACGAAGTGACAAGACAGTTTGATAGTGATAGTGATAGGATGGGTTGGGTATTTAACCAGCGACCGGCGGTATGCAGTAACCGCCGGTTAATAGGCCTTTTAGCACAGTGGTTTAGACCGCTGCCTCTGAAGGGCACTGTTATATCGTCCCAATGCTGGTTAGTTGGTCTCGTGACACCAGGACATGGGGTTGAGAAGACGCCAATGACGATGGAGAGGAGCAAGAGCAATGGTACCATCCCTTTCAAGTACTTCTTTTATCTGCCGAGCAGAAGGGAGGCCCATTGATGTCGAATACAGGTTGCTCTCTTCATCATTTTCGACATTCCCGGCAGTGGCGATCTTGTACTGCTTGGTCATGAGGCCAATTGACTGGTTAGAGACTCGATTTTTGACATGGACAAAGATAGAGTGGACACTGGTGTCCTGTATTATTCGGTTTTGAGCCATCTTGTCTAATATGGTGGTACATTGATCATCGAAGAATTTGCGAGCAATTCGCAGCAACCCATAGAAGTCGCTATACGCATTGGTGAGACGACGTTTGAAGGCCTGGTGGTTTCCTTCGAGTCGAGAATTTGCTGTCTGTCCAAGATGAGGGTATTTGTCGATAAAAGCAGAGACGAAGTGTGTCTTGTGTTCATCCACCAATTGTCTCACATAAGCCCTCGCCCCATCCAACTTCTCATGTCCCCACCGGTTCTGCATTGTTGACAGAGCTTTATCTAATGACTCCTCAGACTTGGCTTGACAGATATCCACCATGAAATGATCACCAAACTCAGATAACTTCTTGACCCACTGCTCTGGTGAATAAAGGGACTGAAAATTTTTACGACAGTTCACCTTGATGTTTTCGCGAATGTGCCATCGACAGTAATTTAGATGAACATGAGGGAGGTGGAGAGACAGAGCATTATGTAAAGCGATTTCACGATCACATACGATAACTTTGATATCATTGTTGATTGGGCCCATGAGTTCGAGGTATGTTTTGATCGCGAGGGAATACCATTCGGTCACTTCTCGACTTAAAAACGCAAATGCAGAGGTGTAGGTTTGATTCGTAGCAGTACATCCAGCAATGTGAAGCATTGGAAGACGATATCGATTGGTTCGGTAGGTGCAATCCATAAAAAGAACGGTTGGATACGAATGAGTCATGGCTCTGGCTGACGGAGTGGTAAAGACGAGGCCACAGAGCTCTTTATTGGTGTTGGTGAACGCTTTAAAAAGATCGTTATTGTCGGTGAGACGTCGAACTGCAGCCTCCGTTGCTGATTGTCCTTGTCGAAGAAGTTTCTCATGACGAAATCGAATATTTAGGACATCTTTGGTGGTGAGTGTGACTTTATTACCAAAATGATGATGGACGGCCGAGACAACGCCACGAAGGGTGTGTTCACTCTCGAGAAGGTGTTTAATGAATTCAAGTACTTCAGGAGATCGACTGGCTTGACGAATAAAAGAGTAGTGAAGAAGAGGGACAGGTTCATGATTATGAGAATTTTCAATGGTGTAGGGGATCCAGCGGGGGGGACGATCTTGAGCAATCTTCTTGGTCTCTCTTCGCCATATAATAGAGAAGGGACAGTTGTCTTGTTTGGTAGTTCTAGCTAGCTTTCTAACATGTTCGAAATCATCAGAACGATGTGACCGACCATTGCCACCATGAACACAGTGGAGCTCGAGTTTCCCTTTACTTTCTTTACTGCGAAGGGTGATGATAACAACGAGGTGATCCATTGCTACCTGTTGGGTATGAAGTCGAGCTGCTTCCATGGTTGGTTGAGGTTCGAGATCGAGGGGAGGGTGGATGTGGTGAGCCACACGATCGAACCCAGGTTCATCGTAAACATCGAGACCAAGATTGTCGAGTAATTGTTCGAGTTCATCATCGTTTCCGTCGTTGTCACGATATTGCTGAGTCTCTGGTATGAGATCAGGAGAGTGAGAGTGTCGAGGACTGAGTTTTATAGAAGGGGACCGAGAAAAACGATCCAGAATTGGTGATGACGGTGGCGACGATTGTATAAGAATTGGTGATGACGGTGGCGACGATTGTATAAGAATCGGTGATGACATCTAGCTCATCAGAATGACTACTTCATGCAGTAAAAATGGTACTCACTCGTAGCCCAAGACCAGCAGAATACATGTCGACAAATTAGAACCCGGGGCGTGGTGTTGTTGAAGAATTAAAAAAGTTTTTGGTCGAGATGTCGGTGGCAAAAATGACGATGATGGCGAGATCCTGTAAAAGTCAGATTTTTACATTTCTCAATGAAAAGAGTACTCACAGACTCGCAGAGGCCAGGAGAACAGGGTCGAGTTATCGAGAAAGGCTGAAGATGTCTTGTTGAAGAGTAAAAAAGGTTTTTCTCACGAATGGTGAAGTGGCGAGGATGATGATGGCGAGATGACCTATTGAAGTCAGATTTTCACTTCTGATGATGAAACAAGTACTCACAGACTCGCAGAGAGCAGCAGAACAGTGTCGAGAAGACGAGAGAATACCACGATTACTCTGTGAGAAGTTATAGCGATTTGATGGATGGTAGTCAGGGAGGGCGCAGGTTGAGAAGGCGAAGGGCCAGAAGTGGGTGAAAAGTAGTCGTAAAAGAGTGAGAAGAGTATCAAAATGATCCTTGAGACGTGTAGAGACAGTGTGTGTGAGAAAGAGCGTGAGTTTACTAGTATAATGACGATAGAGAGATTAGTGGTGGTGAGGACAGGTTGGTAGGTAGCGAGCAGACATGTCGCGTCGTTGTGTGGAGTTCGGCGTTTCAGTAATCCCGATCAGTGGCGAGTTCATGTCTGTCGCGTCGTCGGCGTTTCAGTAACGCCGGGCCTATGAACTTGAGCTCAGGGTTTGTGGCAGGTCGTGCCCGGAGAGGACTAGGGGGGTGCCCCAAGTGCTTATCCTTTATATACCTTTTGTGGGATTGGGGTTGGAAGGTTTAGCATCCGACCCCGCATGCCCGTGCGTCATGAGCTTTGGGGTACGATATGGTTGATCCGCTATGCCATCATGAAGAATGATTCGGTTCAAATATCCGACCAAGACAGAGTGTCATGATTGGTGGTAACGATTTCAAGAGAGATGTGTGGTAGCGAGCTTGATAGGAGAGGATAGGTCATACTGGAAGAGTTGGATGAAGCACGGAGCTGTTGTCGCTTGGCGACGAGAATGGTGGAATAGCGGTCAATGGATTGGCTGTATCTACTGCGTACAGTAGGCGATACATTGCATTCATATATGATAGCTTATGCAACTACAATACATTTGAGTTGCATGAATGTACACCTACGGGTTTACCCACTTGATTTACGTGAAACGTACGGTATCATACATGAATCACGTCCTGTATTCTGACAAACTGACCCACCTTACGGCTGGGTTGGAGTCCAAGCTAATATTCAGCTTTTTGATTCCCTCTCAACAGTAGTACAAGTACCCATCATAGTATCATGAATCTCCGAGACAAATTAACACAGGGGACGATGCAGGTGCAGATCCGGGGGCAGCTACGGGGATACCGATTATGGGGTAAACGTCGCCTTCAGGATGCCTTCTAAACTGGTTTGTGGCCGACACTTTAACGAACAAAAGATGATCACTCACTGCTCGGTTCTTCCGTGTTGCTACACGCCTGTAAGAGAGGTCCATCGGCAAACAACAAAAGACAGAGGGATGTATTGACCAATTGAAGCTTATGATCCGACGTGAAGATCCATTGTTGTAACGCGTCGTCAGAAGGAGGTTGGATCCGATCGTCAGTTTAACATCTCTCACAGTATTTCCCGATCCTTCCAACATACAAATCACAATTATATGCCTGTAAATCCAGGATTTGTAAGACGTATTCGTGGAGAAACTGTGGGAGTAGAACAAGGAACAACTCACAAAAACCGACTCGTCGTTCGTGCTCCCCCCAGCTTGAATGGCAAACGGTTCATCTCCCAACGAAACCGTGACCTCTCCTTGTCCATCGGACAAATTCCATAGAAGGATATGCGTTCCGTCCGTCTCATTGCAATCGACAGCAACGACTTGACCTCCAGACTGGAGAGGAAGTGGAGCTCCGAGACAAGATGGTTCGGACTGATCACCACTTTTGAGAAGGACGTCGGTATAAGTTGCACGTCGTTGATTGCTGGGAGATTGGTCTTTTGACCCGAGTGCCAAAGGGAGGAGAAGGGCGAAGAGACTAATAGTGGTGAGCATGGTGTGATTGAAGTTGGTAACCGATTTGAACTTGTTATAGAATAGATCAGATGAGATACGGCAGAATAGTGGTAGGTGTCGGTGATGAATAATCGGAAGAGTGGGAAGCAACTAGAAGGGGTTTTATAGACAACCTAGGAGTATATCACCCTTCCTAGTGGTGAGAAAGAAGGGAAAGTCTCGCCCGAAAGCTGTGATACCTTCGCCGTGATACGTCCGAGTCGTGACCGCATGATCCATTCAGAGATGGTAATGTTACCTTGATGGACCGGATCACCGAAAAGTATCGAGAGACCAGTGGGTGACTATCAGTTCCGGTAAGTCGACATCAGTAGTTTACATCCCGTTAGATCATCTTCCTATGCGAGCGGTGGGTGAAGTTGGAAGAAGATCGCACTTGTCAGAATAGTCAGTAGTCAGTCTCACTTTTGGTTGTCGGTCATTAACGAAACTCGTAGCATTTCGTGGTTGTACACACTCCAGAATCATATGTACATAGATTCGAGATAGTCTTCTTCGTCCTCATCAGGAGGGATTTAGGACACAGTGTAGGGAGTATCAGGACACAGGAAGTGAGAGTTTTAATGGAGCATGACCTTCCAAGCTAAAGTATCATCAGCTCATTACCTCTCATGTGGGATATCACCTCCATTGTCCGTCCCGTATATATCAGACTCTACAAGATAGCGAGATGAGACTGTAGATGATAAAGAAGGGGATCAAAGTGATGATTTGCAGATGATAGTCATGCACCATGACTACTCATTCAAAAGGGAACTGGTTAAAGAGATTACACACAAGATATGACTCACTCTCTCGGACTTGACCAGGATTACAAACCCCCGTTACGGGTCCCAATGGGATCCCTTCGGCCTCTTCATACATACACAAACCGGTGTTGTAGAGCGCCATCTGACCACCCGGAGAGACCCACCAATTTTGTTGACGTGAGAGGGTGGTGTTCGGGGGATGTACCTGGACAATCAGCCTCAATCATCGTCCAAAAACCTATCCTCTCATGAACTACAAATATCACGATCTTTGACCTAGATCAATGGGGCTCGAGGTCCCGAAGGACCGAGGATGGTAAGGAAAGATTTGTATCCAACACATGATATACAAAGTGATGGATTCCAATTGAGTGAGATCCCAACAGAACGACATAATGAACAAAAGAGGTATATGTAAGAGGCGAAGACGCTGACACTCACATAAATCTGATCACCTCCGTATTGATACAGGTTCCCTGCGGTCAACACCCAAGTAGAATGACCATTAACAAACACATTCATCTGTTGTTCTTCTCCTGCAAAATCCCACTTCAATTGCCACTTGCTACTGGTAACGTTACATTCCACCGTTGAAACTCCTCCTCCCGGTGTGAGAGGAAGGGGGGCGGCGAGACATTTCCCATCAAGAACAGAGGATAGTCGGACGCCGTGAAATTTTCTAGAGGTAGGTCGTGCGAATACTGCGATAATGTTGATGACAAGGACGAGGAGGTACATGTTGGATCAAGAGCTCGTCAAGAAGGTTCTCGATGAAGACAGATTTATGTTCCGAAGTCAACTATCGATCGATCGCCGGAAATGAGAACGGAAAGCATAGCAGTTTCACAAGCGAGGTGATTCGGTGCCAGGATACTTATTGTTTCAGTTTTGATTCATGTGGTCCATTGTATACGAATTATGTGGGGATCTGTCTTTGTAGTGATCTGTCCTTCATCAAATGATGGCCGCCAGTCTCACCGGTCGATCGATCGCACACAATTCCGTGCGTCGAATTCTCCGAGGCGATGATTTGGTTACGGGATGTGAACGTCTTAGCAGGAAGTAGGACATTGATGCATGAAAGTGACTCATATGACGGTATCAAACACAATCTCCAATTATCTAGGCCTGTCCACCCTAACCTTGTGGGTCGCAGATGACTTTTGGGCTCACCTGCTACCTGCCGTGTTGGGAGCGAAATCGCTTAATGGGATCTGCTCTTACAAGTATTGAATTGAGACAATAAGATTTGCATGATGCTTATCATTAGAGCTATCTTGGTGGCCTTCTTCCTCTTCTGGAACTTACCAGGAGAGGGACTTTGACTCACTCTAATAACCGATACGTGCAGGAATCACAGTAGTTGGAGGATGAAGTATGATCACATGTGATCTTTTGGCTTATGCAACAGGAACACGCCTGGTAATATTTCGTGGTTTGTGGTTGCTCAGCCAATATTGAAGGATGGTTTCCCAACTCATCTCCACTCCGTAAGGATGTTTTAGCTCTGCTTTGACTGGCTCAAAGACGTTGTTACGACCTGTGAATGGGTCGTGACATTGGCGGAACTCATCCTTGAAAAATCTCGGCTCACATCTTCCTGATGGGAAATAGTCCCTCTCCTTTTGTTGTAATGGAAGCTTTTTAGATGGTAAAAAGAACGTTTCTCCAACTTGAGCCGTCGAGGATGTGCAGGTTGACCTATCTTGTTCTACCCGTTGGTAGATACATATATCTTCATTGACGTCCATGGTGGATCCTGCCTGTTCCACAGGAGTTTCTTGACTGGTTGAGGCAGGTACTCTTGGGTAACAAAGTCGCGAGCTGCTATCGGTCCATATTGGATCGCTGCCTCCGTTACGGGAGATTGGAGCAGACTGAATGCACCTGAATTGTCATGAGTTTGAGACTTGTAGTTGATTCCTCGTGACACATCATGGCCCATCGTTCCTATCGCATATCTACAAGTGGTCTGAAGAAGAAATTAAGTCTCAATCTCTCTAAGTGAGACCACATTGTAGCTTCCTACCATTCTTCAGGGGAGATGATACCTCCTGACTCCAGTCAACTTTACGTCTGGGTTTCAAGGCCTTAAGTTCAAGAAATTGTTTGATCTCTCTACCATCTTTTCCTTAAGACAATCTCTGCTTCTCAACCGTCTGAATGATAGTCACAGAGTGAAGCAAATCCTGAATACTAGTGGGTACTATAAAAGTCCCAAACTTCACAACGAGATGCATTATTTCTTCTCACAAAGAAATATAATGTGTCTAAGAACAATATGTATGATCTTTTCTTGAGAAATTTTTAGCTTGACCGTGATATTGGAGTCCCCTTTTGAGATTTTCCCTTTTCCACACGGTAAAATGCTTCCCTATCAACCATTATTCTCCACTTAGATGTGTATCTTCTGAATCAATAATGACATATTTGGAAGATTCAGGGTTACCTACACCCTTCATTTTTAACCCTACAAAATAAAGTGTAGGGTTTCCATCCAAGCACTCCCTCTCCTGAGCCTTACAACGAAGACATGTGGCAGAATTATGAACATACTGACATTTGTGTTTTTGAGATCTACAACGATCGCAAGAATGACCACTGGTTGTTCTAAACGTTGGCACGGTTGAATCATTGTTCTGATCAATACTTCCCGAAAGTGGTACGTAGAACGATGCACGCGTTTTATGATATCTCGTATCATAGGAATTATATGGAAACACGCCTACGGAATAGTTGGGTTGATTCGTATTATTGAACGATATGAACTCCGATCTGCCAGATGGACTGACTAAGCTTGCAGAATCATCAGTCATTTCAGCATTCAACTTATTCACAGGTTTGTCCGATCCTGATGGAAGTGAGAAAGACTGAGACGCTGATTGTTCGCACATCGATGAATCCTCTTCATCACCGAAGGGAGGGGTCGTCGCCGATGATTCCCGAGGTGTCAAACTGTTTGTAGCTTCTCCGGTCGGGGGAGGACATTTAGAAACCCCATCGTTACCATCTGAGCGAATGACGATATCCCAGTAAGATCTGCTAGGCATGATCGTTTGTTGACCGTCTATCATCTCGTTTTTGAATGCACTCTCAAATTAGGGTGGTAAATGCTTGAAAATTCAATGACGGGACAATCAGAATTATAAAAATGAGAAGATTGTTATCAGATGGAGAAGTGAAAGTGTGAGAATGAATAGGGATAGTAGAAAATGGGGAGTTCCACAATGGGTTGAAAGGATGATCGGAGTGTCAATCGTCTCTTCCGAATTTTCCAAATTTGGACATTTCAAAAAGGCCTTACTCTACTGTCAGGATCACGGTGTCACGACCAGTACTTATAGCGAGATCAACTCTCACTAGCAGAGTTAATGATGAGCCTTTTAGGACGGTTTATGATCGTGGGCTAGCTACCGGGTCATGACACTCAGGTTTCTCCCTGAAATCTCTCTCCTATTTCTTCCGCTCAATCACTACTTACGAATCCTGAAAGTTAGTATTGAAAAGGTCATAGATGTCGAGCTGAACCGTATGATGGTGCTTCATAACATGTTAGTCTCTCCATAGAATGAACAATATGTACGTCATATGTTCTCTCAATCAACAATAACATGCATTTACACTTATAAAAGATTCTCTCTTCCTCACCATGATCCTTGTCCGTTTCAGATACAATATTCACCTGGATGTGCAGCATATGTATCACAGGTGTGAGATGGAAGATATCCAACGTTTTTATCATGGATGGTCGCTTCTTGGTCTTCTTGCATATATTTCAGGATCACCACCAACACACCTTAGGCCTGAAGACGTACAACGAGTACAATCAGACCCCTCATTGTAGGAGCATCCAAGTTTCTTAGATTTACAAGTGTCACAAACATGGCGTGGTTTTGATCCCCGCTTTGAAACCTTTGGATGACCGTCCGGTCCGGAGCTTTCGGTAGTTTGTACGTCATATTTTGTGTCTGATGTAGGAGGTGAAACTGACCCATCGGGTAACATCCTGATTGAAGCTTTGTTAAATTTATCATTTTCAATGGAGAATCCAGAATTTGCTTGAGCAGATGAAGAGAAATGCCAAGAAGGTACAGGTAACTTTACACTACCAGCACTCTTCTCCACGTCCTCATCACTATCACCGTCAAGTTGGTCCTCCTCCTCTGATGAGGGAGACTCCTGTGCCTGCGATTTGGAAGTAGGTGGTTGTCCTGGTAATGACACCTCAGTCGGTTCTAGCGATGGAGATCTGGATCTGATCTGACAACGTGTCCCTTCTCCATGTGGGTCGGATGACACATTAGGAATTCCTCCTTCATCACCCGGTCTAAGTACACCATTCCAATAACTGCTCGACATAATAATTGGAAACTAATTTACTTGATATTCTATGGTCTCTCAATTGTGATTTCAGCTTGTGGTAGTATATTATTGAAAGTTTGCTCGGGGAATAACCAGGCTTATGACAAAGAGATTATTGTGTTGTTATGAAGAGGAAAAGAGAAAGTGTGAGAACAAAGTCATGGTAGGGATAGTTCAAAATGGGTGGGATGAAAGGATGATCGGGGTATCAATCGTCCCATTTGAATTTCCGAATTTGGACATGCCAGAAATGCCAAAAGACTGACCGTCCCTCCATATCTTCACCTAACAAAAATTGTTACGCAAAAATAACGTTCATTCGAAAAACAAGATTACATAGAAAGATCATTATCACCTACATACTTGGATTCTAAACTCGATAAACGACACCTTCGGCAAACATGACTTCGTTAGCATCGTGCATTTTCCCCACGGCCGCACGAGATTCCGAAGTTCCGAACATTTCTTCAGTCGATAATCCTTCGTTTATCAAAGGGATTAGATCGGTCAGATCTACTATACCTTCCGCTCCGAGTGAAGAAGAGAATACTTGATCGAGACGAGAACGGAAGAGTGTGAGTCTGAGATCAGTGTTTGTCCCATCTTGTTTTAATCTCTTTTGCTGCTCATACCAATGAAGATGGGAATGAAGATACTATTGCCATATATCACTGGTTGGGAAGCTGGGACGTTGGAATGAACCGATGATGATAGGAGAACGTTATGACTCACCTTTCTTGAGAGATCTCTACTGGGGCAGAAGGTTCACCATCTAAGATATTCTCTAAACCTTCCATATCAACATCATCTTCATCTCTTTCAATCTCTTTCTCTTTCTCTTTTCCTTTTCCTCCCTCACCATCTCTCCTTGCCTGTCTCTCTTCTCTCATCCTTGATTGATCGGCACCACCAATCCCTTGAGATTGTGTACCTTCAATCTCCTTCTCCTTGGCCCTGGCCCTTGTCACATCTTCATTTTCTTCCTCTTCGTCCGTCTCATCTTCTTCATCCTCCGGTCCAGCTAGACCAGTATTGAGCTTTCGACGTTTCTTTCTTTCCGCTTTGAGGACTTCTTTGAACAGAGCGAAACGAAGGATTTCTTCTGCTGCCATAGCATCTCTTTCGTCTACTTTAGGGGAGAGACGAGTTTTAGCGTGAGCTGTAGCGAGACGAATCAAGGTTTCCAGAGTACGTGCTGTGAGGGGAGAAGTCTGATTATGAGTATTCATTCGAAACCTCGTGTTCTTCCCATCGATCTGTGTCTCTTGGATGAAGAGATGTGTGCAAGATCCACTGTGAGAAAATCGGCAGAAGGGTGATAGATGTGTTTACATTTTAGCCGAAGAAAGAGAAAATGAAGAGGTTTGATGTCGACTCACCCTCTTTTGATTCCCTGCCAAATCATCATTCCTCAAACCTGAATAAACCCCAACTATCCAATCCGCCGCACCTTTAGTCAAAACTGGATGACACCTAGTTTTGGCATATTGAATATATTTCTTAACGAAAGCTATACTCAAAACTTCTTTCCTTTTGTTGACTCCTCTTCCACTACTAGTCGTAACACCACCATGTAATAAAGGATTAAACTTCTCGAAAACAGGTGTTTCCGTCACTCTACTTTCTTGTTCTTCTCCACCCACATCTAAATGTTGTTCCAGATTTTCCATTGCGGGAGTACCTTCTTCTACACCTGGTTGAAGATACCTATGCATCCTTAAAACGTGTTCTGAAATCATTCGATCTCTTTGTTCATCCGTATCGTCCGTAACAACGAACAACAAGTCGAAACGTGATAATAAAGAATCTGGTAAAGCGATATTTCGATGAGGATCTTTATGTACGTCGTATTGTCCATAAATAGGATTAGCAGCAGCTATCACACTACATCTTGCGTTTAAAGAAGTATGTATACCTGCTTTTGCTATTGTAACAGTTTGTTGTTCCATAACTTCGTGAATTGCCACTCTATCGACTTCTGACATTTTATCAAATTCGTCGATACAAACAACACCTCTATCGGCTAAAACCATAGCACCAGCTTCTAATCGACGTTCACCTGTATCTTTATCTGTAGTTACTGCCGCTGTTAAACCTACTCCGGAACTACCACGACCAGTTGTTGCTATGGCTAACGGAGCGGTGTTGAGTACGAAACGTAACATTTGAGATTTCGCGGTTGAAGGATCACCGACCATTAAAACGTTTATATCACCACGAATATGAGCACCATTTTTTAGATTCTTCTCTTCTCCTCCTAGTAAAAGTAAAAGAACGGCTTGTTTGATATAATCAGATCCATAGATGGAAGGAGCGAGTGATTGAGAAAGTAATTCGAAAATGTTACGTCTTTTGGAAAGTTTATTGATATTACGAATATCGGTATCGGTTAAAGGTGTTAATGCAATACCTCCTCCTTGTTTAGAGGAAAGGAGTATAACATTGTTGGCAATGATGGCAGTTTGGAAACCTCTTGAACCTTGTCCACCACCGGAAGATTTGTAAACTCCAACTAATTGAATCCTATCGCCAGGTTTACAACAATCCACCAAATCATCAGCGAGAACAACCTCTACTCCCCTTGGTAATTGACCAGCAGGAGCACGTTCAGGCATTTCTTGAATGTTTATAGTTTGATGATCTCTGAAAGTCGATAAACCGTATTCCATAATCAAGGGATTACCCTCTCCATCGTCTTGGGGTATGACAGTGGTAGATCCTGTCATGGTGGACGAAGGGGCTACGATGGTTGCGTCGTGGTATGAACGAGAATGGAATTTGTTCGTAGCAGTGCAGTAGTGAATGGACTTGAGCATCTTAGGTCGGACCAGAGAGCCTGTCCATTAGCTCTACCACATTCCTTCGACAAAGATGGTCGATAGTAGGATCATACTCGTATCTGTCATACAGGTTCAGAAGAGATTTGTCATGTGCAACTCACATCGAGTGACAATCCCTTCGAGCGAGACCATTTTGCCTATTTGGTGACTTCGAAGTGTCCGAGGATTACAGTGTTGTTGTCCAAACGATCCTCTCAGTCCGCAATAATCTATCATAAGTCAGGAGTACCCCCCTAAGTTTGAACGCCTGCTCACATTCATTCCCGGCAATTTTGTGTTTCAGAGGATCATGTAAAGCTTGAACCAATTGTAGCAAAGCAGCATCAAGTGCTGGGAGGTACGAAGTAGGTTGTAAGAGTAACCTAACTATCAGCTTAATCCCCAGTTGAGTACAGGTGGAAGCTGACCCGTCTGCATATGTCCTATCATAATCTCTCAAATCATCCAGATTGACGATAAGTCTGACTTGTTCGTTATCCAACATACGTTTTATACTCTCGCGATAGTTGTAATCCGCTTGTGTCTACCTATCAGCCAAATGGCCAATTGTCATGGTCCACGACGCAGGAAGAGGAAACCCACATCGTCATCGAGAAACTCTACAAATTGCCTGGCTCTATCTCGCATGAGATCATCAGCGAGTATCGGACCCGCATCTTGTGTGCTGAATTCTGCCATATTGAAGTACAACCTTGAGCTGTTCCCGATCTGTCAGAGTGGTCGAGTTGTGTTGTGGGTCAAAGAAAGTGAGAGAGAAGATGGGAGATGGAAATTGAGACGCGTCGAGGTTTGACGCGACGCGACTCTGAAATGAATCATGACGTGGGATATCAGGCTTTGAGGAATGATAAGGATACTTCCGTCCCTTCCCCCGAATTCCGGAGCCCCCGTTGTGCAAGTTTCTCGACTATTCGACGACACTTGTTCTTTTCTCTATCTCCTCTCTACAACAACCATCTCACATAGCATACCCCTACTATCTTTCGTTCTCACTGGACAGAGGAAGAACATAGACAACTACAATGTCCGACGTGAGCTCTACTTTATGTGGCACCGCACGTACCACTGACAACACAGGCCGCTAGCATCAAGGCAGAGGCCAACAAGGCTTTTGCCGCTAAAGATTACCCCACCGCTGTCAAGCTCTACTCTGACGCTATTGCTCTGGATCCAGACAGTCATGTACTCTACTCCAACCGATCAGCTGCCAAGTCAGGCTCGAAAGATTACCAAGGGGCTCTGGAAGATGCCGAAAAGGTGGGAATTTCTGCCCACATACAATCATCCACTGCTTCCAGTCCTGGTGCTTACCCACACCTCGCTCTGTCATTTGCCGCGCATCTTATGGGGTACATACGTTGGAAGAATGGAAGAAGTTTTGTTCTAAGACTCACGGACAAAATTCTCCTAGCTGACGCACAGTGCATACAACTCGCCCCTTCATTCGGTAAAGGTCACGCTCGTAAAGGTGCCGCTCTACACGGTCTACGACAATATCCAGAAGCAGTCATGGCATATGAAGCTGGTCTTCAAGCTGAACCTGAATCGGACGTTTGCAAAAAAGGATTGGCAGAGGTGAAAAAGGTCATGGATTCTGATGCTGAATCTCCATTCGGAGGGGCTGATTCGGCGTTTGGAAATATGTTCCGTGATCCTGGTTTGATGACCAAGTTGGAGAATAATCCCAAGACGAGGGAGTTCTTGAAAGATCCTAGCTTTGTGGCCAAAATCAAAATGTTACAGACGAGCACGAGACCGACGGATGTACAAGGGATGTTGGGAGATCCTAGGATGCTTACTGTTATGGGTGTTGCGATGGGAATTGATCTGGTAAGTGCCCAAGTGGCCTCCACTCCTTTTAATCTGTCTGATAGGTTAATGAGAAATTCTGAGAAGAATTTGTACGAGAGTGCCATTGGCTGAGATATCACAGGAAGCGTTTGAACGTCCAGAAGGGTCGAAAGAAATGCCTCCGGGATATAAATCCTCACCTTCAGAACCCACACCTTCATCCGCTTCCTCCTCCCGTCCTGCTCCATCTCCTCCTTCATCGGCACCCTCTTCAGCACCAAAGACTGCCGAACCTCCCAAAGCCCCAGAACCGGCCGAAGAAGAACCTATGGAAGTTGACGACTCACATGAAACAAAAGCGGAAGCGGAAGATCTGAAAGCAAAGGGTAATGCGGCGTACAAGGCCAGAAAGTTCGAAGAGGCTATCGAGCTGTATCAAAAGGCTTGGGAGATATATCCAAAGGATGTCACATTCCTCACCAACTTGAGCGGTGGGTGTGATATATCAATTCCCCCTCTTCCAAGTCTTCAGCGGGCAATTGCGAGTAAATTTGTACTGACGCACCAGCGGTGTACTTTGAACAGGGTGAGTATCAAAAATGTATCGAAACGTGTGAGAAAGCCGTAGACGAAGGACACGACCTTCGAGCGGATTATAAAACCTTCGCAAAGTGAGCACTATCCACATTATCGTCTTTCTTCAGCTGACTATCAGGGCTTACGGACGTATTGGGTCCGCTCATCAGAAACTCGGCGATTTGGTCAATGCCATTAAATTCTATCAAAAGTCTTTGACCGAGCATCGTACACCGGACGTGTTGACCAAATTGCGAGAAGCGGAGAAGGCCAAATTGGAGGCAGATCGACAAGCTTATATTGATCCTGTCAAAGCCGAAGCAGCGAGAGAAGAGGGTAACACGGCTTTCAAGGTTAGTTTTCGGTTCTCGATCTCAATCAGTCCGTCTTCACTCTATTTTCCTGTATCCCATCCCTCAGCAGCGCGAATGTAGTAAGTCAGAAATTCAACGCTGACGAACAGGCTGGGGATTTCGCAGCCGCCGTCAAGCATTACACAGAAGCGATCAAACGAGCGCCGTGAGTGATTCCGTTCATACATTCTATATCTTTTGAATGTATTCCACAACCACGGCCGGAACCTCACAACCACCGACGGATCTTCGAACTTCGACTGACGATCAGAACCGACCCCAGAGGATATACCAACAGAGCTGCGGCGTATACAAAACTTCTTGCTTTACCCGAAGCACTCAAAGACTCTGACGAAGCTATCAGGAACGATCCTACATTCATCAAAGCTTACATCCGCAAAGCGCTCGTGCAACAGGGTATGAAGGATAACACGAAAGCTTTGGAGACTTTACAAAAGGCAATGGATGCGGATGTTGAGAAGAAGGTGAGTTATCGGTTTTCGGGAATCGTTTTGCATCTTTCATGTCGTCCCTGCCTTTCTCACCATACTTGATCAATCGGACACATTCGTGGACGTGCGTCTATGGTCACAAAGGCTACGACATCAAGTGTTCGCGTATGGAGTGTACCGGTGCTGACTACCCAGCACACACGAGAACTAGAAACCACGATGATGAAAGTGATGAACGAACTTGAAAGTGAGCGTGCGACCGAGACAGACGAGCAAACGTATCAGAGAGCAATGAGGGATCCGGAAGTGCAGGAGATCATGAGTGAGTGGGGTCACTGTTTTCAGCAGATTTATCATTTATCCTCATCCCGATGCTTCTCTCTTAGTCTTCTCAGTCTTCTCCCTCTATCCTCGAGAGAAAAATCACTCGTTTTCGACTCTTTCATCCCTATCTTCCCCTCCAGTCATCCCTTCAGCATCCAATCCATCCACTTGTCGTCTGGTTTCACTCACCTTCCTTAATCATGAAATACCTAGGGACAGAACTGTGCAATCAGGGCAAGATACGAGACTGATCTTCAGGCGACCCCGTCATGAGACAAATCTTAGCGGACAGTCAACAAGACCCGAAGGCATTGATGGATCATATGAAGAATCCTCTTGTGAGTTTGTCCCTTGGTATCTTTCCGCAATCCTCTGTCGTCCTCCTCTACCTTTTGATCGGGTTCCTTCCCTTCTTTTCCCTCTCTACAGAGCGACATTTTCCATCCTACCATCCTTACCCCCTTTACCTTCTCGCCCACCCTTGCCCCTCTGCCTACGTCCCTTCCCCATCCCATCCACTTCCCCTTTGTATCTTACCCCCCACCCAAAGTACATTCGATCGTCTGCTTCCCGCGGTTAATCTGGTTCTGTCCATCGGAACGGGGTCCGGAAACTGATAACAGATCGCACAAAAGATCCAGAAATTGGTGACTGCGGGAATCATCAAAACTCGTTAAGACTTACCAATCTCAATTTCAATTCCAATCTCAATCTCAACGGATCACGACCAATATCAGTATCAGAAACATAAGAATTGGTGTTAGAGGGGATTTAATGGAAGTGTGCATGCATAAACATGATTTCATCTTTTCACTCTTTTTATCTTTTAGTCTTTTCATCTCGTCTCTACACTTTATCCTCAAACGCATAACCCCCTAGATGCTCTCTTTAGGTTTCCGTACAATTCAGCGTTTCATTCCACTCGTGCTCAGTAATTTACTTGAGACCTCCATCCCACTTAAAATCGTCTTACACTTGAAACTGTATCCACTTACACTCTCGTATCTCTTGTCGTTACTAAACATTTGTCGTCGCTAAACATTTGTTCCACATCATGTTAGTCCCATTCATCATGTTTATTCTCATTGTTCTACCTTTTAGAGTTATACTCGTATCCCATCACTTTTCGTTACGTACCAGTAACGAAGGACTCATGTTTCTCGCAATTTACATACAGTACGATTAAGTTAGATGAAAATATGATTTGAAACGTGAAAAAAAAGATATTGCATTCAAAACTTTGTTAAATGAATGAAACTTTTTCGATAATCACCAACCAATCCTTTCTGTTTCTGTTCATTCCTTTCCATTCCTTTCCTTTCCTTTTCTTTACTCTTTCCCATCACTATCTGATCAACAGATAGGATTATGCACATCTTAGATCTATCCAGTGGAAATTGGGAAGATCACTTAGGTCCACTGATTATACATTTGATGACGGGCTATATATCAGTTCATCATACTCATCTCCCTTTTGCCCGTGATCGATATCAACCCGGTGATTTAAATCGAACAAATAACATGTGTCTTTGAGTGGGGATTATGACCCCGGGTTCTGAGCGAAAGATGTATAACATCAAAGTTCACTATTCAAAAGGGGGGAAGAAAAAGACCAAGATTTAAAAACATGGTATGTTTGATAAGTTCAACCATAACGGAAAGAAGATGATAAGATGACAAAAGGGAGAAATAACTTAAACGTCTACATAATTTTTCATAGAAGATTTGAAGAGAGGAGGAGAGAGAGAAGAATCGAGAACTGTTTTATTGAGAAGATGAAGAGGGGAAAGAGAAATATTGAGAAGATGAACAGAGAAAGAGAAGAATAGAGGGAAAGAGAAAAAAAAGTCAAAAGAAAAGAAAAAGAAAACCCACGTTACCCTCTGGATCTTTACCTGCTCTAGTAGTTTCAAAAGCCTTCTTAGCATCTTCAAACTCATATCTCTGAGTGACCAATTCTGATAAATCTATCAAACCTCTTGCCACTAGAGAAATCGCCAAAGGATAATCATGTGCTCCATAACGGAATGAACCTAGTACACGAAGTTGTTTAGCTATTATTTGAAACATTGGTACTGCGGATGTATCTGATGGTGACATTCCAACTTGAACGAAAGTCCCACTGTGGGTGAGTTGACAATTCTTGGACGTTCATTATACCCTTCTTCTTTTCAAAACAGCCCGCCATGGAGAAATAGGAGTTGGTGATGGTATGTGCCGGATGAAGGTGGGGATGAGTGACGATGGAGATGAGAGTGGTTGAAAGAGATGTGTGGGTTTATATTGCTGTTGAGACATGATTCGGGTTACATGAGATGAAATTGGTAAAAGAAAAACACAGGACGACGAAAGAAGAAAAGAAAAGAAGGGGTTATCGTCCTGGTCCTGGGTTTCGAGGGGTGACGATGTATCCCGTGGTAAGAAAATGTGGGACAGTGAAGGATGACGAAAGAATATCTACGATGCTGAAGTACGGTAGTGGATGAAATGACGATAACAACTATCAGACAAGTTGAATATTCAAATTGATATTAGACAAAAACAAAACCCACGAAGGTTTCAAAATATGTAATCCCATTCCAACACAAGCATCCGCTCCAGAAGCTTCAATCACGAGATCTATTGATCCATCACCCATATAAGGGATTTGTAGTTGAGATTTTATAGTTTCAGTCACACGAGCGTAGTATTTGTCTGGAAGTTCGTTTGGTTCTTTTGCCGGCTGGGTGTTCAGCGTGTCACCGAAATTATTACGACATTATCATTGAGAGGAAAGATCAGTGGAAACCCGATTAGGCTTGTATCTCCCACGAAGGACTCGTAAAATTCGTATACTCTAAGAAGGGATGCTCGGATTGCGCGAGATGTTTGATATTCGCGTTAGAGAAGTGTATTGCAAAGAATGTGACAGAGGAGACTGTCATGTGGAAGAGAGAAAAGAACAGGAGGGGGAGATGCTGGGTAAGTACTTAGATGGGTAGAGGAGATTGAAAGATGGTAAAGACCACGGCAAAATCCACTTACAGGTAAAAAGGTATCCGTAGCAAAAGTCTTTTTAGCAAATTCCAACCTTTTCTCAGCAATATCGACAGCTACCACCCGTCTAGCTCCTAAAGCTTTCGCGACGGCCATCGATAAAAGACCAACGGGACCAGCACCATATACCACCACACTTTGGTCTGAACGGCATTGTCCCAAAGTTGACACGGCGTGACAAGCGACGGAAAGTGGTTCCATCATTGCACCTTGTTCGAAAGATACAGTGGAGGGGAGAGGGTGGCACATATCTGCGGGTAGGGCGTCTGGGCGTTAGTGGGTACGTAGGAATGGCGGGATGTGGTTTGGGGTGAGTAATGACCTGAAGCTGGAGTTGTCTGTGGAAGCACAGAGGAGTAAATGGGGAAGAGAAGAAGGGAAAGGGATGGAGTTGGGAGGGGTATATGGAGAGAATAGGGAAGGTCAGTTTAGGGGACCGGAATGAACTCACAATACCTGGCCAAAGTGCCAAAAGTGTAAGGTGGTGTAGCTGCGAATACCATATTAGGGCATAGCTAGGATGAGCTACATTCAAATGTCGACCAGAAGTAACTCCTCTCCTAGCAGTGACCAATCCGAAGCTTATCGTCACCGAGGTGCTTGTCGAGGGGAGAGGGGGTATATCCCACCTGTCAGGGGTGTGATATGTCGACCTTTGTGAAGGCATTCCACAGTTATGGACGGTTTGTCAAATGAGTAAGGGTGGGGGAAGAAGCCGAGAGGGAAGAGAAAGAGAAGAAGAGAATGAGATGGAGAAAGAGCAAGAGAAAGCGAGAGCAGTCAGAAAGAAAATCAAACCCCCAACTCACCTCGTACAATCCGACTTTACAAACCTCACAAACCCTACAAACTTGTCCAGGTTCCAAAGCCACCCTATCACCAACTTTGACTTTCCCAACTTTATCCGCTTTAGGTCCTAGTTTGACGATTACACCACTGGATTCGTGGCCCAAACACATGGGTTTGTCGAGTACGAACGTTCCTATCTTCCCGTGAAGGCTGGGGAGTCAGTGGTGGTCGTTGAACTGTTGTTTTATAGGTCTTGGAAGAACATGGTAGGGAAAGTGATGGAAAGAATCATGAAGTGAGTGGGCTGGGTGGGTGGGTGAGTATGTTGATGAAAAGACTCATAAAGTGGGTAAGGTCGGTGAGGACGGTGATGGTGATGGTATGACTTATAGAATGAGTAGGATAGGTGTTCGAGAGCCACTACGAGAGAAGGAATGACAGGAGTGAGTATTCGACAGCCAGTGATTCAAGAGAGGTCGGCTGGAATGGGCAACAGGTATTTAAGAAAGAATGGGCGACGATCTTTCGACACTAAAAGAAGAAGTGTGAAAGATGTGAAAAAGAAGAGTAAACGCCGAGAATAGTAGAAATGAACGACTTACAGATAATGAACATCACTCCCACAAATACCCGTTTTTTCAACTTGTACCAAAACTTGATCATCGACCAGTTGAGGGATAGGACGCTATGTGTGAGTTTATCATTCCATCATGTGTACCAGGCCAAGGGGTGATTCTTTTCACTCTATTTGGAGCTCTTATGGCTTATGGTTTATGGGTTTGGGAGCGATACGAATATATGGGGTGAGGGATGGTTGAGTGGGTGAGAGTAAAGGAAGGTTTTGATTTGTCCATAAGTGGTAAATTAGGTAGGGGATAGGGAAGGGAGGTAGTAACTACATCTTCCATTCAAAGGGTCATTGGTCCTTTAGATTGGTAGATGAGAAATGGGAGATGGTGTATGGTGTGTGGTTTATGGGGGGAACGGTAGACCACTCAAAGAAACGAAGATCTTTCTCCAACACTCCACAAAAAAACGTGAAAAAATCCAATAAGAACGAGTTCGACATAATGTATGATATATGGTAATCAAGTCAGAAGACTAGACACAGGAGAATAATAATGTGACAATTAAGAAATCCAAGATCCAAGATCAGAGATCAGAAAAAGTAACAGGGATAAGAGACAAATATAAACATAAAAACCAAAAAAGTAAAAGTAAAAGTAAAAGTAAAAGTAAAAGTAAAAGTAAAAGTAAAAGTAAAAGGAAAAGGAAAAGTAAAAAGTATAACTTACATTCTCAAATTTCACATCTTGTATACCATGTAAGACGAAACTTGGATTATCTTGTTTCATCTTAGTATTTGTATACTCTGTCATTATTGTTTACTTCAAAAATGAATGATATCCTATTCTTACCACTGTCCTTCACGGTGGTGAAGATATGATTTTGTCGATAGGTAACTTATATCTTGTTCGTGGATTTAGACTATGAGGATGTGTATGGGTCTAGAGATGTTTTATATAAAACGCTGAATAGAAGATAGAGAAAGACGTTTGGTAGAAGATAGAGAAAGACGTTTGGTAGAAGATAGAAGAAGGAGTAGAACACGTTGTAGACTGCAGGCTGACGGGTGATTGAGATCCCGGTTTATCGGTCCGATAGCCCGGAATCATCCCGGAGTCGTTTCTCCTCTTTCTCACCTCAGAGACCTTGATGGGTGGGATATGAAACATGGGACATGCACAGTGAGACTTTGGCTCGGATGAAATGACAAAGGAAGTGATACTCTACATGCCAGGTGAGCCAGAGAAGAGGGAATACCCAGTTGGCCACAGTGGTCGTTACGTGGTCTCAAGAATGTGATGGTGGGACGGGAAGCACAACTTGTCATATCCCCGCTATTTACTGTTTGCCAAGTGGACAAACCCACACATATACCCAACAACACAGAGACGACTATACTATACCATGCATCATACCAAAGACATCTACCCGGTCGGCCCTTGACCATTCACCTCTTGCTTCACCCCTACTCCCACAGACGTAAAAGACCCATACTAATGTCAAAACGGCTGTATTCTAGCCAACGACGCACCTGTAACGTGGGAACCGAATCATTCATCGAGTCGGACAAGACGCGGCGGACGCAACAGACACATAGTGACAATCAAAGATCGTGGAGATACAACGAGATAGTGGAGAGAGCAGAGATGCAAGAGGTAAGAGAGATAGCAAAGAGATGCAGGAGGCGGATGGAGATAGAGAAGAGACAGTAAAGATGGGTAGGAGCGGTAGAGATGGGTAGAGAGCAAGAAACGAGAAGAGAGGACGGAATGGTTATCACAAGTGAATCAAGCATCAGCAACTAGACTCCAACTACAAACACACACTTACCCACTGGCAAACCTATACGTCAGCATCCTTCCAACTAAAACTTGGCAACAGCGACAGGTACAAAAATGACGAAGTATCCAAGACTCACCACCATGAACTCCGCAACGTCTCAACCCAATGAACGATCAACTTTAATCTCAACCTCGGGGAACGGATCGGTAAAAGTCTAGCTTTTTCGTATTCGTCTATAGGCATGACCTGTGCGTCAGTATGTAGTCTCGTACATCTCACATTCCTCCGGTTTTCAACGCTTGAACACAACTATCAACAGCTTAGTTGGCACAATCTCTTCATACGAGCACCCGACATGAATACAGGGACCGTGAAGGTCAGTTTGACCGTAAAGATGGAAGACAATCAAAGAAAACTGTCAGATCAAAGGGGGGTTTAAACAGAGGTAAGAGCCGAAGTTGACTGTCAAGAAGCCCTTTAAGAATACAACAACCCACCAAAGCCATCCAATACGAAAATTCACTAGGATCATCCGGCATACTACCATACGTATGATTCAACCTCTGCAACAACCAAGGAGCGCTACCAGATTTCAACTGATCTATAAAACCCGTACAGAGGAGCATATATTGATGTGTCGTCTTGTCCCTTTCTTCCGGACCATGAGCTGGAAACGATGTGGGCATTGATTGATTGGGGAACATGGCAGGGTGGGGTTGGTGAAATTGATTGGGTTGAGGTTGGTTTACGGGGCCGGATGATATTGGAGGTGGAGTGGATGAAGTGTGACCGGGACCAGGGAACAATTGATTGGAAGTGGTTGATATTTGCGATGCGGATTGACCAGGGGCCGAGGTTTGGGGGGATGGTGATGGTTGAGATGAATGAGAGGTTGTCGGAGCAGCGGAATGAGGTTGGGAGACTGCTAAAAGTTCCAGACGGGCTTCTTCTTCAGGTGAGATGTCTTCGATTCTACAGTTTAGCGTCTTATCCAGAATATCTACATGGAACACAAATCAGGTTCTGGCTGAAAACATCACGACCGGTCATATCAAAGCCGCAGGCCACTCCGAAGGGAAGATGTGACAGAAGGGGGTCAAGTGGGATATGGCGGTGTATCTTGAGGATTGGCACCACCCAGCGAGCTATGAGATGGATTGAAGGATGCTTTCAACGAAATGAGAAAAAGAGCCAGAGAGTGAATCTTTTAGAGTCGTCAAAGACAACGGGTGGACGCTCACTTTTCAATCCTTCCCACCGTATACCCGTCCAAAGTTCCCTTCTCTAGCAACTTGAACCTATGCGTGCCAACAGTCTCCACCATACTCCTTCCATCCGGCAACATCTGGACGCTGTTAATCTCCAACATAGTACCATACTCCATCACGCCCTGCATCCCACTATCTGGGCCGCCTCGAGCAGGGAGGACCATACCGAATCGCGGCGAGGAGGATTCGATGCATCTGATGATCAGTGGTCGTGTGTGTGACAATGGTTGATCATGTCCTGAGTGGAATTCACGATAGAGCACGCCAGGCTGATAGCATGAGGGCAAACGTAAAGGCAGAAATGAGGCGAGCAACCGGCCAGCGGGTCGCCTGCGCTGAACGGATTTTTGAACGTGTAAATGAAGAAAGCAGACAAATGAGTTGACGTCTGTTACGACGAGCTGTACATGGTGTGAAAAGAGACACAAGTGTGGCAGCGGAGAACGGGATCCAAAAGTGGAGGAGGTGATGGAAGACGGAAACACAGTAACCACACTCACCGCCGGATCATGAGCCTATACCGAGGTTCAAACACATGCAAGATCGTCGGCATACCAGGAAACGCAAGAGTGCAGACGAAGATAGGCGTGTCGAGTCTGGCATCACGTTCATCCCTCTCGATAGCAGCTTGTCGGTCGGCGTATTCGGTGGGGAAAGCCGTGCGAACTGCGGTCAGAGAGGTTCAGATAGTAGTCAGAGGAAGGCGAATCCTTGAAGCCAGCTCCTTTGAGAAACTGCCCGAATGATGGCGAATTTCAAGAAGCTGACGAGTAAGAGACAGAAAGAGGAGCGGAGGAGAGGGAGAGGAGAAGAGGAAGGAGAGAGCACGGGAAGATTGATGTGGGCAAGTGAAGACGGGAAGCAGAAGGTAAGAAACAAAGTGCGTAAACCCAGACAGAGACCGAAATGGTGGTATCAGGGGGAGATATTGCCATGATCAAGAGGAGGCGACGGACAGGGAAGGACAAAGTCTAGAACGAGCTTGACGTTTTAGAAAGAAACGAGTGGAAAGCCCACTCACTAACGGTCAACAATACCCTATTGACGAACTGGTCTTGAAAAAAAGCCAAAGACGGTAGATCTTGTCTGCACAAAGGGCATCGAGGAGAATGGTCCAATGACCTAGAGAGACATTTCGAGCAGAATGACTGTATGTCAGCATGATATTCTCCTCCATTGGTCGACTGGATATGGGCCGACGATCGGAGAGCATGAACGAAACGAAAGGTTGAATGAGAAATGGTATCGAAGCAGGGAGAGTCACGCAGCGGCGTCAAGAATGGGCCAAAAGATGCCTCATGTCTGGTTGGGCAGGGTGTTCAGGAGACGAGTCCGAAAGATATTTTCCGGCAGAGGAGACTCGCGGGATAACTTTCAGATGAACAGATGAAGAGACATCTTCCTCTGCGATATGCCGCGTAGATTGAATGAAAGAGATTGTCAGCTTGAGGGTATGGGGAGGTGGCAGGGAATGTGGGGACAAGGAGCAATGACAGAGAGACAGGCCCACTCACATGCTGACAAGGCGTCGTCACAGGATCATACAGCAACATTGCGCAGACATCGCACTCCAGCATCCCCATCAAATCCTTTGAGAACTTCCATTCTTGCTGTTCGACAACATGTTGAAAACTCCCCTCACTCTGATCTTCTCGATTGGAAGTCACAATGGAATCTTCGACTTCTTCGAGATGTTGACGAGGTCTTTTAGACGAGCTTCGATCTCCGGTTTCTCGGTCAGTGTCCCATCTACCTCTTCTACTCGTTGAGCTAGATTCTCCTCTGCTCGCTTTTCTTCGCATTTCCACGCTTGTTTTTTTTTTTTTCGTAGTCCCGCCTCGATAGTCGACATTTCCTTCAGTGCCCGACAGATTCGGTTTCGATTTGGGAGGGGATTGGCTTAGTAGACGAGGGTGAGACCCCGTCAATGAAGCGCCTCTAGCTCTTGAAGCCGATCGAGTGGTAAGATGCGCTGCTTGTCGGGGTGGGGAAACTCCTGTAGTCTTGGACGAGTGTTGGCGTAAACGACGTGCACTGGACTCGGATGGGGATACTTCATGGTTCGATACTGGGTCCTTGTCTTTTCGTGGAGCAGACTCCAGGTCATCCCCCAGGTCCATGCCCTTCATCTCATCCTCCACCAAACGTATTATCTTGTCCACCGAAACATCCAACAAACTATAACTCCCCTCTTCAATTTTGACACTGGTTGAGTAAGAAGGTGGATCCGGTCTGGGGGGATAATATGTGACTCCTCCATGTATTCTTTCAGTTGCTCCATGTCCGGTAGACGATCCGTATACACCGAAAGGAGTATGAGAAGCGGGGCCAGATGTGCTAGATATAACTGCTGCCGGTTCAGAATCGAGGGGATCCGGTTGGAACATTAATGACACATCCACATCGGAAGATACCACCGCGGAGGGAGAATACCTTTTACATGTTGGGATGGGACACATGACCCCTGCCCATAGAGATAACCGCTGTTGATGTTGTCTTTGTTGGGCAGCAAACATGTCGTGTGGCGCTCCAGAGGCCGGTAACAGGGGAGGTGGAGGGGGTATGTGAGTATGGGAAGAGGAGATTGTGTGGCCGCATGGGAGAGTAATGGGATGGTGTAGGGGTTGTGGGTTAGCAGGCGGACAGAAAGGGCTGTAGGTGAGTTTTCTTTCCAACGTGTTGTCCGGTACTGGTCGGCTAGGTGACCAGAAGATGACGAGTGAAAAAGGTCATAATTCGGCAGCTCCCGATATTCTGCCTCGTAGAGATCCATGAGCAATGAGTCTGGCAAAGAAAGGCAGAGAGGACTAAGGGTACGGTTTTCGGTTGCAAAATCAATTCTGTCACGGAAAAGGTAAGAACGATCGACAGATGCGTGCCGGGGGGGAATGATCGAAAAGCTTCAAAGTGACTCACCATGTCAAAATCTTTCGTAAACTTTCGACGAGATCTTTCCGTTTCTTTTCATCTCCATCGACATGATCAGTTACCCCAACATCACCCAGCATTCCCATCTCTTCTCGGTTCCCCGCTTCGTCTCTCGATACACCCTCACTTGATTGAGAAACGTTGATATCAATCATCCCCAAACTATCCGAGACGCCATGTTCGTTCGACTGTGCTCGGGCGCCTCCGCTCGTACCAACCGATCCTCGCCTGTCTTTGTCACCCAATATCGACCCACTTTGACTGTGTATCGAGCCCCTCGGGAGGAGATCTCGTATCCTGGGTGGGGAATCCATACCGACTTCGACCACATTTTCGGCAGTTCCTGCATTCCCCGTTCGTCCCCGTTGGGCAGCAAGCAGCTCTTGAGATACCGCTCGTCTCAGGGGACGTGATTGGGGGAAGGATGTAATTTTTGAGGGCCCGGCCTCGCGAGGTGGATTCAAAGCGTGATCGGACATCGGGCTCAACTTATGAGATGAGTTTTCGATTTGTGACACGGCCGGTGGCGCAGGATGATGAGGGGTGGCTTGATGAGCTGGGATTGACTGGGTGGGACCGCCCGGATCATCTACGGTTTGACCAGGATGAGTGGGAGGGGATCGAGTGGGAGATCTACGTCTTCTCCTTCCTGCCAAAGGTTGTGTAAAACCGCCTATGCCTTCGTCTTCGGATAACCATCGATGTTCGTCTCCCGCCCTAGATGATAAATGTCGTCTTCGAAAGTGAGTGGGAACGTTGGGAGTGTGTCGCCATGCACGGGGTGAGATGAGACCGGGAGTGGTGGGTGCTGTGGATTGAGATGAAGACGACGAAGTGGAGGTTGAAGAAATCATGGATCGGGAGGTTGGGAAAGGTAGAGAGGTAGATGAGTGAGATGTGTGCATGATGGCAGAGCTTTCTAAAGCAGGGCCAGAGGGATCGGGAGAGAAAGGATTGACGATAGTGTTGGGGGGATCGGAGTGGGTGGTGTTTGAAGGTGTAGGAGGGATGAGGGTGGAAGAGTGTCTAGGGTGAAAAGGTAGATCGGGAGGTGAAGGAGGAGAGTAGGGCGGTGGGGAAGGAGAAGAAGAAGAAGACATGAATGTAAATGTACGATGATATGATTGTCGAAGAGATGAAAAGCAAGTAGTTGATAGATGTAAGATGAAGTTACGATCTCGGTAAAACGATGTAAGCAGTAGTGAATCATAGATCACGGCCGTCGATCGGGTGCCAAGAGTTGGAAGGGGGGTAAAGATCAGACGTTTAAAAGCAAGAAAGCAGCGCAGAGAGCAAAGTAGGACGGGCTGTGTGGATGGTGGAAGAGGGGAAGATCGGGCGGCGATGATCGGAAGATGAGGTGAGACGGGGAGGGGGAGGTGAGGGGGGAGAGGGAGGATTATTAGGATTAATTGTTTGTTGGGAATGAGTCTTGGGTGATGAAGAGGGTGGTAAGAGACGGGGAAGAGAGTTTCGATATATCTATACAAGGGAGAGAATGGAAGAGGAGGGATATAATGTTAGAATGGGGGGTGAGGAAGGGAAAGATGGATATTGTTAAAGAGACGAGTTGGGCCAAGATCGGAATGACGCACTTCTTTATCCCTACCTAACTACCTGGAATCGTCACTCTGCCAACTTTTCTACATATAAATCATTTCTCATTTCTCATACAAATGCATGCAATCACCGAGTCTACTCCGATACATCATATCATCGTATCATATACACAAGCCAATGGTCATCATACGATAGCAGAAGACATGGGAAGAAGCGTACGTATTAAAACTTTCCTTCCTCTCACTACTACTCGTCCGTCTCCGCATCTCCGCTCCGTTCTCCGTTCTTCATGTGTATGTATGTCCATTTGGATATTTCTCATCCCCGATCCCCGATCTTATCCCCATCTCATTCTTACTCGTCACCCTTCTCTACCCAATAGTCACCCCCGATCCCTAACACGGACCCACGGAAACAGAATTTACTTCCGACGGCTCTGAAAGCGGTCATCGCCGAACAATGAAGTCTCACTTGAGCCGGCCCGGACGACCGGGGACCGGGTGAGGGCGGTGACACTGAACATGTTGCATGTTAGCATGGCAACTCGCAACTTGACCATCTTGTAAGTACTCTTAATCAGTATCGACATTGATTTCTCAATCCAAAGACGATACTAGTAGAACAAATGTTGAGATCTTTAAATCGTTCTATCCCCCTCAAACCCTCGCGGTCAATATCAACACGACATGTCTTCATCCCCTTCCGACTTCCGACCCCAAGACCTAATGTATCTCTCATATCTCAACAAGTCGCATCTTTTCATTCAGCTTCTTTCCGAACGTCCAAATGGAGTATCAAAAGTTCAAACACTTCAACATCATCACCTCGTATTAGAGCATTATTAGCTCGAGTAAGACCAATCCATGTCAGTAGTCATGATCAGTTATCACGGTCTGATTCAAAGAACAAAAGTATCACCTCCGTGGTAATACTAGTGTCCTTGGTGGCTATAGGTATAACAGTAAGTCTCGTTCTCTCATCGATCTTCTTAACACCTCTCATCCTCACATGGCCAAAAGCACTGTAGAAATCAACCTGATCTGTTCCTTCCAAAGGAAATCACACCCCCGTATATTCCGGATCACTAATCATCAGACCACTTTACTTGATCCATTATCCCTTCAAGGGGAGAAAGTGAGAGAAACGGAAGAAGAACAGGTAGAAAGGGTACAACCTTCAGGTACTAGGTTGATATCTTTTGAAGAAGTTAAGAAACATAATAAAAGGGATGATTGTTGGGTTATAATCAATGTGAGTTTACATTCAAACTTTATCTCTTCACCTTCATCCCGATAAGTTACTAAATTGTCGGATGGTGGAGTGGTGGGTCACGTAACCACCTTTTTAGGATTTAGTGTCTGCCTTTATCTCTCACCATCATATCTTATCACTTCTCTCCCTGTTTGATAACTTGAACCTATCTTCCTCTTTCTTTTTTCACTTGACTTCCTTTTCATCATTTCCTCAGCCTGGGTACTTTACCATTCATTATCAAACATTTTCGTTGACCATACAATGCTTTTTCCTGTAGGCTACCATCCTCATCACCTCATTACGGTAAACGACCCTTTCACTCTTGATTAAAGACAGATGAGGCGACAACTAATTATCAAGGGAACGGTATATGACGTTACGGACTTTCTCCCTAGACATCCTGGAGGACCAGGTATAATACTTGCTAATTCGGGTAGAGATGCAACGTGAGTGAACATCCATTCTTTCCATACCCATCTTTGTTATCCAAGTCCATCTCCTACTTCAAACAATCTCAACACCAAATTCCATTCATTCTCTTTTTGTCCTCTACATTCAACATTTTCATCACATGCTATCATACATACCCCTCTGCCCCTTTGCTCACATACTACCAACTACATATCCCTCCCTTAACCCCTTGTGCCCTTACCGCTCAAAAAACATCGAAACCCCCCCTCTCAGTGAGATCAAAACAAGCTTTTGACAATCACAATCGAGATAGAGCTCCACCTTAACTCTTCAGTCAAATATTTCGTCCAGTACATCCCCCAGACGCATTATCCGAATTACCTCCTTCATCAATCTTAGGATCAATAGATCCAACCACTATCCCTCAATCATCTTTTAAACCACCAACAACATCGGAAAAAGAAGAAACGGAACGTATAAACAAAGCCAAAAAGGAAATGCCAAATGTCGAAGGGATGATGTTGGCTGATGATTTTGAATATTGGGCTGAAAGAGTTTTGGGGGGTACGGCTTGGGCTTATTATAAAAGTGCTGGTGGGTTAGTCTTATTTACTTTGTATCACTTGTTTCACCTCTTTTTACCTCTTGTTTAATACTTTGATGGTTTCTATCACTTTTCTTGATAAAGTATCTACGGCGACCCTCCTTATTATTCTCACTCTGCCATCATCCTGTAATGTAGAGAGAGATAACAGACATGTTATCTTCTAACTTAAAGCGATAGAACAAAGATGACACATTTGAGAGAACGTAGTTGACTTCTTAGCTGATTATGAGAATTGTTAGTTTACCCTACCTCTTCCTTCCTAATACCCTCATAATCTCTTCCATACTCCTGTACCATACACCACCCATATCTCGTCATCATAGACGATCCCAATCGTCATCGACTCAAACACAAAGAATCAAATCATGTTTTCCTCTCTCACCCCCCCCCCCCCCTTCCTAACCAAAAAGACTACGCTTCTCTGCTACACCCACATCAACTTAAACGCAATTACCAACAACCTATTAAGTCTCAAGCTGTCAATAACATACAGCATAACTGACTTCAGCCGCAAAAGAAAACCCGATCGGCTTTCTCTCGTTAGCCATCGATGACCTCGTGTTTTGGCGTGATGTATCTCAAGGAAATATAGAAACAGAATTCGTAGGGATGAAATCTACTTTACCCATATATATAAGTCCTGCAGCTATGGCCAAACTTGGACATCCGTTAGGAGAAGTTAATTTGACTAAAGCTGCTGGAAGATGGGGTATAATACAAGGGGTAAGTTCGTTTTTATCTTCATCAAATTACGTATCATCATCCGATTTCGTGTGAAGTGGACCCTCCGTAAGAAGTACAGTAGAATCTTTTCAAAGAGTTAGACGTCTATATTATGCGTATCCGCTGTGTTGGGTTTGAACCCTTGGACCTCGATACGAAGTTGAAACCTCCGTACCAAGTCGGAACCCCTGTATCTCCGTACAAACCCTGGACGAACTTGTAACCCCCGTATCGAGTGAAACTTCCCAGAGAAGGTTTAGAACTAATCATAAAAGATCTCAATCAACGCATCATGTTCCCTCGACGAGATCCTTTCTTCAAGAATCCCAAACCAAAAAATAATGTTTCAAATCTATTTGAACAAAAACCGTTCCGCCTCTGCCTCTCTCTTGCAAAAAGTAACTCAAGCGGGTGTAGACGCTATAATTTTCACAGTTGATAATCCTGGTAATGCGAAGAGAACGATGGACGTAAGGGCTAAACATAGTGGTTTGGAAGTTCCGATAAATGGACCGAATGATAGGTTGAGTAGAGCTCCGATGGGTATAGGGGAAATTATTGGTGGGTATCAGGATAGAAGGTTGGTTTGGGATGATGTGGGGTTTATCAGGGTGAGTTGGGTTGTTTTCTTCTTTTTCTTCTCTTTCTTCTCTTTCTTCTCTTTCTTGTCTCTTCTTTTCTTTCTTCTCTTTTTGTATGAGACCCGATGTGGTTTAAAAGGGCTTGTCATAGAGACGCGTAGGAGGAAGGTGAAGAGATGTGTGGGGTAGAGAGAGAAAGTCGATTTGATAGAATGAAGATGAGGTAGGTGGGATCTGTGGAGAAGGGTAGCGGGGGAGTTGAATGGTGCAAGAGTGTAAGGAATGAACAATATAGTCAAATGATGGGTAAAGGCGGGACGGAATGTCAAGTCGGGATCGGTGGAATACTATACCAAGTGAGGAGAGGAACAGTATCGTCGTGACAATCGAGAGATCGGTGGTTTTTCAGGTAACAAAAGCAAGGGGGAATAGATGCGGTTAAGAGAGTGAGAGGGGAAGATAGCATAACACCTAACTTAGGTGGAACGATTGACTGATCATTCAGAAATACACAAATTTACCTATCATCATAAAAGGTGTTCAATGTATTGAAGATGTTGAATTGTGTGTAAAAGCAGGTGTTCAAGGTGTTATCTTAGTAAGTCTCTTGTCCTTCTCTTTCTCTTGACCATCCTATCCTCTGAACAATTCATTCTTTTCGAATTGTACTTCTCAACGATTATGCAGATGATAAAATAATATCCATCCTCTTCCAAATTAAGGATTTTTTCCATCTACTATGAATCGTATTTTAATCCTTTCTTTCCTTTCCTCTTAACCCACACCCTCTCATCCCCCCTCCCCTCCCTCCTCCGCGATCCAAATCCTAAACTCCTCCAAAGATCCAAGGAGTGACAAAACTTCTTCAACCTCAATTTGAATGAGTTTAAAGCGAGAATATCTCTAAAGAAGGTTTACTAACCGCAGTCCAATCACGGTGGTCGTCAAGTAGATTACGCACCAGCACCGATAGATATTCTCTACGAATTACGTACTTACCGACCTGACCTTTTCGAAAAAATCGATGTGATGATTGACGGTGGGATAAGAAGTGGATCAGACGTAGTTAAAGCACTCGCTTTAGGTGCTAAAGCAGTTGGAATTGGTAGAAGTTTTTTATATGCTAATGGGACTCATGGACAAGAAGGTGTTGAAAGGTTATGTGAGAGTGAGTTTGGATCTTTCTCTTTTTTCCCTTCTTCTCCTTCTCTTTCTTTTCCTTCTTCTAATTCAAACGTGATCCGAGACCTTATTTCTTATCCACTTCTTTTCCCTCTTTCCAATACCTGTAACATCATCTTTATATCATCATTCTTATCATACAATTCCAAACGATTGAGATGCCTTTCAACCATTTCCAAAATCAAACATGTTTCTCCTGGGGTCTATCTTCCCTTTTTCCGTCATACTTAATTTTACTCCTGTACCGTGATTCAAGTCACATAGCAATGAATAATAGCGAAGTGATTACCCACTGTTGGTCGTCCACATTGTTAGGATTTGATAAATGAGAAAAGGAAGAAAAGGAAGAGAACTGAGAAGTGATCATCCACTCTTGGTTTGACCACGTTAGGATTTGACGAATGAGAAAAGGAAGAAAAGGAAGAGAACTGATAACTCAGTTTTAGAAGAAGAAATCACAAATACAATGAGAAATATGGGAGTTTCATACATACATCAACTTCGTCCTGAAATGGTCGGTCCTGCTGGTCCTTGGGTAGGGATGAGTAAACCGAGTTATTGGAATCCTCCTTCTCCCCCTTCGCCTTCTTCTACATCTTCTTTCTCCTCTTTTTGACCACCCTCAACAGCCCTTTCTCCGCGATTTATATCCCTGCGTCTTCCACTTCGTCTGATGCCCTCTCTCTGGAATCTTCTCCTTCGCCTCGATCAGATATCTACATTATGCACCTGCTTCCTAAATCATATTAAAGATTTCGTCGTCGGCACCGCTTGTTTCCGTGCCTACCATGATTTCATGAGACGCCATCGTCAATTATTCAATCTCGGCCTTGGGTCCAAGTACAAGATCCGTCCTGTGAGGAGATTGATACCCGAGATAATTAGACTCCTCTGTCGAATAAGGGGAGAGAGATCATGAACATATGTGGAATATCTCGTTTTGGTGAACGATCACTTGATAGGATACAAACACCTTGGGAATATTGAGAATCATCACTTTCTAATCCCGTATTGGAGTGGACGCTATACGGATTTGATAGGTCATATATGCATATCATATCATCGTGTTCCCCCTCCCCCTCCCCCTCCCCCTCCTCGATCAGGATCAGCCATTTGAGAAACTAAGAACACTCCCACACCTAATAAAGGCATCCAATACTTTTGTAAAAACGTTTTCTCCGGTGGAGGGATCATGGGAAGACCAGATGGATCTAAGTTTGGTGGAGGGGATAATTTTGGTCTGAAGATAAACGAAATATCTATATAGCAGTAACACATGTCGAGCAAAGATGTGTAGGGAATGATGATGATGGGTATAAAACTTTAATATCGCGTTTGATAGGAGATGATGAAGATGACAGTAATAGATGAGGTTTGGGAGAATAGGAGAAGTGCTCACTCTTGAACAACAATAGGATAATCAAGTATCACTTTTAGAATTTGGTCCTTAATTCGGACTGAAGTGATTGGGATATTTATTAGAGGACATGATCCGTTTTTTGGGATATGTGAGGAAGAAAGGGATAATGAAATAGGTTTTCCGATGGTGGATAGATGGATATGTATGTTAGGGATAGATGTGGAGAGATAACACTAAATTATCAGTTTCACATACTTTACATTTGATATCTTCATGATAGGTTATCGATCAGTGAGTAATTTAGGTACTTGTATCATCATCCAATTCACTCGGAACAATCCGTGAGGAGAACTGGGGAAGCTTTCAAAGAAGTGCCGCGAGATACTTATCAATTTTTGATAAAATAGTCGTAATGATGGATAACGTTCGTTAAGCATTATAGAGCGCGAAGAGAGTCGAGGGATCTTCTATGGTTTAGAGAAAGAGAAACAAGTATTGTAGCTCACTACTTTGGTAGATCCTATCAACTCTCTTCCATCATCCTCCAACATGATCTGATACCATCCTAATTCCATCCCTCCTTGACTCTCATTCCGTCCATCGCCAGACTCTCGCTCCCACTGTAAATCCTCCGCTTCTGCAATATCAAGCGACACGTTCCAGCTTTCTTTTGAATTCAGGACGGACGTCTCTGAAGACGTATCAAGAGCTTGAGGGGGTGTTATCTCGACATGTCCATACGGTACAAACGATTCAGGTTGATAGGATAAATGTCGATGATATAGAGGATATCTCGTGGCTATCGTCAGATGTACCTGTGCAAAGAGTATCGCCGTAGGAAGTATACGTATCCCTCTCATCTGATCCAGATCCTTACTGCTGTGAGAGCGTATTGTATGGTGGGAACAGTAGTAGAATGTAGGTGAAAGAATGGTACTTGATCTCAGTACTTAGGGGAGGGAAGGAAGGGATACGGCGTCGAGATCGTCTCATGGGATTTCGCTTTTCACTTTTCAATTCACATCTCTGTTTTCTCATCTCACTTCTCAAACTTTTTTCTTCTCAAGGTCATATGCACTGATTCAGTACACTCTGAAGCGGCTAACTTATCAGGTATCACAAGGCAGCGATGCATGGCACTTTACAGGCTCCTCAGGCCAAATCTGAGCGCCTACTGCTCTCAAGAAGGATATGGCTATTGGTAGTGAGTTCTCAATGATTCAAATGGGCCACCTCCTGCATTCCCCATGTTGCTCAGCAAGATCCGCAGCATGCAATCAGCACTGTGCATGAGTCCTATTCAGACTTCTTAGGGCTTCCAGGTGATGTGGGATATGAGGTTCATACACTGGCCATTTGAGTTCCGGAAATGAAAGTGGCGAAGTCATGAGACCATCTCTACACCAGCAATTGTCTAGTTTGTCTCATGACTTATTGCTCAGCATCACATGATGCATGCAACTTTTTCAATTGTAGCAGGAGGTAGAGTATGAGTAACTGGCTCTGTGTGTGCAAAGTTGAAGCTCTCTTATTGATATTGACAGAGATAAAAGACAAAGTAGAAAACGCAAAAAGTGAAATCCAGGATGAAAAGTCCGTGAGACGATCTCGACGCCGTAAGGGACGGAATCAAATTTCTTTCTACCAAATTGCAACTTTTCGCAACTTTTCCTACCTAAACTACACCACACTATACATCATGTCACTCAAATCTATTCTGAAACCAACACAAGGACAAGGGAACAAACGGTCATACGTGCCGAAAACAGGTTCAAAACTACGTCAATCTATCGTTCTTTCTCCTGAATCGTCAAAGTCTACCAGGGTTAAGAGACAAGGCGAAGGTCGAAAAGTTGTTTCCAAGAACGTAGGGAGAGTTCCGAGAGATGACGATAAGGATGATGTTGACGGCGATGAGAGTGAGCAGGACGAGGAAGATGTCGAGATGAGTGGGGAGGAGGGGACAGATGATGATGATATGGAAAAAGTAGGGTCCATTGTTGAGAAAATCGCACCGAGTGAGTTTTTCACCCTTTCTTCCTCCTGCCTTCGAAGCCAAAGTAAGAACTTTGTATGCTACGATGTAGAAACTACACTGCTATGACAATCATCATTACTCATGACGAAATACTGGATATGAGGGAGATATGACAAGATCAAAAGTCGGTATATCACGACTAACCACCAGAACGTAAACAACCAACTACTTCAGAACAATTCGGTACAACCCTAGCTTCTCTCCTTACAGAATCTTCCCGTCCTCCTAAGAAATTCAAAAAACATCTCTCTTCTCCAGCTACTTCATCAGCAGATACATCATCTTCCTCTACCAAGCAATCAAGTCAACCACTCGTAATCCCAGCAAAAGAAACAATTCAACCAGGTCGGAATATCTTGTCTTTATCCCGAGCACCATTACCACCTTCCAAAGCTGCCGAAGCGCTAGAGCGCAAGGCTACGAGACAGCTAAAAAAGGAGAAAGCGGAGAAGATTGATGCGGCTAGAGTGAGGGATGTGTTGGAAGGTTGGAACGCCGCGGATGGCACAGGAGCTCAAGAGTTTGAGAAGGGTTTGAAAAAGGTCGCTCAACGGGGAGGTGAGTTCCTTCCGTTTCTCATACTCTCCCCTCGCGCAACCTGTCTCTGTTGTGATCATCTGCTTTCACTACGCGTAAAATGTACCTAATCTTGTCTGGTCTCCGCTTAGGGTGAGACTGGGATCAAAGCTTGGCTTATTTCTGATCGAGGATATGGGTATAGAGAAGGAAGGAGGCATGGATGCTTACGACAGTCATCAAACTTTTCAATGCCATCCTCGTCGCTTCCAAGAATGCAGAATCTACTCCAACTCCTCAATCTCTCGCTGAACAGGTTGGAGTTAAAGATACGAAAAAGAGAAAAGAAAAGGATAACGTACTTGGTCGTGGAGGGAAAGAAGGACAGTTGACAAGTGAAAGATTTCTCGACTTGGTTAGGAATGGCTAGTCTTGGTTCACCTACACTACTCTATCCTTTACTCATCCTCCCTAGTTTCTCGTTTCTCACCTCCCGGTTTGTAGTCCCTCCAACCGATTGTATTTCTCTTACGTCCATCACTTGCATCACATGTTCTTCTCCTGTTCTCGCTCTCGTTTGTCGCACCCCATACAGGTCAGAGAGTGAGGAAGGTGTGGAAGATGGTGATCACGGAGGAAGGTTGGTATTCTCGTGGAAACTGAGAAGAGAGATGTGGGTGTTCAGGGCAACGAGTCAGCATCATACAACCCGAACACTGCTACCGCTCTCTTGTCAGCCCTCGACACCTTCAAATCTCTCATCCTTCAGTCCATTTCAAGATCTGGAGATCGCACTACCTTCACGTTGATGCTAGACCATAACCGATTATCAAACCCACACGACTACATCTCACTCACCTTCAGTCTAAAGTCAAACCTCACTTTCAACCACACGATCACTTGTGCATCACCCATCTTCCCCGAAGTCCTCAATATTGACCACCACATGCCATTTCTGACCGCTTCACCGACTCGCCGCATTGTCGACCGAACAGCCACGCTAATTTCAAGTTTCCCAACTACCACTAATCAAAAAATCAAGTTATGTTCTACCCACTCACTCCAAAATCTCAATCGTCTTAGCGTCGAAATACACACCACCACCATCCGGCCGATCAACCTCTTTTTGTCGGAGTTCTAACGGTCTGACGATCATCCGGCTTGTCGGATCCTTTGTACCTTCAACCTAAAAATCCCAAAAAAAAATATTCCGGCGCTTCATCCCTTTGTCGGCCGAACTGTTCCTGAACATGACTAGAAAAAGTAAGACCGAAAGCTATGTCATTAATGATTCTGACCCTTTCGAGGTCATTTCATCTCTGAGGTCTGTATTTAACCGTCACTCTCGGGGTTCATGTGTATTCTCAACTCTTTTCACTTTCACCTATCACATGTATTTATATTCCTTTCTATCTACTTCAACAGTCATATCCCTCTTTGTCCGAAAGTACCCGTCTTACTCCACAGCCCTTGAACTCCGCTTTCACCGGTATGGGCTGTCTTAGTTCAAAACGCTTCCTCCCCCTATCCCCTTTCCCCACAAAAAGAATACACCTCATGATTCTTTCCCCATTTTTAGTCCCCTATTGACCGAGAACTTTCCACCTTTCCGGCATCACCAACCCCATTTTCAATTCAAACTTACCAGTTCGATCTTACCGCACTTACTCGGGAATCGTATGATTCATCCAACCACTCAATCCTATGTCATAGGATCATGTGTTGATCTTTTACTGACCGAGAGAATAGTCGTGGTGAACCATATGGAATGCCGTATCCCCGTTTGACCGTCTACGATCCGCATGTACATGAAGTTGGAATATGGAGGATGGAAAAAGATATATAAACTTCTTACAAGATGGATGAAATTGACAATTTCCATCGTCTTTGGATCTTCTTCATAACTCACAACTCCACAACTCCACAACTCACAACTTCACAACTCAGTTACTCCAATTTGAGACTATAACATTTTACGACTTGTACGACTTCTACGAAGTCACGAACAACTCAAGTCAATATGGTTTTACCTAAATCTATCCTTGCGCTTTTGCCTCTCCTCGTTTTCCTCGGTACTACTACCGCTGCTCCTGTCAAGGTGAATGACCAAAGTACGTCAAAGTTTCAACAACTCGTTTCATTTTCACAATCCATCTTTCATGTGTTTGCTTAAACAATCTACTATCTCATTACTTCCTTTTCTATCTTCTCCTCGATATTCATCTTCCTCTTCCCCATTAATCAACATTTCTGTCACTTCAACGTCTAGCCCGCATCACCCTCCTTGTTCCATCGAATCCCACTTATCATCTCAACTTTTCCTCTCTCATTAGATCTTCAAACTCCGATATTCCCTTCTTTTACCAACCATACATCACATACCATCATATATCCCATTGCAGTTCCGGTGATAGACCATGTAGCTGACGTGATAGACCTGAAGGTTCGCCAGAGACCGCCTACGTATCGGATTTCCCGCCGCAATCTATATGCCAACGCTCTCGTCGCTAAAGCTCCTGTCGAACAGCTACGAAGCCAAGAACATGCCGACCAAGACGACCCTAGTATCCAAGGTCTCGTCATGAGGAAATTGGAAAAGCCTAACGTGCATATCGAACGCAACACCGCCTCTGAAAATGATGGAGACGACGTAGTTGATCTCTTCAAACGATCTGACGTACTCGACGAAGTACTTCCCGAACTCGACGATGCTCCCTTCGACTTCCTTGCGAGGGATGATGGCACGAGCGCATTGTACCGCAGATCCGCAGATGTGGCTAGTGCTCTGAAACGTCGTAAAATCATTTTTCCTGATCATGTCGAACGTGTTTTGGACCCCGTCAAGTTCGAAGTCGATCGACAGAAATCTGATACGATCAACGCCCGCAATCTCGGATCCGAACAGTCTTCCGACAACCCCATGATTGCGAGAGACGGAGACATTGTGTATGCCTACAAACGTTCTATTCAACTCGATGAAGTCAAGCTTGATGATGACTTACGCCCTTTATCTTCTTTCTATAAGCGATCATCCGAAGACGACCCCGATACAGATCTCCTTATCGTCGGTCTGAAGAAAAGTGAGATCCCCACTACTCTCGAAGAAGACGAGTTGGTTGTTCCCTTGTATGCGAAACGCTCTGGGGAGGTAGTCGCGAATGAGGAGCAGAACGACGACATCTTCTTCTTCGCACGTTATCCTCCTGGTGTATACGACAAAAGGGACTTTCAGATGCGGGAGGAAGATACCGTGTTCGCCGGTTTGAAGAGGGCTTCTTCCGCCGAAGTGGATGCGAATTATTCCGAGCAAGTCTCCGAAGACTACGTTCAACAAATTCTTGTGGGTTCTCATTCCGCTGATTATTGCACTGCTGACAATGAGAAACGAGCACTACCATGCGAGAAGCACGGCTGTGGACACGTTGAGCGTGACTCCGACCATACCAACATTCCAGATTTGCTTTACACAACCCCATCCAACTCGCAAGGGAGAAGTGGGGACAGTCTTTAAACGTGTGTCTAACAATGAAGATGTGGAAGATACCGCTTTACCTCTTACGACCGACGTCGAGGACAATATCATCCCCTGGAACGTCCCTATGCTCCACTCATCCGCCGACGAGAACGAAGCGACGAATGTCAAACGTCTGTACATCCCGCTCAGGTACGAACACGAGCCTACTCAGGACGACGTGGAGCAGCTCGGGAAACGATCAAAGGTCGAAAGCTTCCCGTTTCCACTGCTTGACTCGGCTGGACAGAAGACGAAGAGGGACGAAGCTTCGATCGATTCCATCAACTTCAAGGCGAAAGCCAAACGCAGCATCCCCAATGGCGAGCTCGGATCCTTCAACTACTGAACCTGTTCTATCTTCGAGACCGCATCACGAAGAAATATCGGAACGCCAACACGATCTGTGATTATTGTACCCCCTCTATCATGTCAATAAACCTACGACGACGATGATGATGATTGTGAATACGAATCAAGATGATTGAATTCTCTGAGAGGATCGTATGCAACTTTGTTTATCCCCATCTTAATCCTATTCATTCAAAACCTTTATCTCTCTTTTCATTCTGACTTTCCCATTATGAGTTTACTGAATACTTACGATTGACTACAGTACGAGTACGAGTTCACGAGTCACTCAGACCCTGTCGCTCTCCCAATCAACGAGAGCAGACAACCAATTGCCGGATGCCGAACAACGACTAGTCAATGGAAACGAGCGACTTGATGAGTGATCATTCGGATTAAGTTACCGAAAACCAAGGTGTTGAACCAAGCGACGTGGAAATCAAGATTCGGATCAAGGCGTCTTTTCACATCGTCTTAGTAGCAATCTATAAATATCTGGTATACTAAGAATCTAGGACCGATCAATTACCTCTGTGGCTTTTACCAAAAAAAACACGCCTCAGGACAGATAAATCTTCACTTCGGAACCGTCTAAAATGACTCCGGCAAACGTAAGTTCACTTAGCATATCATGACCTGGGGGTGATTCCTTCTTTTACCCTTATGTCTTATGTCTAGTCTCGCAAAGGTGAAAATTCTTCACTCCCGTCATAATATCAACATTCCCTTCAAAATTTCTAACACATTATACTGTACATTTCCTAAAACCTCAACGAATGACATAACTGATCTAAGTGAACATTTTTTTCCAATCATTTCTTTCTGAGAGACCGTATAAAACTAATTCCCATATAAGTTAGTCTAAAGTTGGGCAAGTGGCCCATCTCCCTTAAATATCAACCATTCATCCTTCACAAGTTCACAACCGACATCACAACGGGATCTTTACGACCCATAAGACTGGTACTCAAGTCGGTTCCGTCTCAACGATGTATCTTGGTAACTTCTCAACCCACAAATTTGGTACGGTATGTTGAATTGTTGATTCCTCCCATCAAAACCGCCTGATTGAAGGATGACGCCACAGATTCCATACATCGAGTGACTGACCGTAAGACCGGTCGTTAACAACATCGAGGATAATCTTCAAGACCTCCCACTTTATTTGTGCTGGTATCGGTATCGTACCTAAATATGATATGTATCACAGTATCGGCTTTATCTCATATCTTGAACACCTCCTACAGACGTTCATTGGAAATACCGACATTAAATATCTCCTACAGATATTCATTAGAAAATATCGACAAGCAGAAATCAATTCTGGACATAAGAAAAGAATGTTCACGTTCAAAATCATCTTCACCTTTCTTCTCATGATCGTCAGTACTAGTATTGGTGCTGCTCCCACTCCTAATCGTCAGAAAGAAAGTAAGTGTCCAATATCTATCAAACCCACTATTTGATCCCCTGTCATGATCAGTACAGTACTTGATAGCTCAATCAATTCCTCTTATTGAGCTTTTGGACTGTATATGATTGCGGCTTCTCTATCTACTCCGTCATGTCAGCCTTTCCTCCTGGCTATGAATCTCATATCAACCTTGTAAAAAAACGTGTTGATTCCATGCTGATGTTTCAGCAGCACCCAGAGCGACTGTACTCCAAGCGGATACCCCCAAATTGGTCAAAAACGATATTCCGTATCAGAATATTTCGGAAAAACTCGAAGAACTCAAATCGACACTGAATGCGATCCAGAGTTCCATAAGCAAAGTATTTGATCATGAAGGAGACGGAGACGAATCAAAGCTTTATGGATTTGAAGATACCGTTCCTATGAACGAAACAATCACAGATATGTCAACCGGGTCTGAGAATTGTACTCGTACAGTCGATATGTCCGAGGGAAAGAATCAGGTTTGTATTTTTCTGTCTTTTCCTTACATAGAATCGTTTGTTGATGAGGTACAGGAACAGAAGGAGAGACGTTTTGCCTTTCTCAGATGTTGAATTTCTGTGGCTTAAGAAGATAGCTCTGTGATCAATTAGGGAAGACACTACAAAACATAAAGTAATGAAGAGTAAAGACGGTATGGTTGAGGTACGTTCCCATGAACCCGTTTTTTCTTTCATTTATTTGCTCTTTCCACACTTTGATGACAGACCTTCTCTTGGATTTGATATCAACTCGAATGAGAAATTAGGTTTGTCCATTGGCAGAGTAAACTTTGTGTACACTATCAGTCGAATTATCACTTCCTCAAATTCACCATCACCTCTCACGCTCGATTTCCTTCCTTGGGACCAGATACAGTGGTAGTAGTACTACTGATGGATGAGAGTTGAGGCTGTACTGATGATACAACTACTTACTCTAGTCTTGATCTCAAACGACGCCATCTCGTCCATCAAAGTCCCTTAATCCTCGAAGACACTATCCAAAAAAACGACACCGCCCCGCTCCCGCAACCTTCCGCACCGAACCATCAAAGCATCGAAGGATCATCGTATGGTATTCGTTTGTAAACTCCAATTTGATCCTATGAAAGTAACTAAAACATCTAACTATATAACCTTCCTTACCCTCCTGCTCTCAAATCTCCATTCTTAAACTCGCTCTCCACAAGTCTCACCATCTACAAACACTTCTACATCTACAATCATCCTGTAACTTACTTTCTCATCCCGACAAAGAAGAAGATAACAAGAATCTAAAAAGTATGTTATTCTCACTACTCTTCCTCACCTCCATCCTAGCATTTCCCCTGGATATGAGTCTTTCGGACAGATCACTCGTTAAAAGATACACAAACGTTCAAATCGTTTCACAACGTAATGGTCTTTGTCTAGCTGTATCTTCTCCACCAACAGTTGGGAAAGTGGTCAATACTATCTCTTGTGATGAAGAAGGTTGGGAAACTAGATGGGATATACAACCTGGTTCTACTCACGTTTTGTTAAGTGGGACAGAATGGGCTTTGGAAGAAGGAGGTAGTGGGAATCATATGAATGGGAACGATTTACAAGTGAGATATCTTCTCGCTACCTATTCTCTCATCATCACGTTTTCTCTCTTTTGTCAGCGCTTCTCTCATCATCATCTTTTCTCTTTTGTCGTCGCTTCTCCCATCATCAGATTCTCTTTCATCTTCGTCTCTTGAATCTTGAATCGACAATGAGGATAAAAAACATGGATGGACAAAAACTATTGAAAATTAGAGAAAAGACTCAAGTTGATTACAGATTTACGGAGAAGTAGATACAGTAGGACAAAAATGGTTTTTGACTGATGATAATCGTATCGCTATTGAAAATTCCGGTTATTGTATGGATGAAGGTGATAATGGACCACAAACATGGGAATGTGTTACGGGTAATACCAATCAAGGTGAATAAGAACTTTCCTATTTTCTTTCGATCCACATTCCCCTAACTGGTTCTACTTCATAGGTGACTTGTCTCGATTTTATTCTTCCGTTTTTCCTACGTACCAATACTTTGTATATCCTGCCCCTTTCCCCATGTCCTCCTTGACCTTTGAGAATCATACCATCTCCAGAGAGTAGAGATTGAAATGAGAGTCTGAGAACGACTGATTTCTCTCATTTCAATCTCTAGTCGTTGGGGTTTACTCATCGATGAGACAGTCATGATTGACATGATCGTTCGAACCCTCTTAACTTCTATAGTCTCTGAATGATTTTTGTCTCAACTTTTAAGGTTGAAAGCTGATTTAACAAGTATGGTATATCATCCCTTGAACGATTATTTATTCCTGAAGGAGATGAACCATTGTAGGATGATATTGCTAATTTTTGTGTTGAATATTGTTCATTCTTGTATTTAGATGATGTGTGTTCAATATCGAATGATGAATCTTTTATGATCAGTCTCTGTCGAGTTATTATCGTAAGAGATTTGAGATTCCTTCGTTCGTACGATATGGATCACTTTACCGCTCATGAAGTTCATCAGATATCTCTCATATTATGAGTTACTAGTAGACGTGCCATGCGTGTTTCCAATCAATAATAATAATCAACAATCCACCGAACATCCATCGTACCACAAACTCACATATCTTCTTTACAGACCTGATTCGTCGTCCAGCCTTCACACGAGTTCACTTTCATCCTTTCCGCTCTATCCCGTCATATAAAGCCGGATTGTTTCCCCTTACCTACCCTAAAAGAACCAACAACGAACGACGTAGGCCTAAAAATTGAAAGTCGACATACCTTCCATCCATCACCCCCTGCGCCTCTGGCACAGCCTTCTAAACTACAAAGGAGGGTGGGGTCTTCATACTTGTCAATCGTCACATGACACATGGTACATGCTACTCCGTTGTCTTCCGACCCGTATAGGTCTATATAATCTCCTAACGTCTCTTGACTTTTCTCCATATTCTATCATCCAAGAAGATAACTTACCATTTGATATATTCACCCGCTGATATCTTCCACTATCCAACTTATCTCCCATTGACCCATCAAAAATTTACACAAAATGCTTTCCCTTCTACTCGGAATCTTAACTCTCACCTCGCTCTCTCTCGCATCTCCTCTATCCAACCCTGAAATCGTGAAGAAAGACCTCAACAAACGCTATACGAACGTGAATATAGTTTCCGGGGTCGATGGCAAGTTGCTCGCCGCAGCTCCTAAAACAGGTGATGGATCCATAGTCACTTCGGTTTCACCCGGGACTTTTTGGGCCACTGTATGGGATATCAATCCCGGTGCTGGTCAAGTCACATTAGCTGGTGGAGATTTAGTTTTAGATGCTGGAGAAGCATTCAATGGTGGTCAATTGGTCGTGAGTTGTTTCTTACTAACTTGAGAATTGAAGGGAAAGTCGTTAATATGAAAAGGTAAAATCACCTGATGGAAGTTCGGGACAAAATTGGTATTTGACAGATGATAATAGGATAGCCATAACTGGTGGGACTGCTTGTCTTGATGAAGGTGAAAATGGAGCTCAAACTTGGGATTGTACAACTGGGAATGATAATCAAGGTGAGTTCTAACTCCCTGTTTTCCTATCGAATTCCCTCTTTCTCTCGAACGCTCCTACTACTGTCCTCTCCCGTCCCCCGATCTGCTCGTATCATGATTGTGCCTGTTTTAGTTGGTCCGGTCAATGTTCACATCCCCGAGACCGGTATGACTGTAGAGTAACCCGTATGATTCCAAGTTTGTCTCCAATGCCTTCGGTTCCTCACTCCAACACTCCACTTGACAATTGCCCGGATCATTGGAAATTTGGAAAATGTTCGGAACCGCTTTCATGGGAAAAAAGTGAAAAAGACTGAAATGTTTGCAGTTTGGTATATCCAGCCCGAAGCTTGACCGTCGGCCGAGGGTTGGACGGTGTAAACAAAGTTGGGCCGATCGCACGGAAGGACCGAAAGTGGGGGGTATTGGTTGTCAGTCGAATGAGGTGAAGATGTAATATAAAGTCATCGTTAATGGAATGAAATGAAATGTCATGTATGAGATGTATAAAATGTATGAACTACTTTGTCTTTTACGTATTAATAAAACTCGTTACCTGTTTGTTCTTCATACAGTGAGCTTCCGTACGGTGTAGCCATACATACAATTGTTGGGTGGACGCTGGAACACGGAACGATTTTCCCTTCTCGGCGTCGGTGTTCGGTCATCGGCCGATGAATGATGTTTACCCCTGAGATCGTCGCACTTCCCGATGCGATCTAGACTTTGAGGGGGAGGATCATGGCGTCATTCGGCAAAGGACCGAGCGTAAGAAATGACCGTCGGCCATCGGTTCATCGGCAGATTGTACAATTTTTGACACGCGTTCATTCATCTTCACCAAGTACACTCCTTTCCCAATAACAACCTATTACACTTATATATATAGTCGCCAGAGGGGTATACAAGGACACACACACCCCTCAGTGAAAGTCTCGATACAATCATCAAGATGGACACTTCGGTCCCTACTTTCGTCGTCCCGGACGAACCACAAGATCATCCACATCCTCATCATCATTTACAATCTGACACTTCTACTTTGGCGAAAACACCTTCCAGACAATCGGCGAAAAGCCATGCCGCTTCTACTTTGACAGTACAGGATCAAGAGGAGGAAGGGACGTTAGGAGGGGAGTTGGAAAAAGGTAAAGATGAAGGAGGTGAGGAAGAAGTGGAAGATACGGGTTTGTTAACTGGGGCTAGGTTGTATTTGTGAGTAACTGCTTGATTTCTTACAATACCTCTGTGCCGTCCCTGACATTCTTCTTACCCTTTTCCTTTCCTGTTTCGGACAAGTGTCACTGGAGAAGAGAGAGATATGAATGGAAAAGAGGACACAGCTGATACCACAGAGTATTCCTGAGTATGATGTTAACAATTTTCATGTTCGCTCTCGTGAATATATTCTCCCCCTTCCTTTAAGCTAGCATCTAACGATCAGGACCAATCTATCGTCTCCACTGCTATCCCAGTCATCGTATCAGATTTCAACGCTTTTGATCAAGTAGCATGGATCGTCACTGGTTATTTCCGTTAGTATCTTCTTTACCTCCTGCTGTTGTCTTTTCATCTCTGTTCTACCTGCTACATCTCCAGATCTTCTTCACTGAACCATCCACCTTCTTATTCATTTGGTTATCTCGTCCTTTGTGCCCTTTGTGCCTGCCAACTAACACTCAGTCACCCAATGTGGTCTCATCTTACTAGTCGGTCAACTCCTGACTGCTCTCAAAGCGAAATGGATGTTGTTAGGAGCTATTTTCTTCTTCGAGCTCGGTTCTTTGATCTGCGCCGTTGCACACAGTATGAACATTCTCATTTTCGGTCGGGCAATTCAAGGTATCGGATCTAGTGGGATCTTTGTTTCCTGTCTCGCTGTCATCGCTACCAGTACGTCATGTTTTTAGCCTTCCTCACTGTCCTATCTACCCCGTCCATCTACCGCGTCCTCCTCTTCTCCACGAAGAGACACCCCGCTCATCTGATCCACCCCCTTTGGCGTCGTTGATCCGCCGCGGGAGAGAAGGTCTCGGCCTAGTGCTAACCCCACAGTCACCCGAGTAGACCAGCGAGCGGCATTCATGTCCGCATTTGGGTGAGCCACCTCTCCTAACCCGCCTCCCCTTTGCCCTTCCACATATCTGACTTTAAAAAGACATACGCTAATAGCAGAATCGTATTCGTCATCTCCTCCGTCGTTGGTCCCCTCCTAGGAGGTGTCTTCACTCAACGAGTAACTTGGAGATGGTGTTTCTGGATCAATCTCCCAGGTACGTTCCATTCGTGTCTTCGAAAAAGAATTAAAATAACCTCTTAGTTGGTGGAATTGCCGCCGCTGCAGTGCTTTTCCTCCTCCCCGCTCGTCCTCCTGAGAAGAGAGAAGGTTTCACTCCCGGTTGGAGAGGTCTCAAACAAATGGATTACATCGGAACGGCACTCATCTTTGTCTTGGTCACTTGTCTCCTTTTGGCCTTACAATGGGGAGGTAATGAGTATGCTTGGAGTAGTGAGTTTTTCCCTCTCATCTTCATAGACCTTAGAATTCCTTAACAACAGCATACTTTAAGCAAGCAATGCTAACGTTTAGGTTGGCGCATCATCCTTCTCTTCACTTTAGGAGCCGCCCTCGTTCCCATTTTCGCAGCTTGGGAATGGTATCGTGACAATCTTGCACTTCTCCCTCGAATTTTCCTAAGAAATCGCACAGAAGTAGCTGCGGCAATAGCCATGTTCTTCTACAGTGAGTTGTATTTTATTTATCGGATAGAGATCATGTAGTCTGACAAGGATAGGCATGGTAATGCTCGGAGGAGTATATCAACTTCCATTATATTATCAAGCTGGTAGAGGACATACACCTGAGAAATCGGGGATTGATATCATACCGTTTATGATCATGGTTTGTGTTGGAATTTTTGTTGCGGGTGGAGTGACGACGAAGACTGGGAGATATTGGTATTTCCTGGCTATCGCGTGAGTTTGGGTTGTGTCTGTTTCCAGGTCTCACGCTCTACTCACGTTTTGTCATCCACTTTTTCGCCCTTCTCGAAACTGTTTTGTACTCACTTGAGTGCACAACTATTGTCCTCCCGCCTCGTTTCTCGCAAACCTGTTTGTATACATAGCTCCTGTATTTCATTCACTGGATATTTTCCCATCTCTCCAACCACCTACCTCATTCAATCTTCTCGTATCACTACTCTCTCCCACCCCACCCAACCCCTTTGACTTTTGGTGTGTTCCCTCTCAAAAAAAAACCCCTTGTCTCATGTGATATCCCGGATCATAGCTCACATTTTGCAGACCTCCTATCGCAGCCGTCGGCTTTGGTCTACTTTACACAATCAAACCCGACACTTCGAACGCAAAGATTATAGGTTATCAAATTCTTAGTGGATTCCCTATTGGACTTGGGTACGTTTCTAATTCCTACGTCATCACAGCCTCTCATGCCATCTGAACCTCCTCACCAGTCTCAACCTCCTACTCCACCCAACCCCATCTCGTACAGTATCAAACCGTTTCCAACTCCTTGTCCACCCACGCTGACTTTACAGATTCCAAATGCCAATCATAGCCGTTCAAGCCGAATGGTCCAAAACCCCAAACTTAATCCCACAAGCAACAGGAGTATTATCATTCTTTCAACTCACAGGTTCAGCATTAGGTATCGGGATAGTCAACACTGTTCAATCCGTTTATTTAAACAAAGAATTACGATTACTAGCTCCTGACGCACCATTCGAAGTTGTCAGACAAAGCGTTTCTGCGATATCAACATTATCACCCGAAATGCAAATCCCAGTCATTGCAGCTTATATAATAGCCATAACGAAATCTTTGATACCTCTTATCGTAGCTTGTGGATTAGCTTTAGCTTCAGGTGTGTTTATAAGGAATCATAATATGTTATTGATGGGTGGATCTGGACATGCTGCTGCTTTGTAAAAGTAAATAGCATTGCTGTTTTAGAGTGTGTGATGTGATTTAATTTGTTTTTTGTTTTGTTTCGTTTTCCTATGACCGCACTTTCCCATCTCTCTGATTAGATGGACTTGATGGCTCTCCTTGATATCTCAACATTCTTGAAGGATGGGACTACGAAGATAAAGTATCCAAGTTGAATTACATGATGTCTTATGAACTTGACCTTTGACATTTACATTACGACGTACGACAAAGTGATCATTTAACAACTTGGCTTGAAAGTCAACGTGATGAGGATTTGGATTCATTACATCTGTATTAAAACGATTCGATTCGATTCAACTTCTATGTATAATTTATCTAGTTTGATCATACAGACTACGTTGGATATGTAAAGTGTATTTGTACTGTGTGAGTATTTTCACTTCGTCATGGGTGTGAAGATTGGAGATCTCGAGTGAGAGTTGGGCTCATGGTGAGAGAGATCTTACCCTCATGAGTCATGATCCATCTCATGCCACAAACAGAACATGTCGGGTAAGGTATTGGTGTCAAAAAGAAAGATACATATAACATTTTTCAAGATGATACACTTTAATTTTTCATTGACCCATTATCACATTATCACATTATCCTCACGATCCCAAAAAAAAGAAAAAAGGAAAGTTCATCTACTCAATATTACAAACCCTTCATCTCGAATTGAATTGATCTGGTGAAAAATTTAGAAATACACAATTTGAACAAACACACATGATGGAATATCACACAACCACAACCACACATACTCGTACTCGGACTCGTCATCTTGAAAACCATCAGGAAATCCCCAAATGTTCATGTTTGTTAAACTTTAAGGATTCCGAGTAATAGAGTAGAGTACGAGTACTCTATAGCAAAGTTCAATATCAAAGATAAGTAATCTTTGTACCCATTTCCCAAACTCCTAAGAATTTCCCAACCCACCATCTTATCAACCATCTAAACCATCTAAACCAATTCTTCCATCCTCTTCCTCCCATATCCACTCGTTCTAATTGTCTTCTTAAATCATTATGTCTTTTTAAACCTGTCTTATTCCGATTTCTCCTTTTCAAAGCCCATACTAAGATGATTAACAAAGGTGAGAATATGGCCAGGTTTCTTGATAGCAAGAACAATGTCAGATAATTCGAAGAATAATTTCTTAGGTCGTTTAACCTTGATAAGAGACTTGTGAAAGATGGAGAAGGAAAAATATTCGAGTCAGTCCGTCCAATTTGAGAACCGTCCCTTACATAAGTCTCCGAGGGTTCGTGATTACTTAGAGAGGGATTCGTTTTGAGAGACCCGGGTAAAAGTGATACGTTGGGAGTATCTTGTGATGATCTGGTACGGCTTTGAACAGGGTTACGGACAGAGGTAGAAGATAGAGAAGTGACTGGGAATGGTAATTTTATTACAGGTCGGGCTGTACGTTCGGAAGAACTTGAACTGGTTGAAGATCGTCTAGAAGGTTGAGAAGTCCGTTCACCGTGGGATATCTGTGAGGTATGGGAGAGTTTAGATGAGAGTGGGTTTGTTGGCGAAGATTTGGGATTATGCACATGGATCGTGTTAGGGGAAGATGGTTGGAGAAAAAGGGAAGAAGATGGAGAAGTCGTTGGAGTAGGTAGAATGATGGAAGAAGAAGGTGATGATAAACTACGAGATTCCATATTGCGTATATGACGGTAAAGGTTCTATAAGGAGTCAGCTCAATTACCTCCTCATTTGCTAGCCACCTAAACCAGACGAATATCCCTCAGACTGACAACGATCCAGTTAATCACAATGCAACTGTTCAGATTTACTGTATCAACAGTTCTTACCTCTCATGACCTGAAAGCATCAAGGATTCAGAAAACACGCAAAACCAATAGGATGGAAACCTATGAGCAATGTTTCTGATTTTATTCATCAACTTTGAGGTTTGGGGTCATGTCAGATCGTCATGTCAAGTCATGGGAATGAAATGAATAGCGTAGCTTGAGAATATCGAAAGACCAAGAAGAAGAAAGAGAAGAAGAAGAAGAAGAAGAAGAAGAAGAAAAAGGAAGAAACACCTAACCTACCTCTTTCCTCTTTATCCCCATCAAACCATCACCTTCCAATATACCCCTAGCCATACCCCATTCACCTTCCCTAGTTAAAACTTCCCCGCAAAACAATTCCAACACCCTCATATACCCTTCCCAAGCAGCTTCCAACCTCATCTTCTCCAATGCCGGAAAGGCCGGTTGACCATGACGATGACGATGAAATAAAGTATCAGGAAGTGAAGTCAACCAATCTTCGGCTAATTGATGAGCGTAAGAGAGAGCAGGAGGGGAAGGTTTTAATTTTATACTCGCTAATAATATAGTTGAGAGGATGGTAGGTGGTAATGGATGATCTTTATCTTTCAATTCCACCTTTTCCTTTTCTGACATTGTATTGGATGATATAGATGACGTTCCATTCTTTAAATCCACAAATGATGTCCCATTACTTGAATCAATGACTTGGTTGGAAATAATTCTTTCTGATGATATGGAATTTGACTTTGAATGTTTTTGCTTTTGATTGATAGATTCAGGACTAGTAGTTGAAATGAGTACTCTTGGTCGTGAAGATGAAGAAGTAGATTTAGTCGGAGTGGTCCATGATTTCAAAGAAGATGATTGTTTTTCCGATGGAGAATTATAAGGAGAACCCAAAGTTGTATCTCTAATACGATAAGCTTTTTTACATATCATTTCTAAATCCTTCAAGATGATATCAGGTGAAGTGGGTGGTAACATGTTTAATAAATCTTGATCTAAATGAACAATCTTCCCTCCGTTGGGTTTGGAAGGGATAGAAGGAGGAGGATCTGTATACATTGAAACACGAGATGTTATGAGTAATTTGAGTGTTTTAATCAACCATTCTTCTCCATTTTGAAATTCTTCTTTAGGACTTTTTGTAGTATTCAATTCTTGAGTTTCATTTTTATTGGAATATCTAGAAGATTTGAAAATCCCATTACTTGAACGTCTTTGATTGGTCGGAGTAACAGTATTGTGAAAAGTTGAAGGAGACGAAGGGGAATGTGTGTTGTTGTTGTTGTTGTTGTTGTTATTTTGACTGATACGTCTTGTCTGATTTAATCCAGGTTTCTTTGGGGATGGATTATTTTGATCATTATTCTTGATCTCGTTGGAAGGAGTGGGACTTTCAATGGGTTTTCTTTCGTTTTTAGAAATAGACTTGGAATGTGAGATGGAATTATCAGATTCAGGTGAAGAAGGTATGAAATGACAAGAAGCTTTTCTCGTCATTCCATTTTTAAGTTCTATAGGGATGGTTATGATTTCTGATCTTGAAGAAGGAGAAGAGGTGGCGGATTGATGAATGGAAGAAATATCATTTTTGGATCCATGAGTAGTAGTAATTGTTGGAGGAGATGATCTTCGAGATTCAGATGGACCAACATCCTGATCTTGATGAGAAACATCGGTTCCAAAGTCGCACCATACCCTTTTTGGGGGAGGTAAAATACTTAACAACCTAGATAAAGTAGCTTGTGTCTTTGAATGATCTCTTCGGACGAACGATTGAACGGCTGTATTATATAAAACTTCAATAGAAGGGTCAGATTGACGTCGACGGGAAGATGTTGGCATGGTTTGTAGTCTTTTTTGATATTAGATTTCCAATCCCTAGGAATGACGGTATGTAAGATGATAATGTAGTAGTATATGGAAGATTGAATGGTTCAACCAGATGACTACTAACTTTTCGTTTGTCGGGTGGTAAGTTTACAGTGGGAGTAGGGTGATGATGAATGTTCAAGTTTATGGTGAAATCACTTTTGTTGAATTATATTTGAATGATAGCCGATGATGATGAGAGAGATAAAGTGGTTCGTTTTGGTGTCGGTGTGGTGTTGATATGAAGAAAGTCGGGTTCTTGCTTTATCGATCCGATAGACGTTTATAATTCCAATGGGATCAAAGTTGATATTACTCGTTGAATGCAAAAGGGGAGGGTATGAATGCACAGTATCGAGTAGGATTGAGAGGAAAAGTGAGATTATGAAGACGAAGAGAAGGATATGGATATATCCGGTATTTTAGGATCAAACACCTTCCTCTCTCAAGCGCAAGGAAGACGCCGGGTATCCAATTTGTCGATGATTCACAATCCAAGTCCAGAGTCCAGATCTAAGATTCAAAGTGAAAGGTGGAGGGAGAGTGGAGTGGATCAATGTACAAGTGGAAAGGGGGAAAGGGGTCAAGGAAAGAGTGATCCTCCGTACGATCACCCTTCAATGGTCTTGAAGTACGATTCACCCGTCAAAACAGTTTTGACGAAGAAGGGTGGGAAGATGATGATGATGTACGTACAAGAATAGAATCAGATGAGTGGACACAGAGGAGGAGCGATTTGAGTAAGCGAGGGAAGAGGGAAGAGTGGAAAGGGATGAAAGAGAGAAGGGGAAAGGAAGTGTGGAGTACCTTTCTTTTCTTGATGTATATGTAGTACCATGTGTGTGGTCAGTGGTGACAAACTACTATATGATTGTATCGTGTATAAGCTATACTATGCATATGACTGACCGGATGATGACTGAGTGCCAATGAAGAAATTATTGCATGTATGAAAAAAGTAACTCA